TTGAATTTGAAAAGTTTAAATTCTCACAGGACGTTAATCAGGAGAGGGGCAGGCCAGGCAGATTGGCTGACTTTTCCAATTACCAGTAAATCCTTACCAAAGACTTGATCTACTGATAGATCAGGCAGTCCCCTAGGTATTGTCAGGGATTGCACTGTTTATCATTTGGAACTCCTATTTACTCGCATGTTGGTACTCTGTGAACAGTAAGAACTGCTTGGACAGGCCAGTGAAATTCTGAAACATGTGAAGCCCAATCCACCCCCTTCTTCCAGGACTGGCTTCAGCAGAGCCTGAGACGAGGTCAGAGGCATGTAGACATTTTCTCCTTTGGTAGAGTCGAGTCTATTGCCACATGAACTGTACATCGGAATTCTTAATCGCACTGATCTCTGGGTACATACGCAGTACAGCAGACACCAGAACACCGTGTAGACAACAGGAACATTCAATATGTTGTAGAACAATAAACACAAAGTAGTAGTGAAACACAAAGAAAAACCATGGTAGACTATGCAAAATAGTGCAGCTGTGTTAGCTGTTGAGGTTGTGTACTGCAGTGGGATAGAAGCTGTTCTTGAGTCTAGTGGTCCCTGCTTTAAGACAAGATCACTTTATTAGCCATATACAATTTCTTGCATTAGGAATTTGTCTTTAATACCACAGCTTGCTCTCCATAAGACACACAGACAGGGAGAGAAGCTTGGGGTCAGAGCACAGGGTCAGCCATTAATATGGTGCCCCTGGAGCAGCTGGGGTTAAGGGCCTTGCTCAGCAGCCCAACGGAGTAGGATTCCTCTGCCAGCCGCGGGATACGAACCGGCAACCTTCCAGCCACAGGCGCAGATCCTTAGCCACAGAGCCACCGCTCCGCCCCAATGGTGCGGTTCCATTTGCCAAAGCGCAGGGGAGAGTCTGTGGCCGAGACGATTGGGTGGGGTCATGGTTTTGGGTTGGGATCTTTGGTTTTCAAAGATCTGCGGTTTCTTCAAACCAGCGAAGGGGAGGAAAGTCTGCCCTGCGGTGCTGAAAACACCCACACAGTGAGACTGCAGCTCATAAAAAAAAAAAAACCTGAAACTGCCTTGAGCTGCTGTGCCTTGGGATTCCGACTCCCATCTCCATCCTGCTACACTACGTATTCAGGGAGCTGCCTGGAGCTGCACTGCAAAATAAGAATCATTGAGAACCATTAAGAAATCTGATTCTCAGGAAGCAGAAGTAAGTGAATGAGTGACGAATGTGTTTACTTCATCTCCCAATACTCACTCCAGAGCAAGCAGTGCAGGAGACAGTGGAGCCCGAAGAGCTTATTAGAAGAACCAGGAGGAGGCAGCATATGACCACTCATACTGATACAAGGTGAGGAGAGTCCCTTTGTTAATGACTCCAGAGTTAACCAAGCTAACAACAGTTCCATCTGTCAAAGCACCTGCAAAATGTTTATTACGAAACAGTGCAACAGTGCAAGAGAGAGGTTACAAACAAGATGAAGCCATTCGGCCTTTCTTTTGGCTGCTGGTCGCTTAACGGCCTTTGAACCTGTCAACTCTGACTGTCTTAATTTTGTACCTCACGCTGTCAGAAACAATGGTATTGAGTGCCATTCCCTTAAATTCTTCCGAATTGAATGTTGTAGTCATGCTCTTTCCTAAACGAAGCTTTTTATCTTCCTACAACCGGTTGTCATTTGTCTTTCATTCATCCGTGGACTCTCCCTGTCTGTGTGTTGACAAAGAGACACTATTGAAATTCGGTACAAAACATCTCCAATCTCTGGTTAGAATCATACGAGATTCTTCGTGGGGTTGAGAACATTTTTTTTCCCCGTATTATTTTTGTTTTATCTGTAGAACCGAGACGTCGAGCTCAGAATTTCCCGGAGAGAGAGGCAGTCAGTCCTCACCATGATCGGATGAGAAGATGGTGAGCTGAAAGAGATACTTTACCTTTCATGGACAACAGTGAAGCTCCCATTTCACAGCAATAGGATCCATTATGAACTCACGCATGACGACTGCTCCAACACAAAATGTGCTTTGGAAGTTGAAACGCTTATACTGTATTACACAAACTGACTCAAAAAAGAAAAAGAAGATCCCATATCCAAAGATTTAAACATCCAATTCATGGCAATGGCTCTTATTCAAAACCCTGTAAATCTTATACAGGACATCCAATACATTTCATCTGTAATGTAATGGAATCTTTGTTCAGTCTCTAACGTTTCCTCTTTCCCTGCGTGTAACATTTGTAAAACTAGTGTTTTATTAGCAGGGACTGTCTGTTTTGAATAACACAAAGTTTGGAACTTGATGTCAATTTATCATTGAAGAGCTATCAGCGTTACAGACCATATTATTTGCCCTGCAGGAATATAGAGTAGTTCTATGGTTTTACCTTTCTTGGATGTGGAGATCTGTGGTGGACTTCCAGTTCTGCCTGATCCAAGCACTTCACATATTAGTCGACTTCAATGTTATCGTTCAACATTATATAAATGATTGTATAAAAATGCAATTGGCTTTGCAAAATTTGTGGTTGATATTGAGAGACGTGTAAAAGCTGCAGAACTGTGGCTCTGCAGCACAGGGTTGGGGTGGTGTAAAAGGACATGTCTTGAATGCCAAGGGACCAAAGTACGAGTAGAGACTCTCAGCAGCAAGCATAGCAAGATTGCTTTTAGGAGCATGGAGTCGGATTTCCAGTACCATTACCTGTGGTGTTATTTTGCAAAACCTTGTTTTGCCACAAAGAATGCACTTAGGTGGTGCCTTTCCAACATGGCATGCGACATTAATGGGTCAGAGTCTGATAGCTGGAGACCCCTTTCTATGACCCTGCTTGTTGCGCTACAATAAATAAACTTTGGGGGCAAACATGGCATTCTGGGAACCCTCTTCCATTTATGGTTTAGGTATGGTTGCCATCGGAGACCACTTCAGGCCTCGCTGGCTACCCTATTGACACCCATGTTGCACCTCCCTCAACCCCACCCGTGTGTGATGGACGTTCCTAAATTTCTTGTCCAGCGACTGTACAATGCACATTGCAGATTTAATCAGTTCAATGAATGCGGTCTCAGCAAGACCTTGTAAGGAACCTACCTTGTAAGAATAGAATTCTATAAGTATCATATATATAGTTATAAATCATATTCAAGTACATTACAAATGTAGAAAGTGTCCAAAACCTTTTTTTATTGTCTGTTTTACAGATGAACCGAGACACTTTGTCTCTGGGAAGAGAAGACTGATCAAAGGGGAGGACGATCTTCAGCCCCGAAGATGTGAACACCTTAGCTGTAAAACTGAGAGCACAGCCTCAGAAGACATTTAGAGAAAGAAAAGCGCAGACAATCGTCTTAAGAATATAGTGAAATCCATTTGAATAGTCTTTTGTTTCTGGCTTTAACGCTTCGTTGATTTTCTAGACTTTTAGAAGCAATGGTTAAAATTGTGGTTTTTAACCTTTAATTTTGTAAAAAGTAAAGCCCTCATCTCCGTATCGTCCCCTGCTGTGTACCCATTACAGAATCTAATGGCTATACATGCCCTTCAATTTCTCAGTTCTTGAACTGACAAGGCTAACATTCTTGTGTATTTTGGTTTATTGCTTTAAATAAATGAACTTTCAAAAAAACAACCTATTGGACATATGATAAGGTTTTAAAGGTAATAACAGCCTGTGGAATTCATTGTGAACTGTTCGAATATCCTTCATGACAAGTACTTGCATTTAATTTATTATGTGCTGCGTTTGCTAAAAGAGTTAGTATGGTTTGCTATACAATGATGATGTTAACACTTACTGTAAAAATAAAACATTCTAATAAAAGGGTTTTGTCATTATTATAGATTTTAACAGGCACCCCCCCATTTACGAATTTTCACTATAAAGTAGTGTTGTGTATATTTTTGCCATTTTTCAAAAATCGACCGTTTTTGCGCTAACGAACTCCTGCGTTGATACACATCCTGCCGTAGGCGGAGGAATACACCTCTGTGCGTAGCATAGGTCCAAGCATCATATGTCGTCCGCTACGACCGTATTAAGAATTCAGCTGTAACAAAGTGTGCAAATTTACACTTTATATATTTTATGAAATCTGAACCTATGTTTTGCTATAACGAGCTGAATTTCTACGTTGATCCTACTCCATGTGGAGGAATACACTTCTGTGCGTAGCGGAAGCTCAAACACTACGTTGTCCACTACGACGACGCCTGCAAATTCAGACGTTTTTTGAATATTCAGACGTATTTTCTTATTAGTTCTTACCATATCGAGCATCCTATTTCTGTTATGTTAGACTTATTGTGAGTGTTCTGTTCAAGCTAAAACATTTAATATATATATAAAGTGATATATATATAAATATATATATAAAGTAATACTGTCGTCACTGTAATGATTTCGCACTGCGCAAAATTTTGAAAATGTGTGGATATTTCTGGGATTTACATATATTCTTATGGGAATTATTATTTTTTATTTAAAAACTTGTCCTTACGAACAGTTTTCATGGAAGGGATACAGCCAGGGATGCTTGTATCGTATTTCAATAGGTGGCGTTTTTGACCATGTGGTCTCAACTGCTCCCTCCAGTGGACAAAGCGCGCCACTCTTTTCTTATTCTTTCAGTAAATCCCCACAGATTCGGAGTTTTAATTTTTCAAAAGTGGTTTTGCCATCATCATTAAGCTATTATGAAAAAAAAAATTTTTTAGCGGAACCTGTTCTTTAGCAGACAGAACGTTATAACGAGATAAACTGCTCTGCAGCGAGCTCCACGTCTCGGACGTCCAAAAAGCAGAGTGACAAACTACAAATAATACATCACGTGTTAACAATCACATTTGCACGAATATCTCCTCAGCATTTGCCCAACGATATAAATTAAATTACTGTGCGCTTTCAAAGTACGATAGAACATTAAGCCACTGTGTCTGCTGAACAGTAACGAGCAACATTTATCAGCACCGTGTTCCGCTTCATCTAAAGACATTCAGCTGCACGACTTTCTCAGTCTTTTAAGTAAAACAAACGATCGATTGCGGTATAGGTATTTTTTTATTCTGGGTTGTAAAGTGTCAAATACAGTTTCTAGATTTTTTTTTTGGAAAAAATGGAATCGCCCAACGTGGGGCTCGAACCCACGACCCTGAGATTAAGAGTCTCATGCTCTACCGACTGAGCTAGCCGGGCGCTTCTGCAAACAAACTCGCTTGACGTCGCCTTTTTCCTGACTCAGTATTGAGGATGACATAATTTGATCATTTTAGCGATGAATTTGACGTGCAAAACCGCATTCTTTAATTTCTCAAACAATACCCCCAAATGTATGCTAAGCTTCAATGGGTTATTAGCAGTGCTTCTTTTTGATTAGCAATAGCCTGATTTACAGATTGCAGATGCATTTCTGTTTCTAAAAATGTAATTCATTCTTGAGAAAAAATAGGACGTATAATGCATTTTTCACAGAAGCTCCGACAACCTTCTGCTTGCAGGAGCCGTGCAGGAGGCTGGAAATCGCGGCGGTGTACATGTTGAGGAGAAACTATGGCGAGTGTTACGTAAAGTCGGAGAATGTCGGCTTTGTTGCGGGGGATTGAAAAAAAATGTGAAGAATTTGGGTCTAGCGGTAGATGGCAGTGCTATTAAAACTGTGTAACCTGCGATGTGGTTACGCAGCCATTACACGGACAAGTGGAAGGGAAGGAGAGCAGCCCGCCTTCTGTGGGACTGAAGCCGAGGCGCAGCGACAGGGAGCCGGCAGGGTTTGGGGCGAAGACCTCGGCCCCCCAACTGGTCTGCAGACAACTGGACGGCCCGGTGCTTAAAAGGAGCCCAAATACGTCACGTCACTGATTCAAAGGTGGGGGGGCGGATGAAGGGGGTTGTAAATTGAGCTGGAAAAAAAATAAAACGTGGACAAAGAGGGTGAGAAAGTGCGTGTAAAAGCCGAAAAGTGCCAAGACCGTAGCGCGCAGGGTGCGTGTTGCCTGGTTACGAAGTGAATCGTGAAACGGCTTTCGGGTGTCGGAGTCTCTCACTGCAGGCCGCGCTGCCCCAGATCGCCGGCTCGGCTCCTGAGAAGTGGGGTTTTAGGGAGCACCCCAATGGCGCCCCTCAAGTGCAGTTTTTATTACTGTTAAGACTTAAGAGCCTCGTCGTAGCTAGCGCAACACCACTTGCCCGGTAGCTCGTTTTACAGCCCTATTGAGTTCAGAAAAACATGCAGTTAAGTTTCTGTGTACATTATATATATGAAATCCCTAAACAAACCTTATCTAAGATTTACGTAATTTCACGCCAAACGCCCCACCTATGGTTTCCGTAGTTTGTCTTTGTGTATAATTTTTTTTTAAGAGTTGCCATCGTGAACTGGCAACGTAACACCGTTGATGAATGTAAAGGCGTGTACCTACCTTTAATGAGGGCAACTGCAATGATATTAAACATACTGCTGATCTCCCGCAATGTTGACAAAGAGTAGAGTTTCTCGTTTAAACTTCTTGCAGTTGACGAAGGGGCGCTCGTCTTTTGTGCAGGACTAACCCGAACCAATAGAGGTCTTAAATATGTGGGGCTTATAGTGGCTTCATAATATTTGCTTTTGGTTTTTAAGTAACTTATTAACTGTCTGCCATGCTAACCTCATAAACAAAGCACATTCGTCTTCAGCGTTTTGCCAAAGCCTTTTCTGGTGTTTTATAATCGGGGACTTTTCATAAGAAAAAATGTAAATTCTTGGAGAAAGTGTAATTGGGGCAGCAATACTTTGTTATTTTTTTACTATAATGGGAATTTAATAATAGGAATTGAGAGATTCCTAAAGCAAGAATAGAAAGACTCTTAGCTGGCCACAAGAAATGTTTGGAAGCTGTGATTTCTGCCTAAGGAGGTGTTACTAAGTACTGACCAAAACTTTTGTACATGCCACTTTCATAGTTTTATTTTTTTCAATCTGTTAAATTCAGCAAATGAGTAGTAACTGTGCATTAAAATGTGCAGAAATATGTTTACGTTTGTACCCTGCAGAGGTAGTGATCACTTCTTTTCAGTAAAAAATTAAGTGAAACATGCAGTTTGACCAGGGGTGCCCACACTTTTGCATACAACTGTAAGACTGGTTTCTGTCAAAATCTGATTTATTATAGATGCTTTTTTGGCAGGTGGTCAATCTTAAAATGCTTTTATTTTAAGCAACATCAAAGATGGCAAGCAGTTTTAGTTAAGGGGTGGCAAAATTGACATTAATTCCATTTAGGAATTGTCCTTTAAGGAATGTTGTCTGCAGACAGATAAAAGAAATTCTGTTTCTTTAGTCTTGAACAGAGGAGAATCTAATGAAAGTGGTTAAATCTTGAAACATATTGACAAATTCTATGCAGATCTATACTTTCAAACCATAATAAAATTAGTACCCAAAACCCTGAGTGCGTTTAGGGCATTTAGGTGAGGTTCCATTTATTGAAGTTAAGAAAGCATGTCTGTACACAAACAGTTGTAGAGGAGTGGAACAAATTACCCATGTTGAGGTTGGTTCCCTGGGATTCTTCAGGAAAATGCAGGATGAGGTCCTTGGATCAATAAGGTATTAGCAAATTTCAAATGAGCAAGAGGGATCGAATACTCGCCTCTCATCTGCAGTGTTTCTTGTGATAATCACCTCTCCCGAGGCCCCCAACAACATCAAGGCCCGTAATTGTTTATACCGTAAAACAAAACCATTTATTTTCTCTGATTGCAAATGCATCTGTCCGAAGCAGGTGTCTTTGTCTATTTCCTGCCGCACTGAAATATATGTGATATGAAATGGGTAGACTGCGTTAGAATATGCGTCAGGCAGAGTTTTATATTGTTTTTCCGTTTACAGAACGGCGTGTTGGAGGTCTGGAAATGATGGATGCAGACGCAGCGAGCGATTTCAAGATGGAAGTCGTGCGGATCAAAGAGGAGGTGGTGGATGAGGAGAGTTCAGAGACGTCGTGCCGTGAAGATGCCGCCGAGGTCGCCGAGCCAGGGCGCGCTGTGGGCGACGAGGGCTTCCCGGAGATGGAGTGCGTCACGATCAAGGACGACCTGGGGGGCACCTGTCGCATTTCTGAAAGATCCTCGTCGATTCGTTCCTGCAATGCAGGTCGAGTACCAAAAGAATGAGAGAGCGCTCGTTTGATAACACACTGCTGTGTGGCTGTTTCTTGCCTGTTATTTCGTGTTATCTGGGATCCTGCTACTTAACCCTTCCCCTGCGTCTCTCTGTCTGTGTCCCTGTAGATCTGGAAACGGATCGCTGCCAGTGCCCGCAGTGTAGCCCTTCCTGCCCGGGGCAGAAGACCCTTGGAAAGCACACACTGTCCCAACACGGGGGCCGTGCCGAGGCAGAGGACGGAGCGATGGGTCTTTCTCTGAGCTTGCCCGTCGTCAGCCCGGCTCTCCCTCCGCCGTCTCCCAGCAAGCCCGGAGATGGGGAGAGCCTCCTGACGTTCCACCACTGCCCGGAATGCCAGCGGAGTTTCCCGTGCGCGGACAGCCTGGAAGGGCAGCAGGGGGGCGTGGCCGGCCGCGGGGGTCCGGCAGAGGCGGCGGGGCCCCTCCGCCACTGCGTGAGAGGCGGGAAGACTTTCAGGCACAGGGGAGAGCTGGAGGCTCACCACAGGACGCACACGGGAGGCGCGCCCTATGCCTGCTCCGTCTGCAGCAGGAGCTTCAGCCAGCTGGGCTCCCTGAAGCTCCACCAGAAGAGCCACTCGGGCGAGCCCCCCCATCACTGCGGCGGCTGCGGGAAGAGCTTCCGGCAGCTGCGGACCCTGAAGAGGCACCAGCTCCTCCACGCCGAGCCGCGGGCCCCCCACTGCGCGGACTGCGGCCGGGCGTTCGGGCAGCTGCGCGGCCCGCACGAGCACGAGCGCGCCCACGGCGGCGCGACCCTCTACATCTGCGCGGACTGCGGGAAGAGCTTCCGGCAGTCGGGCAACCTGCAGAGGCACCAGCGGATCCACACGGGCGAGACGCCTTACCACTGCGCCGACTGCGACAAGAGCTTCAGCCAGCTGGGCTCCCTCAAGCTCCACCAGCGCAGCCACACCGGCGAGACGCCCTACCACTGCAACTTCTGCGAGAAGAGCTTCAGCCAGCTGGAGAACCTCAAGAGGCACCGGCGGACGCACACGGGCGAGACGCCTTACCCTTGCACCGAGTGCGGGAAGAGTTTCAGCCAGCTGGGCAACCTCAAGGCCCATCTCCGCATCCACACCGGGGAGACCCCCTTCCAGTGCTCCGAGTGCGGGAAGAGCTTCAAGAACAAGGGCAACCTGAAGGCCCACCAGCGCATCCACACCGGGGAGACGCCCTTCCACTGCTCGGAGTGCGGGAAGAGTTTCGGCTGGCTGGCCGCCCTCAAGACCCACCAGCGCACCCACACCGGCGAGCGGCCGTACCACTGCGCCAGGTGCGGCAACAGCTTCACCTACTCCTACAAACTCCGCACGCACGCCTGCCAGGTGTGAGCAGAGAGGGACGGAATGGGGGGGGCGGGGGAGGGGGGTGGTCACAGGTACTTTCTGAAACTGGCCCTGGTCTTGTACTGTATATGCTGGACAGTATGTGGACATTTACCTGGGTTTTACCATCTCATTTAGGAAGAGAGAACCCAGTGTTTGTGAATCAAAAGGGTGAGGTCAAAGCGAAGTAAAAAAGAATGTAAAAATGTGAGAAATGACTCCACCACGTGCACTTTTCTAGTATTGCCGAAAGGAAAAGAAAAAAGAAGACTACATAACTGCTGTTTCACTGGCTTCCAGAGGCCTGTAGGAGCAATAATACTCTGAGGCTTCACAGCACTGAAGGTTGGCGTGAGAGATTTGAGGCTGGATCCCAGACTGCTCTGGGGGTGACAGAAAGTGTCCCTTTTCTGATCATTTGCCCATTTCCGGGATGACAACAAGTGCCTCCTACCTGCTGTCCGGAACCTGTCTGCCAATTCCTTTTTTTCAGCTCTTCGTTTGTAAAATCCACTTCCACTTTTTTCTTCAGACTCCTGCCTTGACTTGTTGTTTCCCGAATTTCATTAGAACCCGGCTTCTCTTCTGCGAACAAGGGTCTGCTCTGCATCTTTTCAAGATGAGGGCCGTGAGATTTTCTGCCGTTTGTGTAATGTCGGTGTGAGAATTCCAGGTAGTATCTAACAACACTGCCCGGTGGCACTTATTTGAAATAACCGTTTGTCTCATCTTTGTTTGTTTCCTTTTTAAAACCTGGTAATGAAATTGAGAAGCCACATTCCACTGAGTCAGAAGAGATTAAGGTCCACATTCCTGACCGGCCAGCCCATATGTTCGATACACTCGGTGAATTTCAAGGGGAAAAAAAAGGCTATTTTTGTGAAAGGTACAAAAATAACATCTTGTTTTTCTCTGTCAAAACCTTGAAGCAAAGTTGAGCAAACATTAGTATTGATAAAAGAAACACAAATCTGAGCTTTGTCTTATTCAAGGAGGTCTAATCTTCAGAACATCATGTGGCTGCTCCTGCTCATTGTACAGTGTATCTTGTTGCCAGAGTTTCCTGCCGAGCTGCTGCATTGCAATTAAGCTTTCTCTTCAAGTTAAGGAGATCTTGTTACATTCTGTTGGAGGAAACGTAACTATTTTATCACAGAAATTAAGCATGAACTGCAGGTGAGTGCAAAGGCAGCTTTTATTTTTACAGAACTACTGTAGACGCAACATAACTCGAATGATCCCTTTTTAAAATGACCACAGTCCTTTTTTTCTGAAGTACGGAAATTCAGATGGACATACAGTGCAGATCAGATCTCGCTTCAAATGCGAGTCCCCCAAAAATCCCGAAGACAAATCCAGCACTGCACATTCCCAGACTTCTTGTAGAGCAGGTTGTCTTCTTGGTCTGTTCTAGTGCCCTGTTTGTATAAGCAGTATGTGTAGCAGTGGGAGGATGTGGGATATACTGTATTGTACACACTACAGGGAGGATATTCCAGGATAGTAGATACTGTAGGTCTGATCTGTTTGGGTGGAGAACAAATTCTTAAGATTAAACGGTTGTTAAACCTTAAATGGCTCTCCATTTATTTAACATAAAATACGGTTTAGGTGTATGACTTGGCTTGTTCAGAACAAGGCAGGTGTAATGAAAATGTTCTTCACTTAAACCGCTGTTTTTGCCACAACTGTAGAATTGTATACTGGAACAAAGAAACGCAACACCTCCTCCTCCACACTCTGGCCCTCCCGTCTGGGTGGAACAGGCTGAAGAGTGACTCATCCGTGAAGAGGACCTGATGCCACCGCTGACGAGTCCATCGCAGCCCCTGTCTGGCCCAAGCCAGCATTGTGCCTGCCGGTAGTTTCAGCAGCAGCACGGGTGGCAGATCTGAAACGATCTCTCAGATGGACCAGTCTGATGTGTCGGTCCTGCTCTGGTGTGGTCACTCGAGGGCGACCGGATCTTGGACGGTCATCTGTCCTGCCGGTCCGCTGAAACCTTCTCTGCAGTCGGGACACAGTGGAGCGGCTTATTCCATAGTGTCTGGCAACGCTGGCACATGACATGTCTGCCTGCAGCATACCAGTGGCCCTCTCCCTTGCTTCTGGTGACATTCGAGGCATTATGGAATGCACAGAAAACTGACTAAGTGTGGCCTTTTTCTTGCAGTGATCTAAGCTCTGAATAAGGCCTTTTTAAAGGTGACCTGATCAGGCATTGTTCCACCTGGACCTCGTTGGGTTAAAGTGCACCTAACGAGCTGTCGTGTGATTGGCAAGCTGCAATGCCTCACTGCACAAGCTGTATTGCTGGTCAGAGGGCTCAAAACAAATTGACAACTTTTTGTGAAAGTACATAAGCTAGAACTATAGTATTCTCATTCCAGAAAATGTTGTGTTTCTTTTTTCCATCAGTATATTTATTACAAGTGCAATTTGGTGTGGATTTGTTTGTGGTAGATGGGGATGGAGAAAGTTTGAGCCAGTAACCTTCTTATCTCCATTCAGTGACTGTGGTATGCATCAGAAATGGGGACCATAAGCTGACTATGACAAGCAGGGTGACTATAGTTTTGCAATACTGTCGATTCATTTGTTTACTGAGATTTGGTCTAAGAAATGTGGAGTACAGTTCCCCTTTAATGATGTACAAACCACTTCTCAAGATATGTCAGAGCAATAGTTTGAATTGCAATAGTTAAAATACCAAACAGTATATGGAAAAACACGTTCCCTTAACAGTCAGTTGTAACATCTTTACTTAACCCAAATGCAGCTAGTTTCCTGCGTACTGAGTGTGTGGATTTGCAGTCCTCCTGTTTTATTCTTGCCAAGTTGAGGTTGTTTGAAGATCATATTTTTACTGAAAAGGAAAATGGAGCATTTTCAATGTTGGGAAAAACATACTAGAGCTGCAGTTTTGCTTCAGTGACTAACGTTTGAGTTTTGTTCAGTATTTTAACATACAAAACAAGGTCTGATCATGGCTGTAGATTCTTCCTCTAAATATTGAGCTTTCTCAGTAGCTCTTCCATGTAAGGAGAATGTTTAAAGAAGTGTTCAGCCACTTTCTATTGAAGGGGAAGAATGTTCCCCAAGGAATTCACAGCAGATCTGCTTTCTGCCTCACTGCCTTTTTTCCCCCCTCTGGAAAACACTTGTTGCGCATTCCTGTATTCATACAATAATAAACAACACAGTTGTAAAACAGAAGTGGAGTCTTGATTAACTGTGACTGATCTATCACCACAAAGCCACTTGTTCTTGGGAAGGGTCACGACTAGATAGCACCTTGGAGCTCAAGCCAGGACCAGAGCAGGGCCCCACAAGGACAATATACAACAGATAACCCATCCTGATGGGAGGAAACCTGTGCAAGAGCAAAGACACCATGCAAACTCCACACAGAAGGCACCCCAGTGCAGAATTGAACCCAGAACTCGAGCACCACCAGCCTGTTTCACACTGCACCTTCACGGCAGCTTGGATTTGATCGCCAGTTCTTATCTGACTTAAACAAACGACCCAATATGGGATAGCTACCATCAAAGATCAACCCAGGTGTGAGCCTGGTCAGTACCTGGATGGGAGACCTCCTGGGAAAAACTAAGGTTGCTGCTGGAAGGGGTGTTAGTGGGGCCAGGAGGGGGCGCTCACCCTGCAGTCTGTGTGGGTCCTAATGCCCCAGTATAGTGACGGGGACACTATACTGTAAACAGGCGCCGTCCTTCGGATGAGACGTAAAACCGAGGTCCTGACTCTCTGTGGTCATTAAAAATCCAAGGCTGTTTCTCGAAAAGAGTAGGGGTGTAACCCCGGTGTCCTGGCCAAATTTCCCATTGGCCCTTACCAATCATGGCCTCCTAATAATCCCCATCTCTGAACTGGCTTCATTACTCTGCTCTCCTCCCTGTGGGGAGCGTTCTGGCGCACTATGGCTGCCGTCGCATCATCCAGGTGGAGCTGCACATTGGTGGTGGTGGTGGAGGGGAGTCCCCATTACCTGTAAAGCACTTTGAATGGAGTGTCCAGAAAAGCGCTATTTAAGTGTAAGCAATTATTATTATTATTATCATCAAAGAAAAGGTCTGAGATTGGCATCTGGTCATTTGAAGTTTACTTTTAATCATGTTACGAAGACGCTTAAGATTTTTTCAACCTACTCATGGAAAACCACAATGAAAAAGTGATCTCTGGAGCCATACATGCTGAAAGGGAGGGCTGTGTATTTTGCAGTTCACAAGTCTTTACGTTTGAAAGTCACTCAGGATGGATGAGAGAGGGGGCGTTGAAACCCATCTAAATGTGATAAAAATGTAGACGATTTCTGAGAAATACCGGAGAGTCCAGAACTGCATTCCTCCAACTATCCTCTGGTTTTAAGTGAGCAATTACAGTAGCTATTTCATCCAAAGCAGTATGGTAATTGTTTTCTCGGGGAAAAACGCATATCCAGCAGTTGTAAAACTCGGGAGACGTGCTGCAGTTTTCTACGTTACTAGTTCATAAGAAACGAAAACCAAATTCCATCCATCCCTTGTTAGTTACCGCTTAGTCCAATACCGGGTCGCGATGTGCCGGTGCCAAACAGGCAGATGTCGGGAGCAAGGCAGGATACGCAATGTCGTGGTAAGACACTTAAAAAAAGGAAAAAAAAGGCCAAGGTTCGGCCATTACAAGCGTTTCACAGCAGTTTCTCATCAAGCTTTCTACAGCCCGAACACCCGCGTTGACGTTTCAGGACGGTCGTGATTTTTCTCGGAAGAAGGCGGCGCGACTGTTCAGCATCATTCCAGTAGATGGTTGGGCCACTCGGAGCCTGCTCGCAGGAAATGCTTTTTCCATTTGCAGAAAGAGAAAAAGGAGGGGACAGCAAAAGTTGCAGTGCAGGAAAAAAAAAGTGCATTTTGAGGTTCGGGATGAGAGGAGACGCGTTTCCGGTAACTTAAAGGGGTTTGATACTGTGCAAGTGAGCTGTTTTAGCAGAGGAGATGAGCCAGGAGTAACATTGTTGCATTTAACTGTGATGTGGACAAAGACAAGCGTTTGGTGCTCTAGGTAAGCTTTAAAAACGCTTTCTACACATTTCTATACGAATTTGTGCCGAATTACTGATTGGGGCTATCGTTCACGCTTGTACGTTTTAGCTCCCAGTTTAATTTTCAACACAGACAAACGCGTATAAATAAATATTAAAACAAAAATCTTTTCATACAGTAGATCTGGGTTATCATTAATATTAACGTTGCTGTTAAGAGGTAGTACTTTTGAAATGTTAAAACCTTAAAACGATGCGTTTACTGAATAATCGTAAATGCCCCCCTGCTAACCATGACGTGGTTATATTTTGTTCACTTCTGCAGTTTCTGTACTTTTTCGTTTTGCGCAACTGGCACCTACAGTAGTTTTTGTTCTCTTCTGCGTAGTTTTGTCAGCACTATTTTTGAAGTGCACTAAGATTTTAGAATCGTGCACGGCTACCGAAGTACACGTTCAAAACGTTTACTGTGACGCACTATGGTAACGCAGTACCACAATGTTGTATTACAGTGAAATCATGGTACACACCACAGCGACCCCTGCAAGGCTGAGTAAAATCATGGTAAAACCATTAGAAAAGCCTAATTATATCATGGCAAACTACAGTATATAACGGTTCTCTCCGGGACGATATAGATGCAGTTTTGTTCTAAGACAACCGTCCACGTGAACTTTAATAAAACTGTGGTCCAGGGTGTGTAATTCAAAGGGTTTGTGCACAGCAGTCAGGGACTCGAGGTGGTTAGAGTTTAGGAGGTGAGGAACCATCAACAAACCTAAAATCAGTACCTGAGTGTTGGGCTGTGATCTTGATGGCGTAGCCTACCAGTTTGAGAAGACAAAACTTCTTTTGCATTGCAAACTGTAATACTGTTTATGACCTCAATTATAGGATATGTTCATTAATAGATTCATGTAGTGTCTGTGCATCTTGATAGGATGTTTGAATAATTCACAGGTGCCTTAATTGTCCTCTCTTAATTAGGCAGTTTAGTGCATCTGTTTTGGCAGTGTGATAAAATGCAGTTTAAAGGGAATTACATTTGATCCTGATTTGGAGACACTAGTGGATATTCTCATAGATTTAGCAGAGAAATGAGTAGTTTCTGAATCAAGCTTTCTGTTGAAATGTTACATACACGGGCATCGTTCTTTTCTGTCAACAGTCATAGTTAACGTGTTTGTCACCAGACAGCCGATACGTTTGGGCAGATACAGTCTGCTCTGTGAAGTTCACGCAAACGCACGTGTCATCTCCATATCCTGGGACCTTTATAAACAGAGACCTGACTTTTCCTCAAGTTGTATGAACTGTAACCGTGGCTAAAAAAACAGAAAGTGGAGAAATCGAGAGGGTGGGATTGTGAGTGTGGTTACAACTGAGAGACAGGATGAGTCAATGGTGCGGTTTTGTGGTGAATCTAGTGATTAAAATGTGATGGTAACTTATGTGGAAAGACAGGTTTGTGGGCATCGAATTGATCAAAATTGCTTAGTTAAGGTGCATTTAGTTTGCAAGTGCTTGTGAATTTTGTATCTTTTACATACAGCAAAGATTGTAATCACTAGCATTATTTTTCTAAGACTGTGTAAGCTCACGTCTAACTCTCTAACAAACTGTTATGGTGTTGATTGCTCGGCCAAGTTGATAAAGAACTCCTCGGCTTGAACAATTCTGGACTCATTTTCCACGCGCAACGTTGGAGGTGCAGCCATGAGGTGAAGTCGAGTATTTGTGTCATTACTTCCTTCCAAAACGAATGACATATTGAATGAAAGAGTTGGTTGTTCTGCCCAGCACAACTGCTGCTGCTGCTGCTAGCGATGAGACACTACGGCAGTCCAAGCTGGCCCTCCCCACTGTGTGCTTCTGCTCTTGTCATGCGGAGAGGAGCGGTCTGACTTGTGGGCCAGAGTTCGTGGCTGCACTCTGACTCAGCTCTGTTCTGGGAACTGTGCGAAGCGCAGGGAGGACGTATGCCCAGTGCTACTTCTAAGAAAGTTACTGGGTCGAAAAAGAGAGAAATGTGTCACAACGATAGCACTTGCACTTTTTGGGGGAATGCTTAGCACACCCAGATTTAACATCTGGGCATTTGAGACAAGTCAGCGTGTCATGACTTAGATTGAGAGTGAAAAGTTGGTCCACAACATATTTCATTCTGAATACATATTTCACGCACAGCTCAATGGTCTTCTGCCAATCATTTTGCCAAAGTTCAAATTTAATGTTAGTACTGACCTTATTGGTCAGAAATACTGAAGGTTGCCAGGCCTTCGGCTACAGAGGAATTGGGGCAGTGGCCCTCAAAACCGGGAGGACCGCTGCTGTAGTGGAAGAGCTCCACACCTCAGCCTTTCTTCTGCGTCTCAAGCATGTGGCGTCCCCAAGTCTGAATGATTTCTCCTCTAAACCCACAGGAAGCGGAGCTCCGTTTCGTGGGCCGAGGACTGACCCGAGCGGCACCCCCGCTGGGAGCAGAAGAGCCAGAGCGATGAATCCGCGTCCTCCCGTCCCCCGGGAGCTGTGGCACTGCTTCCTGGGCCTCCTGGTGGCGGCGGCGGCGGTGCAGGGGGCGGCCAGCGAGAGCTGCCTCCTCATCAGCGAGGTCAACGCTGACAACCCAAGCTACGACTCCACTGAGTTTGTGGAGCTCTACCACACCAGCGGGCGCAGAACCAGCCTGGATGGCTACACCCTGGTCTTCTACAACGGGAATGGCAACCTGGCCTACAAGGTCCTGAATCTGGGCGGCAACGCCACGGATGAGCAGGGATTTTTCCTCGTGGGCTCGGCCGGCGTCAAGCCGCCGCCCGCCGTCGTCCTGCCGGCCAACACCGTGCAGAACGGGCCGGACGGCATCGCGCTGTACCACGGCGGGGCGCGCTACGCCGAGCGGATGAACGTGACCGCGGAGGGCCTGGTGGACGCGATCGTGTACAGGTCCCGGCGGGGCGGGGAGGCGGAATTCCTCGCCGAGGTCCTGACGCCAGGTTTCCCGGTCTTCCTGGAAGACGAGTCCCTGTACCAGCAGGATGAGTCCATGGAGCGCTGCTGGCTGTTCGCCACCAACTGGACCTTCCAGACGGGCCCTCCGTCCCCGGGCCTCAAGAACCCCTGCGCCACGGGACGAGCGCGGGAGGCACAGATCAGTGAACTCAGCCTGGGGGAAGGCGTCTTTCTGGAGCTGAGCGTCCCCCAGCCTCCCAGCGCCCTGGTCCTAGCGCTCCTGAACGGGACAACAGGGGCGGTGGAGTTCAGCATGGACATCAATGCCTCCAGAGCCGGGCTGCTTCTGATGTGCCCATCCGGATGCTCTCGGGAAGGTAGGCCTTGTGAATCACAACCTCCAGGTCATGGATTTTTGCCATCGGTGATGTTGAACGACTTGGATTTCATCCAGTCAGCTTTAGGTTATTTTAATTTCAATATGCCGGCCATACGCACTTTCCACAATTCACACCCTGCTTTCCGGTCATTCTGTTCCATGCCCACAGACACCGGACCACGCGCAAGTGTTGTTTTTGCATTGACATTGCTTGGCAGGATACGAAGGCTTTATGGTTGATGTTTGCCACGTATCATGGATTTTAATATGTTCTGTAATTTGCTGCATGGTTAATTCACAGATCAAGTGAATGGAGATGAATGGACCAGGGATCAGTTTAGTCATAATATGTTTTTCAATATTCCTGCAATGCTGAAAAAACAGCTGGCTCACTTTTCAGTCTGGTAGTTTCATTATGCAGGGAATGATTGCATCACTAAGATGACTGGAGTATCTTGGACGGTTGCAGATGCTGTGCTATTGCCCCCCAAAGCCGAGTCTGTGTTGAAGCAGCAGGGGTCGCTGTCGGGGGCGGTGGCGCTCTACAGCGGGATGGCCGCGGATTTCCCTCACGGGGCGCCCCTCAGCCCGAGGCAGCCGATCGACGCGTTCGTTTTCCTGGGAGAGGGAGGCGAGCAGGGTGCCAGCTTCGTCGAGACTCTCATCCCTGGCAGACAGGCCTTCCTTCTCACCAGCAGGTAGTCGGCCAACTGCGAGTGCGTGTGTCCATTACTGGTGTGAATCCACCCACCCCGCTTGTTTCTCGCCCTGACGCTCGCTCTGTTTGCTCAGGTCCCTAGGAGGGGGCGTGTCCCTGAGCCGCTGTGGCGCAGCGGTTTGGAGCAGGGACACGGAACTCTTTGTTGAAGCCCCTCCCACTCCAGGGCAGGCCAATCAGTGCTCGGGGGTGGAGTCATGTCCACACAATGTAGGTGAGTGACTGTAGCCAAGAGCCCATTGCTGCAGGCTGTACCTGTTCTTGGTCAAGAAGGATTGATGTACCTATTATCAATCAGGTGAGCCTATAAAAAGCTGCCAGGAAAGGCTGTTTAATGCAGCTAATTATTAGGGGTGAAGCAGCAACTTCTATATGTAGAGCTCATATCATGCTATTGATCTTTCTTGCACAAAATAGAGACCTCGGGGCTTCATTGCAAGCACCCTGTGTGTTGAGAGCCTCCGGAAACTCTCAGGAACCCCCTGATGGGGAGACTCAATGTGGGACTCAGAGAAATGAAGACAACTTGAGTGACATATGAGACCATATCACTCTTAGAAAGTTTGCCATGATGTACCCTGGTGAAAGTAAACTGAAATGTTGCGAAGCACAGTGAGATTGTGGTAAAAACACAGTAAAGGCATGGATAGGCTTTGTCATGGTATTGCCTTTATATATGGTATTTTATTATATGGTTTTTAGTATATGGTTTTTACTCCACATAGGATTTGACTGATGTTATAACTCCACTTTGCTGCGAGATGTGCTTCAGATAGTAAACGAAACGTTTTAAACTAATCTAGATGGGATATAGTGAAGATGTTTTTTTTAGAAATTAAGACATATGTAATCTTTCTAGTGACTTAAAACTAGCAATTTAAATAAATGCGTTCAGTGATGTAGAAGTGATTATTGTGCTTTATTGTTGTAACTGAAAGATGTGTAGGAACAAGTTTTGACTTAGCCTGCGCAGGCATGTCATGCCTGTGTCTGATCTATAAGTCACGGGACCTCTTGCAGAATTAAGGGTGGAGTACAGCTGGCATCAATGAAATGATGGGAAGCCTAAGGGGGTTAAGGTATCTGAAGGTTGGTGCGCAGCCTGTGTGCTCAGCAATTCAAAGTGTATGCAGAGATTATACACTCAGGGGGCCAAAATATTAGGGCCCCCCACTGACTTTAATGATCCGGATTTTTGGAGGACAGCAAGAGCAGTTTTGAACAAAATATGTAGCTCAATTCCCACCTCATTCTCCCACCAGGATCACCTCTACCTGGGCTACTGGTAAAGGATAGAGCACACTCCTCCAGATTGCAGCAGTACTGGGAACGGGGCATTGTTCAGACCAGTTGAGACAGCCAATTATTCCCTGTTGCCACAAACAGGAGCAGGGGGTTCCTAATAGTTTGGCCGGTGCCTGTAACATGACTTGCAATGAAACTGCAGCTGGAAATTGAGACGCTTCTCCACTGCACGCTCCTGTCACCTTGCTGAAGGACGACAGTGCAGTGTTAGAATGACAGGAGACATTTCCACCCACATAAAAGCTGCTGCTGTAGCAGACTTGACCTCACTGGTGTGTAGGTAGCAGATGCGCAAAGAGGTGAGTTTCATGTTAGAAATCAGACCCCAGAAATCGGCAGCAGCCAGTCACACTGATACTCGGATTCTGGAAAAAATGTTTGATGTGTACTGTAGGTAGGATGCTCAGTGGCTTCCAGCCCTGGTCCTAGCAGAACAGCGTCTGGTGGTTTTCAATTCTGCTGAGCTCTAAATCTCTCATGCTTCTTTATGGCTTAAATGATCTGCTCAGTTGTTTAGACTTTTACTTAATTTAATTCCCTAAAACACATAACTTGAAGGGTGCTATTACCATTAACTTCAGCACACAGACCTTTTTGCAGCAAATCCTCATCTTAATGGCCATTATTTCTGACTCAACAGCTTTTACTAGCGAACTAGAAGACAAGTGTTCCTCCAGGACCAGGGCTAACAAACACTGAAGTCATTCCTAATTTTTTACCCAGTGACTTCTTATTGAGGATTTTATTTGTAAGGGTGCGTGTAGCTTGCTGCTACATCCCATGTAGTTTTGGAAGGAGGTCAGTATGTGGAGTTATGCCCAGAACCTATGGTCCACTCAGGATGTCCGAGAATGCACTATGGCCACAGTGTGTCATGTCATTGCAGTATTTTTAAAATAACTTCAGCGAATTTTGCAATAAGGGAGTGGCATCAGCTGTTATATAAAACAGCTACAGTATAAGAACCACTAGGGAAGTCCTCAAATCCGGACGTCATTGTTTGTTTTTAATCGGAGAGTTTGGATTGTGTAAACATGAAAAAAACTAGGATCTCCGATTGGTGGCCATCAGTCAACAAAGCAAACGGTTCGAAGGCAATAAAAATGAGCATCGCAGAGAACACGCACCACCAGACATAAGCCTCATTAGAAGGGTAAAGGTTTTGTGAAACCCCTATCAGGAGCTATGTTTAAGGTAGTCCATCATACAACTGCTAGGGAATCTAGTTATAATTGAGATTATTTCCTGGCACCTTGGATGGTAGACTGAGGTGATGGGCGTTTCTTAAATTGAAGTGAACCGTTGCAGAATGCAGTACGATATGAGAGTGCCTGATTGCAAGTCACTGGGTCCGTCTGAATCTGGCAGCTGCTCTGAGATTCGTTTTACTCCCTGATGACCTCTGAATGCTCTGGGGGGGGGCTTGCTTCCTGGTTCCGTTGTGGCGCTAAACCAGCAGCCGTCTCTTTCCGCGCAGTCGTCCCGGAGAGTACAGCGGCCCCTCCGCCGCTGCCCCCCAGCCCCAGCCCCGCCGGTTACCAGGACTTCCTGCTGAGCGAAGTCAACTCGGACACCCCCGGCGCCGCCGAGGACCGGGAGTTCATCGAGATTTGGCACCCCTCCGGCCGGCGGGTCAGCCTGGATGGGATCTGGCTCCTCCTCTTCAACGGCAACGACGACAAGCCGTACCGCCAGATCAGCCTGCACGGCTACTTCACCGACGCCTGGGGGTACTTCCTCCTGGGCAGCCACCAGATGAGCCCCCGGCCCGCCATCCGGCTGCCGCCCAACACCGTGCAGAACGGCCCGGACGCCGTGGCCCTGTACCGCAGCCCCCTGGGGCCTCCCGTCCCCAAGGAGGGGGGAGCCATCCCCACTAAGGGTCTGCTGGATGCCATCGTGTACCGTGGGCTGAGGTTCGATAAGGAGGCCCAGAATCTGAGGGACGCGCTGACTCCTGGGCAGGTGCCCCTCCTGGAGGATCCGGACTTCAGCCCCGAGGATGAGTCTCTGAGTCGCTGTGGCAGCCTGCTGCCTGCAAACCTTACCGCCTTCCAGGTGAGTCTCGCGGCTCAGCCCCCTCTCTCTCTCTGTTCGGCTCCTGGCTTAGGCGTTGGACTGCGAGCTGTCCGTTACCTCCATGGAAGGATTTCTGCCCTCGTTGCGTCCATTATGGAAAGACGGAATAACCCAGTGACCCAAGCAAGGCCATCCTTTGAGGGGTGCTGTCGGGTTCCCCCAAAATGCAAGGGGAGTTAGGAGAAAAGGGAGGCCCCAAAAGTTTCATACCCCACATGCCGGTGTGGAGTGCAAGATGAGTTGTTCGGGGTGCTCGATGATATTAGAGGTACCTGGGAAAGGAAAGTAACTCCCAATGCGTTTCATGAAACGATGCCTCTGGGTTTGAGGACTGAGGCTGGTGAACGCCTTGTCCTGCCGTCTCAATTAGGAGCCATCGAACGGCGAAGGTGCTGCCCATTCCTGGAACCAGCAGCACTGATCGCATTTGTAATGTCTCTCGGTATATGTGCTCCCCCCGTTCATATCCACTCTGTGGGTGACGGGGCCTTTTGTTGATGTGCCTCTAGCTCTGGAACACTATCCCAAAGGACATGGCCCACTCGACCATACAGGATGCTTTTCACTCTGGCCAAAAATACGGCTTTTCCTGACAGCTGCCTTTTTAGCTTTGGAATCTTCTTTTCTTTCATGACCTTCATGTTGTGTGCTGTGAAGCACTTTGAGATGATTGCTTTTAAAGCTCCCATATAAAATAAAAATGAGCTTTTATTATTTGAAAAAACAAGGGAAGGAGATGAGAGGATTCTTGGGCAACTTGGAAAAAGCTGTATCGTACAGTACAGTATGTGGGCCTTTCCCCAACGTGGAAGGTTTATGAGCTTCTCCCGAATAGTTTAGTTGTGAGTTTGGTGCAGCTCGCTCTTGCATGTCATGAAAATGGGTGCGATACTGGGGTGTTCCCAGCTGGCCTGGCCTGTGGTCTGCTCAGCGCAGTGCTGATGAGCTGCTGCTCCGTGTCTCCTAGGTGACCCCCCTCACCCCTTTGAAAAAGAACGCCTGTGGGTCTGGCACAACCCCTGAGCCCCCTCTCCAGGTCGTCATCAACGAGGTATCTGCCAGCTGGACCAACGGCAGCCAACAGGAGGCCTTTGTGGAGCTGGTGACGACCCCCCACGCCAGGCTGCAGGGCCTGACTCTGCTGCTGTTTGAGCAGGGGCACAACAGCGAACCCCTGGCCGTCCCTCTGAAGGGGTCGGCCAGCTCAGACGGGCTGTATGTCCTTGGGAACACCAGCAACGCAGGTGAACTCTCGCTCGTGTACAGTATGTCTACCTGAGCGCCTCCTGTTGACTCTCACATTACGTGGAAGTTTACCTACAACAAATAGTATCAGATTTATGAACCAACTGGTTTATAAAAGCTGCCATCTGCACATACAAGTGCACACAAACGATCATGCCACTGATTGCAGATGCAGAATTGTCCCACATGCATGCCTGGCGACATAGACAAGGTGATGATGTGTCAGAAGCCATACTTAACCTCACAGACACCCGGAGTGCAGGCTAGGGGACCAGATGCTCCACTTGTTGCCCTCGTTGGGGATAAAAATCTGCCACAGATATTATGACAACCTTCACCCAAAATCTCTGAGTCATGCAGGTAAACGGGCTATTCGAGAGTGAACGACGGTTTTCAGGAACATAAAACCCCTTCTCTTCTCTCCAGATCAGACCCTTCCCATCAGCCCCTCTAGGGCATGGAGAGCTGTGGCGCTGTTCCAAGGCTATTTCCAAACGGCTCGAGCACGCCTAATAGACGCCGTGGTGCTCGCCGAGGACCAGGAGCTGTTGGAGAAGCTCAACACCACCAGCGGGCAGCACATGTTGTCTGTGCTCAGGTGAGTGTTGACTTGAGAGTAGAAAAGCATATGGGGAGTAAGGTTTATAAGTTCATAAGGGGGCATAGCAGTTAGAAATGCTGATAATGCTTGAAACAAGAACAGAAATCTGATTTGTAAACGGAGTGGGTACCATTGAAGCTATTGGCAACAAAGCAGGAGCTACTGGAAAGATGAATTGTTTTATTTCATGTTAGGTTTATTTCCATACAGATGTTCTTATTTGACTCCTTAATCGGCTAATTAAGTGGAGACTTATTTAAGGTTCATGTTAGTTGCAGGCTTATTGGGCATGCTCAATCAGGTTTTCTCTCTGTGGGATACCAGTCTGGCCTTGCTGAAGGAATTTTATAAGAAAGGCGAATCTGGGAATTGGAGACAATCCAGGCTAGCTCTTGCAAAACCTCCCTCTCTGTGCCTCTCAGCTCAATGAAGGAGCCTGTCTCTCTGAGCCGCTGTTCCTGCTGTGAAGTGAGAAACCCTCACGTTTGGATTGCCTCAGGCCAGACCCCAGGGCAGGTCAACCACTGTCCTTCCTCTGGCTTCTCCAGTGAGCTGGTTCTCTGTCTCGGGCCCAAGACCAACAGGCTCTGGCAGCAGGTACCAGGTAAATACAGCTGATTCAGGTGGCAATTGAAATATTTTTGGTCTTAATAAATTGCAGAAAGGAACACAAAAACAAATTGTGTTCACAAACTGTATTATTTGCATCCTTTCGTAGATCAGAATGGAGTAACTGGCAGTTGGCACAACAAGAATGTACAGCACCATGCATACTGGACAGTAATCCACCTGCCCCTTGCTGGCCAAGGCCTAGGGAACTGTGTGCATGTGAATAGATCTCAGCCTGTTTACTGGTGTGAACTGGTGTTTCCCTAGGCAGGCTGTTATAGCTTGTGATGGAAGATGCTTCTTCAAAATATAGTACATAGACTAACTTTTAGCCAAGTGGCTATTTGATGTGGCTTTCATTGTAGTTGCATCTTGAATGGTTTAATTGGACTCATTGTTTGCTGAATTTGTTCTTGATCAAAATCACACCTCTGCTAACTTAATTTGCACTGTGGAGCGTCTCCCTCTTTGTCTTTACCTGTTATTCCTTTGCATGAGATTAACAGTGACTGACTTGTGTTTGAACACAAAGGACGGATTAAGCATTTGCCCTGTTTCACATCACGTACTTAACATTAGTTGTACAATACAGAGTTTTGTCACCTTTTTGGATTTCCAGCAGTGGCATCCCCGTAATTCAGTGAGATGTCCTGAACCCGGAGTGGCACAGACGTCTTCCCTAGAGGGCCCGCCTACAATGAGTTGTTGTCTCTTTCTCTGCAGGTTGTGCTGCTCCGGGGCAGAAGAATGAGAGTCTCCGGGAAATGCAGAGTGAGATAGCCCAGTTCCTGGAGGAGTCCTGTCACTGCGGGATCTCGGGCCTGTACCTGCAGGGTGAGGGCGCGTCGCTCTGCACCCAAAGGCCTAGAGCAGGGGTTCCCAGTCCTGGTACTGGTGACCCACCCACCTGCTAGTTTTCATTCCATCCCACCGTCATTAGATCATTGAACTTGCTTGATTGGAATATTTGCATTTTCTTTCTACTCACAAGTTTGGGAGTTGTGTCTCTCCGTACATCAGTTAAAGCTCCGACATTATTTAAATTAATCTTTATCACTATGACTACTAAAGGGGAGCTGTATTGCTATTTTTATATAGAAAGAATCAGCATTGATTCATGCATTTCAAACTGCAATGAAAGTATAATTTACATATCGACTTTGAGACAAATCACGTGGTTCACATGGGAACATTTCTGCGGTGAAATGTCCGATGCACGACCTGTACGCATGTGATCACATTAGTCATTACAGTGACTAGTGAGCAGGAAGGGCCACATCACATCACATCTCGTGGGAACTCGCGTTCTGGCCCATGTTCAGACCAGGGGTTTGTGACAACATGGCGACTCACAGGACTTTCACAAAGTTCGCGATTTTGTGCTTAATTAGCAATTTGTACATTTTTGCAATACCGTCTATTTTGTTAACAAGATTTAATAACTGGTCTGAGAAACTGGGACTGCAGTTCCTCTTGAAGTGAAGGAATTGTTTGATTGTGTAACTGAGGGCTCCTGTGTGGGTCACCAGGACCAGTATTGGGAACCACTTGTCTAGATCAGCACTCATCAATGTGTTTCCCACGTTGATGAGCTTCCCCCATTTATTGTACCTTGCTGTGGTTCCCCCCAAAAGAATCTGCATGGAATGATGACAGGGCAGAAGACATGCAACACAATAGCTTAATCTGTGATGGGCAATGTATTCCTAAAACAGCACACACTCTTAGATCATTCAAGTCTTCAAGCTGTGCATCCTGACCTCCTAAAACAAAGGCAAGTGTCAAACCCAGGCACAAATGTTTACAGAGCCTGGTGATGATAGTCTTTTGCTAGATGGCATTCTGTTTTTGCAGCTGCTGTGTGATGGCGGAGGTCCTGATCCGTCAGTCTTGTGCAGGAGTCATTACACACGGGCATGTCTCGTCGGTGACATTCTGCTTGGCGCTGTAAGGTCTCAGAGGTGCACCAGTGGTGCTTCTGTGACTTCTGAAGGCGTGTGCAACGTCCTGGTGGGGTGTTCCAGAAGTATTTGAGCAGATCCAATGTTTGATTACGCTCATCATTGGACAGTAAGGTATCACTTTGTGAGGCACAGGGATTCTTGTAAATTTATGATCGCTTGAGGTCTTGGGTCTTCTTAAAGAAGAGGTATTGGTGAGGCCAGTAGGGGGTGGTCACCCTGCGGTCTGTGTGGGTCCTAATGCTTCAGTATAGTGACAGGGACACTGTACTGTAAAAAGGTGCCATCCTTCGGATGAGACGTAAAACCGAGGTCCTGACTTTCTGTGGTCATTAAAAATCCTAGGGTGTTTCTCGAAAAGAGTAGGGGTGTAACCTCGGCATCTTGGCCAAGTTTCCCATTGGCCCTAACCAATCATGGCCTCCTAATAATCTAATCCCCATGAATTACCTTCATCACTCTGTTCTCCTCCCGACTTGGAGCTGGTGTGTGGGGAGTGTACTGGTGCACTGTGGCTGCTGTTGCATTATCCAGGTGGGGCTGCACATTGGTGGTGGTGGAGGGGAGTCCCCATTACCTGTAAAGCACTTTGAGTGGAGTTTAAGGAATTATTATTCTCTTTCCACAAAACAACAGCATACATTTAGGAACACTGTCAAGAAAAGACATGGGCACAAATGAGATTCTGGCAAAAAAACACTCATTGTTTGTACTCTCTTTTATACCGTAGTTTTAAGTCATCAGTCACAATGAATTTTATTTTGTGACACACGGAAGTGGTACAAAATCCTCATCACGTGTTTTCTTTACCAACAGAGACAAATATTTCCTGTGAAGACGGCTTGCTACATGTGAGTGGACAAATCCAAGGGGTGTCCGCAGACCAGAGAGACCTCATCCTCAAGACCACTAGCGCCCTGATGCTGAAAGACAGCTGTACTGAAGTCACCATGGAGAAGTTTCAAGCCAGAAGTAAGACGTCGCTTCGCTGGCCTCCTGAGCCTGTTTGTCAGAATTGCCCAGAGTGGTCCTCTCTAGTAATGAGAAGATAAACAGATGAGATCAGAAGGGTTGCCAACAAGTGAAGGCCGTTCAGCCTCATTTACCCTGGTTGGTTTTCAGGAGCTAATTAATCCAAGGATATCATCCAGAGGTTTACTACCAACAAAACAAGATGGCTGTATAGTTTCCTCTGATTTGCAACGTATCGTAATTTATTTTTGGGTATTATTTGTACATTTTTTCCCAGTGTGGGTTGATCTGAATCGTAGTAAAGGATAACACAGATTTTCATGTGAGCTACTGGTGTTGCAGTAGGTAAACGGTGCTTCTGTGCATGCATTACAATAAATAAACTCTACCCAGTGGGTATTATTCACTACAATTGAATTCCTCTTTTGTAACTTACAGACATCCACTAGGTGGTACTGCAAGCTTTCACAAGAGTTGTAACGATCAATCATGCAGGGGCTTTTCTTCTTCTTTAGCCCAGTGAGAACATTATTATTTTTTAAATATACCTGTCTTTATTGAAAATTAAAAGTTCAAGCTATGTACTGAAGAGCTACTTTCATATTGGATAAGGCGATAGCTACCCTGCTATTGAGAAGATGTTGTAAAAGTGGGACGCCCAACTGACTGAGCTCGTAGCAGTGCCCTGCAGTCCAGACAGCACTGGCTCAAGTGAGTCATGTTCCTGACTCCTCCTGAGTCTGTCTGTGAGTGATGGGGTATGGTAGAATTCCCCTGATGGGGCGATCCCAGGTATTTGGGCACACCTGCAGATCTCTTGCTTGCCTTCAGAGCAGAAGGCCTGGGTTGGAAAGCCTCCCCAGGATCAGGTGGAGCAGAGAACTACAGCTCTGAGCCCTTTGTGCGCTGTTTCCTCTTCAGAGGCCGGGCTGGGCTGGGAGATTGCACTGATCATAATCGTCCTCTTGACCCTGGGGCTCGGGGCAGCCCTGGGCACCTACTGGTACAGAAAGAGGTGAGTCCAGCCAACACCATGGCAGCAGATGTCAGCTGGTTGCGGTGTTTCTTGTTTTAGAGCTGTTTCCTGCCCCATGACACAAGAAGAGGCCTCTTGTGCACCTACAGTAACTGACCCGTTCTTTGACCTCAAGAGACGGCTTTTTGTGGCTCCTCTTTCTCCCAGTGTTCTGTGACCTAATAACTAGCATAAAGAGCTTAGGACTCATGCAAGGCTGTAGAGTACAGTATATACTGATGTTACTCCTCTGCAAGATCCCTGATGGTTTTCTATTTTCCAATGACAAGTCATTTTATTTAGCATGTCTAATAGGTTTAGCATTTAGATCTTGTTGGGACAGAGCAGTCTGATTGCTCAGAGGTGTTCCTGATCTGGGATCATGGGAACATGTTACATTAGCTTGCCTTTAAACATTTAGGTCACCAAACCCTTTCTGGTTATTCTCAAAAAAGGCAGCGAGTCCTACTGTAGATGACTCTACATTATCTTTATTAATAAAAAAAGTACTTTTAATAGCTCTTTAAAGAAAATATGCAGCCCCAGGGCAGGCTCACTCCTGCCCAAGAACAGGGTTGAGAATTTAGCAATATTTGGATCTATATGACTCATTGATACAATATCCATTCTCTTTTTTTTACGTTTTATGCATGTGTAGAGATGTGTGCATAACGCAGGTGGAAATGATCTGATTAAAAATGTCAGAATATGTGCTCCTGAAACAGGGCGAGTCAAAAACAAAAAGGTTGTTTCCACCTCGCAAAACATTTAAAGTGATGCGTGTTGGCACTGACCGTGCTGACTGAGAAATTCCAGAGTTACGATATCGAGAGAAATTGGTTAAAAGTGAAAGCTGCCAGAGGTGCCCCAGTCCTCAGCTGTCAGCTTCCCGCTGTCTCTCCTGTCTCCTTTTCACAACCAAATCACTTTCATTTCATTTTGCAGCTTCAGTGGACTCTGCCTTGTTCTGTTCTGTAGTCAGGCAATTCTTTAAAGGGCAAAACCAATGGGAATAAAAATTATACAAGAAATAAACGTGGGCACAGTATTAGTGTATGAAGACGACATGTTTTTAATACATTCAGCCTTATCGTTCATATCTATTGCTATCAAAGTACCAGCATATCAGCATTTTTCTAGCATGTATGGGTATAAAGGATCGTGCATCTTTAAAAGTGCAGTGCCTTCTGAAGTACATAAAAGTGTACAGATAGATGCAGATCAAATACCAAACTGTAGCATAAGATAACAAAATTGTAATTGTACCCAGTGCATGATTCTCTAACACCAGATGGCTCTTTACTGCCAGCTTGTGTGAAGCCATCATAGGTGCCATTCCAAATGGCGTTCTATTTAGAGGCTGTACTTGCAGGAGTAACGTCATAAAGTCCCATCTTTGTTAAGTAGATGTTACCAGCTCCATTAACAAACCCTCCTTTCCAAAAGCGTATGCTCTACAGCATGCAGAGAAGGATCGGTCGGCCATAATGGATATTGGTATCTCATACAACAGCATGTTAACTCTTACTAGCACTGCTGTGTTTGCTGTTGAGATAATGTACTGTAGCGTTACCTGGTCATGCTCAACTCTGGGATAAACGCCTAACCCTGTAATATTGTAGAGCCAGGATGAGTCAATCTGGCCCCTCCTTGTGTTGACTGGGCCTGGGCTTGCGTGTGGAGGTGTGTGAACAGCATCAGATTGAGCACAGGTAGCTGAGATCTGAACTGCACTGACATGCCGAGAAACGCCTTGTGGCACAGTGCCTAGCATTTTGAGAAAGCATTTTTTTTCTCAGAAATCGTGGACTATTCGCAGACAGAAAACAATGAAACGACAACCTTCGCAGTCCTATAGAAGTTCTTGCCAGAAAAAAAGTTGTTAGTGTTCCACTGTTTGCTTTTTCCTCCACAGGCGTCCCCACAACTACTCCACCATCGAGCTGAGCGAGCAGGCAGAGGGGGAAGGGGAGTTTGATCTTTAGGTCTATCCTGGGATGTTTCCTCTCTCCCAGATACACTGGAGAAGGACAGGACACTCCTTGCGATTTCTGCTCTGAGGACAGAAAGGAAAGGAAACATCTCTCTCCTCTCTACAACAGCGTTTCTAACGGGGGTTGGACAGAACCACTTGAGATCCATGTGCACAGAAAATGGATACGTGTGTCTGTGTGGAGAGTCTCCCCCTGGACTGGCAGTATATTGTACATATTCACCTTCATGCTTTACAGTCCCATCCACACTGTTTCACCTAAACCCCTGGAGTGCAGATGGTGTGGATCTCTTGCAAAGCTTTATGAGCAGTGCAGGTAGTGAGGTGCTCTAATATTCCTTAGCATGTAGAGTAAAAATCCACTGGAGCCCTGTTTGCTGAGCAGAAGCATTTATTATATTTGGTCAAGGAGAAGCACCCTCCTTGCAATTAGGAAGGTGATTCCAACAAGAAAAGTTACAGCTGACCTTTTATACACTTACTTGATAAGGAATACAAGGAGCTTAAGTCTCAAAAAGAACAAAAAAACTTCAGTCTTAATTAATTTCTATTGGTTAAGCAAGCGTCTGCTACAATCTGAAGATGTCTGTATAACTAAGCTATATCAGTGTTTTCTTCAAGCAGGTAGTTTATAATTGGCCTTCTACACAAAATAAGTCTTTGGGATTCTTAAAACAAGCATTCTTTGTGTCTGTAGGCCCCTAGTCTTATCAGCAGCAGATAGTGAAATGTTTCAGCTGGCATTTTGCTGAAACAGAGAAAGAATTAATAACCCTTCAAGCTGTAGAAAACATTGGCAGGGACACTAAAACTGTCAGGGAAGCCCGAGACTTCAGTAGCACTAAATGACTTTGACATCCATACAAAATTGAAATCAACATCAGTTTCCAAATTCTTAAAATACAAACTTAATTTCAAATATAATTTACTCTGTTCCTCCTTGATACCTGTACTTCCTGGATGGGTACCAGGATATTGCCTACCAGGAATATCGCTTTCTGATAATGTTTGGATATACCTAATATGAAGCTTTGATGCAAATATCATATCTGTATTATTTGCATATAAATATACTGATCATCAAAAGAAATATCACTCATAACTGTCATTTCCCTGATAAATTTGTGTTTGTATCTGTATTTTTTTTTTTAGCAGTTGCACTGACCTTTTCATTATACAAACCTGACACAATCATTATACCCATTTGGAACTGTCATCAACATGGTTTAACATCTTACTCTGAAAGGGCACAGGCTTGTTCTACCTGTGGCTACCACTGGAAGGAAAGCAAGCTGTACTTCCATCAACAGTTGCAACGCATGTGGAAGTGATCTTTGAAGCAGTTTTGGCGTTCAGTGACCTTTTCACTGGTCTCTGATGCCAAGATGCCACGTGTCATCCCACAGGTGTTAAACTGGGACTAAGTCACGTTCACATCTCTCCAGAATGTTGCAGGCTATTGGATGGGTTCAAAGGCCTCCTCTCGTTTGTACAGTTGTACGTTCTTAAGAAAGGCATTGTTACACTAGGCTGTGCACTGTCCTGAGGAAAAGGTATTCAGATTAACAGCAAGTGAGTTCCCACTACTTGGTCAGTGCAGCACTGTGCCTTTAATCACGACAAGTGGATTGATCTTCTTTCTGGATTTTCACCAGGCAGAACATTCAGCAGGTTCACTTCATCACCTGTGCCAGATCACCTTTCTCATTTATACAGTGGTTTAACGATTCTGCAACAAGGTTCCTCAAGTCTACTATAGTCACTCATGAATGATCAGCTAATCTGAATAATGCCTAGAAATTAATCAGTGTGCAGATTACATTTCTGCATCTTTTTAGAAAATGAATAGTCAAGTTTAGTCAAGTTAGACTGCATTGTGTATATTAAAAGTTTCTGTGTCGGTTACAAACACTGACTGCTGTGCGTGACACCAGGTGATTTCTGACGTGGCCTTGATTCATAGGCAACCATGAAAGATCAGCACTGGTTGTTTAGTCTAGGGGCTGCTGGAAGATACTGATTATGCTTATTTCTCCGTCCAATGAGCTTGAAACATATACAGTAGAAATCAAAAGGTTTTGAAAGAGCTGTTGATGAACTCGGTTTTGGTGAAGAGTTTTGAGAAGTCGGCTGCAGACTTTATCGGGGAAATAATGTTGCTGCTTTGCTCCTGGGCTGCAGAGTTGCAATTTCTTGATTTTTTTTTTCTGCACTAGCACTGTTTACCTTTAAGCAACAGATTGCAATTTAATTTCAAGTACCGAGTCTTACTGTAGTGCTAAGCTCCTCCTTATGCTTTGACCTGCTGGCTGTTCTTTTTTTTTTTTCTTCGGAGGGGGCAGTGCTGTGTTGCAAAACGTTTTACATGCATTTGAACTAGCTGAGGAGCTGTCCTCCTCTCACTCCGACGTCAGGGGGAAAACAAAGAATGTTTTTAATTTTGATTGTGATTACCTTCTGTGTACGTTCTTGGAGAAGATTTGCAACTCTTTTTTTTCGGCAATAAACATTGTTACAATTTGTTGTTATCTTGAGTGTATTTTTTTTATCTTGGGATGCAACCTTTTCCTTACAGGCAAGCAATTCTTTACACAACAGGCTAAGCTTTCCTTGCACAAATGCTTGTTAGTTCTCCTTATTTACTCTGAGCATTTTTTTTTCAAAATCTCCTCTTAACATACTGCATTGCAGGTAGATGCTATATAAATTAACTAAATGCTCCCACGAGACATATATCATAACTTATTCTGTGTGCACATAATGTGTTGCATTCTTGAAATTTGCTATGTACCGTCACCCTACAAATGCACAAATTATAAACTTTTTATACTGTAGCTTATGTACATGTACTGAATGGGCTGTTGAAGAGCTGGGTGTCTGATCCTCCCATGTCTCAGCTATTTCTTTACATCTCTCCTGCTTTTGTCCAACTGCTGGCCTGGTGTCCACATCTGTCCTGGGAGAAACTTTCCACTGGAACTGGACGAGATCAGCCAGGAGTGTCAAAAGTCTTTGTCCGAGAGGTAAATCCATCCATCTTTCTCTGAGTTTTCCTTTGATCAGGTGAAGGGAAGAGTGGAGAGAAAGTGCAGTTTTATGGTTGCACCCCACACAACAAATAAAATGCCATGTTGTGACATTTCTTGGTAGGCTTTGTGGCCGTGTTGGAACAACCATGTGGGTTGTTGCGGTTGTTTGAATATGATTAAAAAAAAAGACATGAATTTGTTTGTCGCTAACTTTTGTTTGTCGTATGTTATCGCTAACTTTGGCTGAAAAGTTGATCAACACTTTTGTCTTCTCCCGAATTGACTACTGTAATGCTCTACTCGCTGGGGTATCTAAATCCACACTGAAAAAACTCCAGTATGTCCAAAATTCGGCAGCCAGAATCCTGACCAGGTCTAGTGCAAGTGATCACATTACTCCTATCCTGGAGTCCCTGCACTGGCTTCCTGTCAGGTTTTGTGTCGACTTCAAAATCCTCATGCTCACCTACAAGGCTCTGCATGGCTTGGCTCCTCAGTACCTGTCTGAGCAACTATCACCCTACTCTCTACTACTCTCTCACCCTGCTCACCCTACCTTCTCTAAACTTCTTCAAATCCAGACTCAAAACCTTCTTTAGAAGAGCCTTTACTTAACTGGTTATTTACCCCTCTGCTCCTACTGTATTCAGTACCCCCATCTACTGTCTCCTCTCATTGTGCATACGTTGGGTATTTTTTTCATTGCTATTATTGTAGTTCTGTAAAGTGCTTTGAGAAGCCACCTTTAAGGTGCTATATAAAATAGTTTATTATCATATTATTTGTTTCTGTATTTTATTTTCCAGCTGCAAGAGCATGTTTCTGGAATGTGTGACAGAACTGAGAACCTCCAGTTTTAATTAGCATCATCCCTGATTGAAGGCCTTCTGATCAGAACCTAGTCTTTGGTGAAAATGCTGTGTTTAATGAGGTACATTATCTTTTCTGATTCTGCATACTGATAGTGGGCGATCGTATTACTGAAAAGCAGCCAGTCAAAGCTGTGGGCGTCTTCATACCCTCGGCTATAGAAAAAAAGTGTGAAAAAAAGTTATTGTAACTTTGGTAACCAGGCACAACTACAGCGCTTTTGCTTTTCAGCGGTTCCGTTTCCCTCATCTTTCTGGTGATCTGTACTGTGTGTCAGTTTGGCCAGACACTACACACGGTGTGTCTATGTTTATACCACACTCTGCCGGCCTTTACAGCTCCTACTAGTGGCACGATCACAAAGGATGCCGTCTAATAGATAATTAAGGAAATCCTGACCGACTGCCAGTTTTTTATTAACAATGAATAATAATAATAATTATAATTGCTTACACTTATAAAGCGCTTTTCTTGACACTCCACTCAAAGTGCTTTACAAGTAATGGGGACTCCCCTCCACCACCACCAGTGTGCAGCCCCACCTGGATGATGCCACAGCAGCCATAGTGCACCAGTACACTCCCCACACACCAGCTATCAGTGGGGAGGAGAACAGAGTAATGAAGCCAATTCATAGATGGGGATTATTAGGAGGCCATGATTGGTAAGGGCCAATGGGAAATTTGGCCAGGACACCGGGGTAACACCCCTACTCTTTTCGAGAAATGCCAGTTGAAGAAACCCTCTTAGAATTAGGAAATGATGTAGCCTAGCGTCTGAGTTATATCTGGACTGTTGGTCTCAATGAAGAGTTTTATTAGTTGATCCGCTTGGGAGTTCCCCCAGATTCGTATTTTTACACGTCTGGCACTTGGCTGTCAGCGCGACGGAAAGAAACCGCGAGCACCAGCCGTCCCCTCCTGTTCTGGGGGTCGCTGACGGCCGGTGGATTTCAGGGGAGCTCTGGTTTCTAACTCAGCTGCAGGAAGGAAGCTGTCTGATCGACGTGCGAGGCGCTGCTCTGATCTTCACGCCGAGGCCCCTGCGGTTTGTCAGCATCCTGTCTAGTGTCCCGAGGCCGCGCGGCGCTGTGCTCTGAGCAGCCCAGGCAGGGATACAGAGGCGGGTCACGCAGGCGCCTGCCGAGCCTGTCATTCTCAGACTGCCTTTGAAGTCTGTAGGGGGGGACAGGGGGCTGGCAGATATACCCACATTGGTTTCATCTACTGGACTTAGCAAAGCGGATAGGGTCACGTTTTGACGTGGGGGCTTGCACCGCAAGTGCCCCTGTGATTGCCATATTTAGATGTGGTTGGGCAAACTTCATTTAGCAGTCTGGGCTGCTCGATTGCAAGGGTACACTGTTAGAATAGTATCCCGTCCATTGATCAGATCTCCACAACTCCCCCCTGCAGAGAACGCCTCTCATCCTGTCAGTCTTCTGTGGATGATACCTAGACCAGAAAAGGAGTCTTCCTCGGCTGGGAACTGACGAGATGGAGGAGAGGTTTTTCCGAGTCAAAGGCTTTGGTTGCATTACCAGGATTTGCTTACCTTTGGATCTCATCGTAAAACGTTTGAGGCAAACAACATGCTACGTCAGGTTGATTCAAAATCTGTACCAGCAAGTGCAGCTTTCTGCCAGGTGTCCCTTCTTTACTGCCTTCCTTTGTCACTGTCTTCGCTGGGCGATTTCTCAAAGTCCTCCCTTGCTCAGAAAGACGCTGTCATGTCAGCCACACTTCCTTCCTGCATGTCTCTGTCTGTCAAAACGGCAGCAGGCAAACGCGTACCTGCCAAGCTGCTTCCTGTGTGCAGGTCGGCTGTTGTTTGGGTTGTAAATCACTCTCGCAGGAAACCTTTCTCAGTTTGTCTCTCTGGGTGCTTTCTCTTCCTCTCGGTGTGGATTGCAGTCTCTCTCTCTTGTTGTCCCCCTGTCCCCGTCCCTGTCCCGATCCCAGCAGATAGGAAATAGGTGCCCTTTTCCAGCTGCTCCCAAGGAGCTTCCCTTAGGACTAGGCCAAGATCCCGCAGAGAGCTGTAGACTGGAGAGGCTTGGCGATTTCATTCCTGCTGAGAACTTATGGACTTATTCATTGGACTTAATGACCAATCACTTGCTTAATTAGTACAAACTGGCAAGTTTTCAAGGTCCTGTCTCATTGGCCGTTTAAAGTTTCTTAAGACAATGCAAGGTGTTCTCTGCATACGCGTTGAAAGCTCCTTTCTCTATGCAAGGTGAAACTACTGTTTTATTGTGTTTTTGTGTACAACTCAAAGCAAAATGAGACAGACATTGTGGCCAGTGATTTTTAGGTGCCCCATCAGTAATGTCCCCGGAGATAGTTTAGAATGGTAAAAAGTCATTTATTCCTGCATTATTTTCACTGTGCTTTTTGTCTATTTACCAGGCGTTCCCAGTAAATCATGCCTCTGTGGGTGAGTAACACCGCTCTCTGTAGCTTTGAAGATGGCGAATCATGGCATTATTATAGTCTAGGGTAGTAAGGATCAGTAAACGTACTGTACAGGGATGTTATGCTCCGATAGTGTGTAGAATTACTGCTCACAGTTACCATAGTAAACGTTCATGATTTTTTCCCCTCACTACCCAGCACCATAGACGCAACGATAACCAGCCAATGTGCTCCAACTCTTTCTTAACATCTTCTTTCTGTGAGGGTTCAATTTGTTTGTTTTGTGACAGACACCGGAGGCAGAAATCAGGTAGACGAGCAAGGTGAGTTGGGGCCCAAACTAGACGTTCCTTTTGGTCCCCGATTCTGAAGTTGGCTACATTAAGAAACCGTGATGCAGGAAAAGCTCTCTGAATTCACAGGTCACAGCGTTCAGTAGCTGACAGTATTTCAATTTCAAATCTCTGGACCGTGACACTCGACAGGAAGAGAGCAGAAACCAATGAGACAGGAAGAGGTGCAGTTTTCAAAGACACGACGCAGGGCTTGCTCTGAACAGGAGTTATCTTGATGCCGTTCCATTTTTATGCAGACATTGCTGGTGTGTTTCTGTGTGGAAGCTCTTTGTGGAATTAACTTCAGCTGACGGGGCTGTAGTCTTACTGAGGAGTGCGGCTTTCCTCCTGTTTAAGACGGCTCAGAGCTAACTTGACCTTAAAGATGGATCTCTTTCGTTCTTGAGGAAGGATGACTGACACGCTGCAAAACTGAGCAAAGACTTTTAGAAGACGGGCAAAAGGAAACTAAAACATTATAGACCGATATTCTTTGGAATAATCTGGCTTGCTTGATTAAAGACTCACTCGTCCTTGGACTTTGCTCAAGACTCCAGATTTAGTAGTTTGGGTAAGTGCTATTCTCTTAAGGGCTTAAAAAGACTTATAACTTCGGCTCTCCTTGCATAAAAGTTATGTCAGTTATACAAACTGTAAGATATAAAGGGGGTTAATTGATGTTCTTTTGACTCCTTGTTTACCTAAACCAGGCGTTCATGTGCAGATGTTACCCTTACTTCATGTAAGGTGTATGTTTTCTTCTAAACCACAATTTCCAGCACTTATGTTCACTACATCTTGTGCAGAACTCGCAACAAATACTTTGAGCTAATTTTTCTGGTTTGTCGATTCTGTTAGCTGGTTTGCCCAGAGCATTTCGCCAGCCTTTAGGAACCCATGTATTTCAGGCCATTATTTATACTATTTCAGGCTCAGAAAATGAAAGAAAAAGCGGGGTGTGGACTGAATGGAAAGACAAAGGAGAATGGAAATTATATAAAGATTGCTTTTGGATCTGCTTTACACTTGAACATGGGTCAGCTCCAGCTTCTTGGCAGAGATGAAATAATTCTTTTGGCGGAGTTAAAATATTTTGCGCGGATGGGTTAGAGGAGTGGTTCTCAAGTCCTTGAGTACCTCTGTCTCTGCTGGTGTTCGCTCGTTAAGTGGAGCATTAATCACCTGTGCTAATTGCATTGATTTGCTTGCCTAGGCTTTTTTCCTGCACTCAGGCCTAAATGCTCAGTACAGTGACTCTCAGTTCGCATCCTGGGTAACACTTGTGTCTGTTTTTGTTGCTCGGGCCAAGAGTTTAATCTCTAGCTAACATGCTGTATATTGATTATTTTATTTGAGGCTTTGTTGACATTTGCTTTCAGTGCTTAACAATGTGCTTTCAGTTCTTAAAAATGAGCTTTCGGCTAATTTGTGAGTTATAGGGCTGTCCTCATTGAGGTGTGTGAGCTGAAATATAGCTATTTGGATTGAAGAAAAAAACAACACTGCCTCACCTGGCAGGTGTCTGATACAATGTCCTTCCCACTGGTGTGTGTTCATCATCAGTCAACACCATTTAATTAACGTTCTTAATTAGAAGGCCGAGGGGCAGCTGTACACACTCTCACTAAGGTATTTTTGATACCTAGGCCTGAAAGCAGGAAAAAGCCAGCAAACACAGGGGTCACCCAGGAAGTGGGTTGTGAACTATTGGATTAGAGAATGAAGAGTTGTTCAGTTGACAGCTTCCCCATTTGCTGTCCATTATTCCTGAGAATGAAAGAAAATGACACGCAATGCTGCACATTTTATGCTAAACTTGAAAGGCCCAAGAGTGTGTGAAATCAGGCATGAAGATCCTTGCTCTGTAAGCATCGTGTCTTTCTTTTGGTAAGCTGGTGTGCTGGTGAGCTTCTGGAATCCATGGGTAGATATTGAGCGCATTGACGATTAAGAGAACAACGATGTTACTGTATCTTTTAAAAGGTGCTTTATTGCTGCTTTTGCTGGTGCTTGTGACTGTAAAGGGATGCAGCCCAGCAGCAGTGGAGCTTATACTGAAAATGTACTTGAGCAACTAAACTGTTGCTTCTTGTTTTTTCTTTCAACGGCGGGACTATCTTTTCTTCCAATAACTGTAGTGAAAGCCTGAGTGAATGGACCAGATTAAACCATCTCAGGCATGATATTCATGGTCTGACCTGAACTGTTACATCCTGATTTTAAATGCCTGTTAGGATTCATCTAGCACAGCAGGGAGTAAAGAACATAAGAAGAAGTTGAGCTAACCGGATAGCGACTGTTCAGCTCATTTCACTCATCCCATTGCTTGTAGCTGAAAAAGCCTGAATCGTGCCCAGCACTTGCCTGAAGTTTGAAACCAGTGAATCCAACACTTTCCTCTCCAATGCAAAAGCTGGTGCTTTCAATAAAAAGCATCTTTACCAAATGCATCCATTCATATTTTTCAGTGGTCCCCTTACACTGTGTTTGTAGAGATGGCGTTCTTGTATATTTTTGGACCTGAAGAACGCAGGTTCTTTGCCGTCTGCAGATATATACATATGTTAATGCGGTAAAACAATTAATGGCTAAACTAGTCACATACAGCCTTACAGTTATCGTGGTTTGACTGAACAAGAGTTCAAGAGAATTTTTTTTTTGCAGCAAAGTAAGTTCTAACAATCTTGACTCCGAATGATGTCTCTAGCCTCAGTCAGCACATGCCCATAACAGCTTAGGTCAAACAGAAGAATGAGCTTTTCTTGTCTCCTACTGGATTCCTACTGGAATTCATCTGGGACAGCACCATGAGTTTGCCGCATCGAAAACACTCCCAGTGCATGTTCTTGTAATGTAAGGGGAGAGACCAAGAAAAACCCACATTGTCAGAAAGAGAGTTCCGTGCATCAAGTTATTCAAAGTGACTATGCAGTCCTCAAAGGGTGCGTTGTATTGTAGAAATTGTATTGTATTTCATCTTAAATTTCATGTTCAAAATTAATTTTAAATGATCTGAAGCACAGCCTTAGTTCATCATTGTTGAGCACACAAACTGGTTTCTAATCCAATTTGGCAAAGACGCAGACTACCGGATAGCATGCAGAGACGAGTCAACCTGTCTACAGCCTGCTGCAGAGTAACTGAAGACTTCAGGAACAGCAACAGAGTGAGTCCATATTTTCTGTGGCTCTCGATACTTACAAAGAAGCAGCAAAACGGATAACTGGCCTTTTAAATTCTGGATACAGTGCAACAATACTGGATCCTAACAACCTAATACAGCTATCACACAGAAGCCAGGGACTGCTCTGCAGCTCTCGAGCTCTCCTCTCTTCCTCTCCAGACAGACATGCTGCCCCAGGATGGCCAGGGATCTGCAGAATGTTTTACACTGGCCCTCAGTTAAACTACAGTAATTATATATAATATAATTATCAATGGCGATTTAAACCTGAAACCCCCCAACAAGAGCCAATGAGGGGGCCAATGAAATTTAAGAAATATTAAGTGTATTAATAATATGCACCTCTCTTGGTCGTACTCAGGCACTTTGAGTCTACATTCCAGTCACTTTCATGCAGAAGTCCGATTTATTTTTACTCAAAGGGCTTTAGCCAAAGTAGCACCCAGTCGTGATAACACTGAAAAACTGAGAAAAACACATATGAGCCATAGTTCAAACCCTATTTCAGATGTGCAGATTCTTACTGTGAGGAGGACTGAGTTCACTTACAAGAGCAGTAGGACGTCCAGATTCCCTCTGTCGAACACTGGGTTTGTATGCCTTTTCTGTTGTGATTCAAGCTTTACTGTGGAATCCTTTTTCGTTGGGAAAAGTTTGCCTTTTGCCAAAGACAGATATTCCACCTTCCTTTACTAAATGCATCCATTCCGTTCTTGGTTTCTTGGGATCTGAAGAACGCGGGTTCTGTGCCGTCTGCAGATATATGCATATGTTCACGTGGTAAAACAATTAATGGCTAAATAAGTAGTCTGCATGTTCTAGCAGTCCCATACAGCCTTACAGTTGTCGTGGTTAGACTGAACAAGAGTTCAAGAGAGTTTTTTTGCAGCAAAGTTCTAACAATCTCGGCTCCGACTGACGTCTCTAGCCTCAGTCAGCACATGCCCATAACAGCTTAGGTCAAAAGGAAGAACCAGCTTTTCTTGTCTCTGCATCCTACTGGAATTCATCTGGGACAGCACCATGAATGCTGCTACTGTGTTTATATTACTAATATTGATTAATGAATCAATTCAAAGATACAGGTTTCCAGATTTTACAATGCGAAACAGTATTGCGTAAGACCGTCGCAACAATACAAATAATGAATCATCTTCCACAAATGGACTTTAATTGGAGGTGACTGAATACGTGCACCCCTTTAACGTGCACACAGAGGACTTCTCAATTATTCTACCGCCTCCGGGAGGTCTTGAATATGTTTGCATTTCACAGAGGGAAGCCTGTTGGCTGAACCACTCCAGGTCGCTGAGGAGAGGTTTAAAACAGGGCTCTTCCAGTCTTGACTGCAGAGGCCGATCTCTCTGCACAGCGTGATGGGGCTGAAATAGCACAGCCCTTCAGCAGATCCACAGCTCTGTTTCATCAAGGCCATCTGTATTCCAGTCCCCAAGGGCGCTTTGCATCTATAACTACAGAATGTGCTCTTTTCCACAGAGCTCTCTCACTGATGACCAGCAGTTGGGGAAACGCTGTTTCTCTGTGTAACTTTTAGCTGTGACTCCTGTATGGAACTGGAATCTTTACTGTTATGTGGTGGGATGGCTCAGTATTTATGAAACTTGGAAAAGATGATGGAACTGGAATCTTTACTGTTATGTGGTGGGATGGCTCAGTATTTACGAAACTTGGATGATGATGATGAAGATGATGATTTAATAAGATATATTTAAACTAAATGTGTTAAGGAACATTTAAGACCCTAATATTTCGTTCAGTGGAATAGACTTCACACAATCTGAAGAAAATGAGACAAAGGATGATGTTTTTGTGTCAGCAGAGCAGGCTTTGCCTGTAAGTTAATCTAGGCCAGAGGTGCTTTTAGCCTGATAGAACTTTGCCAGTTTCTTCTTTTTGTAAGCACCCACTTTCTATCGGATCATTCGCAATACCTTTGCCGCCAGAGCCCAGCCTCTCTGGCCCGTGATGTTTGTACTGGACTGTGAGTTGAGCCGTTGGACCAACATACGGGATCGTGTTATACTGTAGCTGCCAGACTTCCCCAAGCTGAAATATTTTGTCACGGTGTCATTGTGCTGCTTATTGAGGAGCAGAGTGGGGTTTAAAGTTGTGTAGCCTGTGCTAAATACAGTACGTCAATTACACCTTCCTACCCATGTGCCTTTATTTTGATGTCAAGAAGTGGAAGTGTCTTGGAGGTTGCTAGGCAGCGCTACAGGAAAGACGTTTTCGATTCCAGCTTTTTTCATAGAAAACTGACTCATCTTCCAGCTCATCTTATATAATAAACACTTACTGCTTATTACTAATTTACTTGGACATCATCTGCAACCAGGCAGCTTTCAGTTCTTAAGGCTCCACAAGAATGGTGCTGCTGGTTCCCTTCATTAAAAAAAAAAACTGGCTTTGTGGGTGCTGCGGTTTTATTCTCCACTTGTGGGTGATGATCATCAACACGTTAACTTGCTGTGCTGCTAGCCAGCATTGCAAAAAATCGAGTTCCCTTTGGTTTGATGTCCCCCGTTGTCGAAACATTTGATGTTTGATTTTTTTAAAAAAAAACTATTCCACATCTCTACGCGCTCTGCGTAAAGGGAATTTTACAGTAACGGCCGGCATAAGAAAGGAAAACTCCACGAGCCGTAGATGCAACAGACGGTGCCTCTCTGCTGTTACTTTTAAATTCAGGCCTGAAATATTTCTATTCAAACAATTATTTTATTTTTCCGTGATAGATGACCAGTAGTACCGGACTTGCTCCCGGCAGGCTTCACCTTCTCTAAGGTAAGCGCAGGTCTGCTGCTGCTGCTGCTGCGCTCGAACCCCCGGCAGGAAGTGGTGACGCAGAGCCGCCAGCGAGCCGGGGGGGGCGGCGCCTTCCCTCTGTGCAGAGCGCTGCATAGCGTGCAGGGACGCGCCGGTCGCGGTCGGCTCTAACCTCAGAGCTTGTTCTGCCTCGTTCTCCTGGCGCCTGTGTCGAGGGAGAGCGCGGCGCGGCGTACCCGCCGCCCGCCAGCCTGTGGATGAACTGGTCTGGCTGTGGCACCGGTGGGGGGGGGACGAGGTCATGACCCCTGCTGCCTGTCATTCACTGGCGCGCTGGGCTGCTGTTTGAGGTGTTGAAGGCTCACCTGTCCGTTTCGCCGTGTTTTGCTTCTTGAATGTTCGAATAAATGCTCTTTAAAACCTATAGGCAGATCTGCCCTGCCCCCCTTTTCAACATTGCATTTGTTACATGTGTGCTGAATCCTGCAGACTCAAGGTTGAGTGCTGTAGTACCAGTCCATCCCTATGCCTTGTCCTGCATTGCCTAGCTGTTGCAGCAAACCTAGCGCACGACTTTAAGGGCATGTGGTTAGGAGCCGAAAAAAACCCTGCAGAACAGCAGTCGTTCTGTTTTGCAGGGCTCGTCAACTTGCAGCAACTCCATTCTGCTCTATTGCTGTTCTTTAAAGTAGTCAGCCCTCTATTGCTATACAGAATATTATAGATCCAGCTAATAATCAGTCAAATAATTAATATGCTGGACAAGTGTGTAATGGAGAAGATTGTATGGATTGTATTGAATTGTCCTGCTGAACAGCATTGCAGGAAACACAATTTTGCAACGCATCTGGACTCCCTGGACCCTTGAAAGCAGGACACTCTTAGAAGAGATCTTAGTATCTCTCGAGTCCAGGCAGAACACCGAACAACCATTGCAGATCTGCCTACCTTGCAGATCATCAAAGCTCGTCTTTAATAGCACACGGGTCTTTCTGTTAAAGAAATGAATTTCTGAGTGGTTCGGGTTTCTACGGGAGTGAATGACTCTCTGGTTCTCCTGTCAGCTCACACAGGGGTGTACAAATTAGCTGAGACTAATTTGCTTGAAGTTGCAAATTTGAATAACCTTTAACACAGATCTTCTTCAGAATGCCCCTTAGATCTTTGCCTGGCGTTAGCATTTTTTTTTAGATGACGTGCACGAAAATCAAAACAAAACTCTTCACGGCTGCGTTGTAGTTCTCTTGAGGATAACCGTCGGCACCAGTCTTGTCTAAGGCTCCCGTCGTGCTTGGAGCTGCCGTGCAGAAGGGCGCCAGTACGTTCAGCACCTCAGGGTGTGGTATTCCTGTACAAAAAGCAACCTCCAGAGTCTTGAGTGGCCGTAACTGAGCAGCAGAAATGCTTTAAGGCACGCACTGGGGGTTGGTTTTGCTTTTGTTTCGGTTTGTTAACACACGGGCTTCAAAGTTTATACCAAACAAAAAAAAAAATACATGCAGAACTGGAACGCTTATTTAACACCGAAGAGGATCGGGTTGAAAACGTAGCTACATGTTGGCTCCCGTCCTCTTGAGTGAAAATGCCGACTGTGCATGCTTTTCACTCTGTGACTTCATTGTCTGTGAATTGATGGCTTTTCTGAGGTCGGATCTGGAGCTTCTGTACGTGTCCTTGTCTCCAGAGTTGAAGGCGGATGTTCAGGCTCTCAGTTTAGCTTGTACTTCGCCATTTACCCTGATATAGCTAGTAGCATACAGTACTAGCATTTACTCACGGTTTTTGATGTGGGTATGTGCAAACAGTAATCCTGGGGACAACATCTTCTATGCATTTGCTGATATAGCTAGTAGCAAATACCTCCTACCCTTGTGTTACTTTCGCACAACCTGTAAATTGTATTGTAAATTGCAATTGGGTGATTTATTGTATCCTAATGTTAATCTAATCCCTATAAATTCCTGTCCTTCTATCCCTCTTAACGAGCTCACGGGCAAAGCATTTAATTGCCGACAACACCGCTGTATGCTGTACTGTTCGTGCACTGATAAATAAGCCTTGATCGATTGATTGATTTTCAGGAGCTGTGCAGATTTGTTGCACGCATGTTTTGAGCTAATGGTTCCGTAGGGCATGCAGATGCAGATGGCTCCTGGCCCTGTCCAGCTTCTCACAACACATTTCTCATCGCATCGCAGTGACACCAGGGCCCGTGGTGACGCAGCACCCTGTTCCGCGCCGGGGCCTGTGGGTTTGGGGCGAGCTGGGCGATCAGTGCACAATCAGACTTTTCTGTGCCGTGTTTGGCGGGAGGTCTCTGGAGGAAGCTGCCCGAACACACAGCCCACTGCTCGGGCTGGTCAGAAGCTTTTTTTAGTTTTGCCCGCTGAGCTGGGGATGGTGATGTTGCCTTTTTGATGAGGCACGTTATCTTGTCAAGATAACCCTCCAATAAGTGCGTCATCTGATTCACTGGAATTTTCCCCAGGCCAATGTGAGAAAATGTTATCTTATAAGCAACAGGGGCTTTTGAAAAAGGCCTGCAGGGTTATGATATTCACAGCTTGGATGTGTACAGACATTCTCATGGATAGCAAAAGTTTCTCTTCTCTGAAGTTCTCATTACAATGAAAGACGATCATCTGTAAACCAAGAGAACAGTGCAGTTTACCATTCTTTGTTCTAATTGCAAACAATAAGGTTGGCATCCCTTATCTCCTGAAGAGAATCCAACCTTTTTTTTTTTCTTTTTAAGTAAGTCATCTGATAGACGGGATATGAAATATTTATTTTTCCTTAAACAGCTGCACGCACAACTTGCCAAGACCAGCTCGATCAGAGTGAGCCCTGTCATTTCAAATGCACGGCCTTTCGATCTCCAAACTGATCATGTTCTGGAAAAGCAGTGGCAGGTGCACACCTGCTTTCCAAAAGTGTTCCTAAGGACATTTGATATTTAAAAAAAAAAGCTTTCGGTTGTTTAGGTGTCGAATAGCAGCTCGCTTTGTATGGGCGTTTCAGATCAAAGATTAGCTCTTCTCCACTAACTGTAAGGTTCTAAGAAATGTCTGATTCTTAGCTCTTAACTCTTCTAAGAAAGATTAAATATCTGAGCTCTGGTCTCTCTGTAAATGGGTTTGATTGATTAAATGATCCAAATTACCTTTATTCTCTATTTTCCAATCATTTTCTAAGCCCCAGCACTGTCACCCACAGATGATCTTTTCTGAATTGGCGTAATTTTACACAATATAATGTTTTCAAAAGAGACCGTAGAACTGATGGTTGAAGTTTTGCAAAGAAGACACCATAATTTATATATAGGTTCTTTTTTAATGTCAATAAATTTAAAAAACAATTATCAAGAAACAATTTTGTTAATTCCTTTCAGCCAATTGTCCCATTAGGTAACAAGCAATATGACAAATGTTTTTGAATGACTTACAGTTTCGGCCATCATCTTTTTTTTTTTCAAGTTGATCTCTTGTGTTTCTTAATTATTTAACAAGGCAAAAGCGCTACTGCTCTCCAGGACTATTTTCTGAGATGCAATAACCTGATTGAAGTGGGTCTTTTCAGGGACAATTATTTAGGAAGGTCCACTTTATTTAACTGGTTCCTTCAACTAGATAAAATAAAATACAAGACTGAGAACTGTTTTAAACTTAAGAGCAAAATACATACAAAGAAGGTAAGAGGAGGGCATTCAGTCCATATAGCTTCACTGGTTGCTAGAGACATTTGATCTGAGGACCTCATCTAGCCAATTCTTGAAGGGATCCAGGGTATCAGCTTCAATGTCATGGCTGGGTAGCTTGTTCCACACTCCCACAACTCTTTGTGTAAAGCAGTGCCTCTTGTGCTCAGTCTTAAATGCAGGCCTCTCATTCGTGATACAGTGTTAATCCCCAAGAAGTTTATTGTGTTGACTGTGTCAGTGCCTTTGATGATTTTGAACACCTGAATAAAGTGATTTCGTAGCCTTCTCTTTTCAAGGCCAAGAACATTCTTTACTGTTAACCCATCAGTGTAGGATATTCCTGTATAACCAGAACCTAACCCACAGCAAAGATATACCTTTTTGTAATGTGGTTACCAAAAGTGTGCATAATATTTCACAATACATTTACGAATACATTTTACATTTTTTTTACACTTCTTGCTTTAAAATCTACACTTTAGCTAAACATCCTACTGTTGCATGCCTTTTTTACCACTGTTATTAATTCATTATACTTTTTTATTACTCTTTACAGGAACACCCAACACACAGCCTCATGCAGTTGGGTTAGTAATGCTTAAAAGGCTTTTGTGTCTGTTTTCAGTGCAATGGAAGTAGGCTAAGCGAGGAGTTGTGACTGAGAAACTGTGAAGAACCTTCAGTTTGGATCACAGCGCAAAGATAGCATGGCTGTAAGGCCATTCCCTGGAGCTTCAATCTGACACTCCCTCCCCATAAACAAAGATGAAAATGGAAGGTAAATTTCTATTCATTGTCATCTGTACTTTCAGTAAAGTGTTAATCAGTCACCTGTCTTTCAGATGAGATATTAAACTGAGGTCCTGGCTCTCAGTGGTCATTAAAGATCCCCGGACATTTCTCGAGAGGAATAGGAAGTTATACCAGTGTCTGGGCCAAAATCCACCCCTCGGCCCTTACTGTGGCCTCCAAATTGTCCCCATGTGTGATTGGCTTGCACTTGCCCTGCGATGGACTGGCGTCCTGTCCAGGGTGTACCCTGCCTTGCGCTCGTTGCTTGCTGGGTAGACTCCGGCTTTACCACAACACCGTATGGTATGAAGCGGTTTGGTAAATGACATGACATGACATTAATCAGTCATTCCATGATCTCTTTTTGAGTGTTAATTTGTGATTTAAAAGGAAACTGCGTATCATTTCCAGCTACAGTTAAGAGACCTTGAGAAGGTCTTTAACATGTGAAACACAGAATAACAAAGGTCATACCAAATACACATTTTAACGACTGTGAGAACGTTTTACCTGTCCTCGCAGAAGAGCTGAGAGATGACGCTCGCCACGCAGATACAGTGAATTGACCGTGTTTGAAATGAAACCAGCCTGACCCCTTGCGTTCTGCAGGTGTTTGGATTAACAGATACCGGAAGCAGCTGGTGAGGTCCATCTCGGGGCCCTTCCTGGAGAACATCGTGAGCCACATGAGGAAGCTGGAGCTCCTGAGTAAGGACGAGGCCTGCCAGATTCAGGCCGCCGGCCACGTGTCTGAGAAGGTGCGCACGGTCATCGACATCCTGGCCTTGAAGGGACCCCAGGGCTCCGAGTCGCTGCAGGCCTTCATTGAGACCACCAACTCCCAGCTCTACCTTCTCATCACGCTGTATGGTGAGTGGGGCTCACAAAGGGGAGTTTGCTCTCTGTTTCAATGGGGTGTTCAATTGAGCTATATTTTAAGCAACAGAAAAGGAGAATTCTGGTTGAACACTGACCTTCGCTGGAGAAACGGGTGTCCCGATTTCTTACCACCCTCCTCCGCAAGCACAAAGGATTGTTTCGGCCTTCTGACAGAATGTGGTCGGATTTGACCGACGTCTCTTCTCTTCTGTGTTCAGACCCGATGGTGCAGAAGCACGTGGAGGTGCTGCAGAGCCGCTACGGGCCCTGGCTGGAGCAGAGCCTGCTGCCGATCAAGCCTTCCCTCGACAACTTCACCAACCTGCTGCTGGTGGAGGGGCTGTCGGACCTCCAGCAAAAGGAGCACGACGTCATGCAGATCGAGGCCACCAGAGGAACCGGGAGACACAATGCCAGGAGGCTGGCCCTGGACAAACTGCTGCTGCCTCTCACCAGGGTGAGCATGCCCCCTCGGATCCTGTTGACTGTGGGCGTGGCGGGCATCGGGAAGACCAACCTGGTGAGACACTTTATCCACCACTGGGCCAAGGGAGAGATCTACCAGGAAGTGAACTTTGTCTTTCCCTTCACCTTCTGGGAACTCAACGCCTACGAGAAACTATCTGCTGAGCGGTTGATAAAGCAGACGTTTCCCCACATCGCTGACGTGAGCCAAATCTTCGGTGGCACTCCTCGCGTCCTCCTGATTTTTGATGGGCTGGATGAGTTCAAGTGGCCGCTGGACTTCTCGGACACCGTGGCTTGTACGGATCCCAAGAAGGAGGTCCCTGTGGACAACCTCATCACCAACATCATCCGGGGGAACTTGTTCTCTGAGGCCTCTGTCTGGCTGACCTCTCGGCCCACAGTAGCAGCCCAGATCCCTGGGGGCCTAGTGGACAGGTTGACCGAAATCCAAGGTTTTGGACATAAAGACATCCAGCATTTCCTACAGCAGCTTTTCCAGGATGGAGACCTGCCTTCGCAGATTTGGTCCCACCTGAACTCCAACAAGATCTTCCTGGTGATGTCCTACGTGCCCTGCGTTTGTTGGATCATTGCCTCCACCCTTGGACACCTCCTGAGGAATGACACGCAGGATGGCTTGCCCAGAACGTGGACCGAGCTCTACTCTCACTTCTTCAAGATGATGGTGGAAGGGGATTCCAAGGATAAGGAGCCCTTAAAGATTGAACAAGCCAGCGGGAGCAGTCGGAAGCTGATGGGCAGCCTGGGGCGATTAGCCTTTTACGGGCTGATCAAGAGGAAGTACAGCTTCTATGAGCAAGACATGAAGGCTTATGGGATTGACCTGCCTTCCTTACAAGGCAGTCTTTGCACTCGCATCTTAGTAAAGGAAGACTCCCCAGTCTCCACAGTCTATTACTTTGCCCATCTCACACTCCAGGAGTACCTGGCGGCCACCTACTACTACACGGCCTCGAAGCGCGCTATATTCGATCTGTTCACGGAGAGTGGGATGTCCTGGCCCAAAATAGGCTTCCAGAACCACTTTAAAAATGCTCTCCAGAGGTCCCAGCAATCCGAGGATGGACAGCTGGATGTTTTTGTCCGCTTTCTCTCCGGCCTGCTCTCCCCCCAGGTGATCAAGCCCCTGTCTGGACTGCTCTTGCTGGCCAGGGACGAGCACAACGGCTACCGAGGTCCCGCCATCTCCTTCCTGCAGAGCAGCCTCAGCTCCGGCTGCACCATCTCCCTGCGGGCCGTCAACATGGTGCACTGCCTCCAGGAGCTGCAGCACACGGAGCTGGCCCGGACCGTGGAGGAGTCGCTCCGCAACGGCAGCCTGGCAGGCAAGCTCAACACCGTCAACTGCTCGGTGCTGGCCTACCTGCTGCAGGTGTCGGAGGAGTGCGCAGAGGAGACCAACCTGTCCAGCTGCCTCAACTACAGCATCGTCAAGAGCCTGCTGCCGCAGCTCCTCTACTGCAGCAATCTCAAGTAAGCCCATGGGCAGGGTGTAGGGGGTGGGAGGACGGGGTATATTATACCAAAAAAGACACCCCGTGCAATACAGAGCTCGTTGATTGATATGGTCATTTTAACCCTTGCAACTTGACCAGAGGTAATTGGAGGTCACTTTGGACAAAAGGATCTGGCAAATAAATATACACCTGTATTCATATTCCCAATTTAAGATAAGATCACTTTATTGGCCATATACAATTTCTTGTATTAGGAATTTGTCTTTTCACATACCCCAACTTGCTCTCCAGGAGACACACAGACGGGGAGAGAAGCTGGGGGTCAGAGCACAGGGGTCAGCCATTTATACAGCACCCCTGGAGCAGTTGGGGTTAAGGGCCTTGCTCAGGGGCCCAACGGAGTAGGATTCCTCTTCCGGCTGCGGGATACGAACCGGCAACCTTCCAGCCACGGGCGCAGATCCTTAGCCACAGAGCCACCGCACCGCAGAATATGAAGGATTGTCAGGGAAAGACCTTTAATTTCAACACTTCTCATGGAAATGTAGCCATTCAGTACATTTGGCCAAGATTAGACATTAGACAGTATATACCTGGGAACTGTGCAAAGGGAGGTGCATTATTTAAATGGTGCTCAACTGATCACAGCTACAGAGATGTTCCATGAAAGTGTGATGCTGGGCCTCAACTGGTTTTAAGTACCACCTTCTCTGGTATCTGTTTGTGTTGCCTTTTCCAGACTGGAGAATAACCAGTTTAAGGATGATGTCATGGAACTGCTGGGCAGCTTGCTGAGCGCCAAGGACTGTCACATCCAGAGGATCAGGTCAGAGCTCACCCTCATTGCTTTGAGCTGCCTGTTTGTTCTGGGGTCTCTTGAAGATGTTGACACTAAACAAGGGAACTGCCATCTATTTAGAAAAGGTTCATTTCTAGTGAGAAAGGCATCGCTCTTCTGTATCAGCTGGTGTAAGTGTGCACAGTGTTGTCCAGTAGTCCCTCTTAAGGTTATGTTCTTCAAATGCAAATATTTCCTCAGAAATATGAATTTATCCCGGAGTGTAGACAAGAAGTAAGAAATTATTGTCCCTCATCTATGGTTCGTTGTCCATGAGTATTTATGGCATATTTTAAAAGTAAACTAGGTATCTAAAGTCATACATTTCAAACATTTTTGAATTCCAAAACACTCCCACTGCGACTTAGTGTATTTTTTATTACAAGTCCTCTGGTGTCACAACTCTGATGAATAAAAATAACGACCTTGTTTACTCTCAGCTAGGCTGAAGGAAAGCAGCCCAGGGGTCAGCTGCGTTCTTTGTTTAACATCATTATCTCTGCTTCCTAGCTGGTTAAATTGACTCATTAACAGTATATTTGTGATGGAGATATAGTTATTTCGCTCACCCAGCGACCTGAAACATACAGTAATTGTGTTGTTTTTTTTTTATCCTCCTTTGCTTTGAGAAGCGCCTGTTCCGTGCGGTTCGGGAAGGCGACTGTGACAGCTGTGTGACGATTCTCGTAGCTCGGGGAAGGAAATGATTGACATTCTTGCTGCCATTTGTCAAAACATCGATTTGCCTTGCCTTGCCTTTCTGCATGACTGGCTAGGAAACATTGCCTGCCAATACAAGCTTGGGGAGAAAGTAGACAGAGTTATGTGTGCTCTTCTAATGACTGTAATAATACACTCCAGCTGGATTTGCGGGTCTGAAATGACTTGTAGTCAGGGGACAGAAACGTCCACACATTTTAAAATCGCCTCCAGAGCAAAATGCATTTGCTTTTTTTCTATTATTTACTAAGCAAACTGTTCACGGACGTCATATATTCTCGCACGAACCGAGGAAACAATCCACATTGTCTTTAGATCAAGACAAATGAATTCAGTGCTTTACAGCTGTGACCTTGATCAGGATTTGCTTCAACAATGTTACTAGACAAACAAATACTAAACAGCTATCGCACTTAGAACAATTGTTTTTCTACTGTAAGGTAATTGGTAATAAGACTAGCATGACTCATGCATAGTTAACTGTAATAAAACATTGATGTTTTAAACACTATTTTTCCATTAAAGTTATGCATACTAGTAGGAAGCCAGTAGGTAGAGTGTTTAGGCTTTTAAGAAGTCAGTTTTATTGGTTATTAACATTTTAAAGCTATGGGCTATGATGGTTTATGCCTCCAACAAAATAAATATATCCAGAAAGCGCACAGTTAATCTGCCATTTGCACTTTGCGCTAGCGAAACAAGACAGATCAGAACGTGACTCCAGAGAATCATTTCTCTCTCTCTCTCTCAATGTCGACAGAAGGTCAGTGGAGGATGGGGGGGGATTTAGGTTGATTACTCTAATTGTGAAGAAAAGTGATCGATTCCAGCCATGTCATTCCTTTATTTCTTACAGTTTTCCCGTCTTTCAACTAAAGCGTTTTCTTTTGAATAAACCATGTCTGCCAAGGACAAGGGTCTTTCTTCATGCTGAAATACTTGTTTTGTGTTCGTGAAAGTAAAACCCATTTTGTGTTTGAGTAAGCACTGTCTTGCCTCTGATATGCCTTCACCCTACCACCAGCCTGGTTGGTACTGTATTCAGGAGTCCTTCAGAACCAGCTCTCTGAGCCTATGTATGGACCATAAAAAGGCACTTTGCCAAGTGTCCTTGAGTGGCGCCAAGGTACCAGTGGAACAGTGGGATAATCACTTTGCAGTAGCCAAGTGTGAGGCTATTTTAATCCATTCCTGTGCAGCTCTGTAGCACAGCCAGCTCAGTTGGCCCCTGAATCGAGCTACAGGTTCTCAAAATATGATGATGTTATCCGTTCAGTCGAATCCGACTCTCTGCGATTCTATAGGCCATCTCTCGCCACGCTTTCCGGTCTTGGACTTTCCCTTTCAGCTGTTCTATGCCTAAGCATGTGTCTGTTTTGATGGCGTCGAGCCAAAATAGCTGTCATGCTATTTCTGTCCGAACCATTCTTGAGCATGATACAGTAATACCCTGTCTCAGGATGCCGATTTTAAAATAACATAAAACAGAGTGAATCAGCTTTAACTTTATAGGCACAGAGTGGTTTAGCTTTTGGTAGATTGTGGTTTGGTTACTCAGCCCACCTGTGCGCTGCAAGGCAGTGCAGTCAGGTTATCTCCAGCTGGCTTGGTTTGAGTGCAGACTGAGCTGCATTCTTGGGGATGAAACACAGGTTTACTAGTATGAAGGACCCTGTATACAGTACAGGTGTTAACTGCTGCTCATGTGTTCTGCTGTTTCCCCAGTCTCGCTGAGAACGCCATCAGTAACAAAGGAGCCAAGGCCATCAGCCGGTCCCTCATGGTGAACAGGAGCCTGACTGCTCTGGAGTGAGTACGACACACGATGCAGCCCAGCGGCGCAGACGATCAGCACAGACCGCTTCCTAAATGCTTGAACCTCGCTTCACCGCCCCACTGTAACTAATGCAGATTGCGGGTCTGACCCATGAAACATTTTGTTTTTAGAAAACCTAACATCATTCAGGTTTTGGAATTGTTTGATATTTCTGGAAGGATTTTAGTAGTGGACATTGCTCAACCACCTAGTAACCGATACAGAATTGGCACCCTAGGAAGCCTAAAGCCCGCGCAGAAGACATCGGCTCTGTAGTGGCCATAAATATAGATATCTCAGCTGTGGTTTTTGTTGCTGTGGAGTGACAGACTCATTGCTTTCCCTGATCAGTGGGGACCCAGCTTAATCCAAAGACTGTGGGGGCTCTTGAGGGGCCTCAACCAGTAGAGGTCTCTGCTTGAAGTGCAGGATAGGACATAGAGTCCAGAGGTTGCTGGTTCTATTCCAGGCTGTGTCAGTAGTCCATTGTGATACTGATCTGGAAGCTGTAGCACACAGTAGTCTCATTAGCAGCAGGGTACCTTTGAGGTTGATTGGTGAACTTACTTTGCTGTGCAACATACTGTAGGTTCTTATTAGATTTCTAGGCACCTACAAAGCTTGGAGTGTTTTAGCAACAGCTGTATCAGACAGCCAAGGACACTTACCTCTGCACTAGGGCTTGGCTGCAAAAAAAGAGAGCCAAATAAAGGCCGAGCCCTTGTTTTCTTACACCTCTCCCCTGCTGGTCTGAGGGTTGAAAAGATTTCCAGTCAGTGATGGATGTCCGTGGTGCTGGTCCTTTCGTGCCGCTCGTATCGCAGTTTGATTGCCATGCTTGTCCTTACAGTCTCCGCAGTAACAACATCGGGCCCAAAGGAGCCAAAGCCCTGGCAGAAGCGCTCAAGATCAACCAGGGCCTGGTGTTTCTCAGGTGAGCCTCCATCCTCCCCTGCAGCTGCTCTGCCACTGCTTCATCTTATTCCGACTCCCTGTCCAGCTTGGCATCCATACGGTAGTGTCAAGGTTTGCTTAACTTAATCTGGCTCTTGCTCTCCGGCAGCAGCAGTAGGTCTTCCTCTCTCCTCTCTCCCAGTTACACCTCAACTGGTGCGACACACTCCAGAGGATCTGCCCTCTGTCTCCAGACAGCAGGACCCTCTGCTTCCTGGTGTTTCATAGTCACCTGGCCAATCATCTTCATCTGAATGGTCAGGTGACAAAGGGTGGTAGAGCATTCCCCACAGCCTTCTGGGAAATGTGGTCAAGGATCTTCATTTTGTCTTATCTTACCATCCTGCCTAACTTAAATGTTACTTATTGTGGTAAGCTACAGAAATCTAAAAATGGGTCAAAATCCCTTTGCTGTTAGTGTAACCACAGAAAGCTCCTAAAATGAAAATGATTGGCTTAAAACTTGTTGTCATGAAATAATCTAACCAAACCGAAAATACAGCTTCTGAATTTAGATGTGGAGTACCTCTGCAGATACTGTAGCAGTTACTCTACTATTTCTACAAGAGAAAGATAGTGATGAAGACAGTCTGTAGTGTTTCTTCTCATTGACATTGTGTGAGTCGATACTTTGTGAGTACTATGGTACTTACAAAGTCAGTGAAGACAGTGAAGACTGACAAAACTGGTGAGGATTTGAAGGAAGAATTGGTGTGAGGACTTTGGTGACCCAAACATCTGTTAGAGTTTCTGCCACTTTACACAGGCTGGGTGGCTGAGCGTTCAACGTTTTGACTGCTTTAGAGATTGTTCCTGTGTTGTCTGTGTGATATTCAGTGATGCTTCTGGAGCACAGTGGGAGATGATATCCTGTATATTTTAGTCTCTCTTCACCACTCTGCTGTTCTCTTCCAGCCTCCAGAACAACTTAATCGGGGAAGAGGGAGCCAAGGGCATTGCAGAGATCCTGATGACAAATCGCAAGCTGGTCACCCTTCAGTGAGTTTAGAGAGAGCCTTGACCATTTCCTCCCTGTGCCACAGTCTCTTTCTACCTTCCCTAGAACCTAGATAGGTGATGTCAGTTAGTTGGAAAGGATGCTACAGTTGGATCAGTGTCAATGCTTATCATATTTTAACTTCTAGAGAGAAAACACCCTGTTAAAGCTATTAAGTTTATGTGTACATCTATCAGGTGCTGGAAGTATCTTTCCACTCTTGAATGAGAACGCTATCCTCAAACAATGGTGCTTTTGGGACATGTCTGTAATAGGTTACATGCACATCTTCAGTGTTTGGAACCCTCTTTCAGCCAACCAATACATTATTTTTCTTTGCCTCTTGGGGTAGTAATATCCATCTCATCTTCTCTACTGATGCACTGTATATGTTTATGCAGTCTTGGTTAGTTCTTGTGTTAAGTCAGAAGACAGGTTTGTTTCCTGATGTCTCAGAAAAGGCCGGAGTGCAGTTCTGTGTCACTCTGCCTGGATGGTGAGTGAGCCTCTGTTTGTGTCTGGCAGCCTGCAGAAGAACTCCATCACTGCAGAGGGAGGCAAGCTGATTGCCGAGGCGTTGAAGAAAAACCGGAGCCTGAAAGAACTGATGTAAGAGAGAGGCAAGGGAACAAGAAATAGGTGTATTCCCTGCTGAAAAGAGAAGAAAGGAAACACAACATTTCGGCTGTGGAATCTTCTTTGGGTGTGAGAAAGAGGCAGCCAATTACAGGACAGGCAGCTACCCTGTCCCACCCCCATGAGAAAGTTCTTAACCAATCACATACCAGATTCTGCGCAATGTCTTCACACTGTCAGCGAATCACAGCAGAGGCATCTGCTCCTTTTAAAGTTACTGTTCACAGAAAAAGGCGCAGCACTGTGTCTATTGATTTTGATTCAAGGTTAACCACGTAAATAGGACTCTTGTGAATCTGTACATAGCACTAGTGATAATCATATTTTTAAAGCAAAATTATAGAGCTTATTTCTGAAAACTATCAAAGGGAAAAAGGGGGAGTAAATTATTTTGCTAGATTTAGCCCTTTATGTGACACTTGTTTCTTTTCTCCCTTCAGTCTGTCCAGTAACCAGCTTGGTGACAAGGGGGCCACTGCGCTGGCCCAGGCGCTGATGGAGAACCACAGCCTTGTCGCTCTTCAGTGCGTCTGGAGTATTACTGTTCCTCTTCCTTTCAAGTGATATTCAACATGAATATTCAACATGAAGTGTGACAATAAAACCAAAGTCAGAGCAAAAATACTTCAGTTTCCCTAGCGTTGCTTTTCCTTAGTGTTGTTCAGGGTGAAATCTTGTTTTTTTTCCAGTGTTTTCTGGAAAACCAAACAGCTAATGACTAGAAAGGTAGAATCTTGTGGGGATGTAGAAGCTGATGTTGTTGTTTTTGATCTGAATTGGTCTGGTATGTTTATCATGGGTGAAGTCTTTGCTGGAAAGTGTCTTCAAGACAGTATATTGTATATGGAGATGGGTATATTATGTTGTGTGTCTCAAAACCATGAATCGGCCCTTTCAGGGTAACTTTCATAATATACACTGCACTGTCATTAACTAGGAATATGATAAGCCAGTATGTTGTACAAGAACTTAATTCACAGTAGATAAGAGTATGAATCATGAAAGGCAGGCATACCTTACATCCCATAATACACCCATCTCGGCTAGGCCTGCCTCGCTCTTATCACTTTTCTGTTTCAATGATTGCAGCCTCCGGAGCAATTCCATTAGTAACAAAGGGGTCACAGCGCTGACACGGGCTCTCAAGCACAACAGAGGACTGACTGACCTCAAGTGAGTGCCCATTATATGATCTCTACCATAGGTCACCTGATGCGAATTCACTGTGCTTTGTCGCTCTCCTAAATGCATTTTGCTGGACTAAATGGCTTGAAAATTAAATCTGATAGCATACATTAATTAATTTATTATAATTGCTGTTATTTTCTTTAACTCTTAAACGTAAACGCATGAATAACTCGTTTAATTAAGATTTATTTCTCAAAATTAAGCTGTGCGCTGCTGCATTAGAGTTCAATCCCTGAATTATTAATTGATTAATTAATTTAGCCATTGTTGGCTTCATGTCACCGCACATTAGGCTGGAGCCATGAAAGAACAGGGTGACTTTTTTACAATGCACACGCAGACTGATAACACAAGAAAATGGCAAATTCCTGAAAACTGCCCCTCTGCCTGTGTTGAAATCGACATCTGAGTCCGCACTCTGTGCTCACCTTACAGAGATGCCCCAATGTGAAGCTAGTCTGTAGCTCTTATCAATAGGAGTGTCCTTCATCAAATAAAACTTTGATTTCTCTGTCACCTGAGCTTTCCTTCCCAGAAGTCACAGTGTTCACTACATATCAAAACCTCTACAATTGTTAGTTTCGCAGCATACTGTATACTGCATACTGTAGGTCTTTCAGGGTTAATCAATAATTAATAATTAATTATAATTGCTTACACTTATATAGCGCTCTTCTGGACACTCCACTCAAAGCGCTTTACAGGTAATGGGGACTCCCCTCCACCACCACCAGTGTGTAGCCCCACCTGGATGATGTGACGGCAGCCATAGTGCACCAGAACACTCACCACACATCAGCTCTCAGTGGGGAGGAGAGCAGAGTAATGAAGCCAATTCATATATATTTTTTTATAAATATAATTTTTATTTATTAAATAAATGATAACCCCAAATTGTAAAGATTTTGCCTAGAATAAACCCAAGTGGATCGTTTAATTAAGGGCACCGAAGTGCTTTGTTCCCTGGCACAGCTTTGTTGAAAAAATAATAAGTCAGACATACTGAGTTAAACAAATATTTATTAACAATAGCAACACAACAACAACACACAATATACAAGTTACTCTATTTATAGTACAAACAAGTGGCTAAGGGGCCTACATCCTGACCAGCCAGAAAAACCCTAGACTGCTATCAAGTATTCAAATGCTATATAACACCTACACAGGTCAACGAGAGAGAAACCTACCTTCTGCACCAAACAGAATACAACCTAAAATTAAATTTCTCTCTCTATATAAATCTGAATGCTACAAAGTGAATGGGGACCTATAATACAGAACCTATTGTAACAATGCATTTACTAACCAGGAAAGGCTATTTTTAACCTAGGGATTCTGTATACAGGAAATCAGAGTTTCCTAAAAACATCGTACTGGCAAGCTCTGTTAACAAGCTTAAAATATTTAACTCAAATCTGGTCTTTATGGATGATGTGGATTAGAAACTCTCTCCTGCCACTGTCCCTTCTCTCTCCTTGTGTCTTTCTGTCCATTTTCTTCCTCTTTCTCCCTGCTGCTCTCTTCTGTCAACCTGCCTGTTCGATAATCTGTTCCTCAACTGTTGATGACCCTTCATCATTTACCCAGAACCTGATTAACTAGGATTAACCAGGCAATTCCTTTGACCAGTGTGTCTCACACCTAATTTAAGGTAAACAGTAAACACTTCAGTTTGTTTCTTGCTTTGAAACTGCTGAAAACTTCAAATGTCGACACTTGGGAGGTGTTTGACATTTAATGTTCTACATTATAATGCAGAATGTGAATTATCTGTTTATTGCCTTGCTTATTTGCAGTACTGTAGGTAAGGGAGAGGACTGTCTCAGTATGTTATTATTGTGCTGTCAAACTGAGATGATGTTTCTGTCCCATCTTCCTCTCTCATATTCCAGCCTTAGGGAGAACTCCATCGGTGTGGAAGGAGCGAAGGAGATTGCCAACGCACTACAAGAGAACAGCACACTGAGAAACCTGGAGTGAGTTTGCACGTTCACTGCAGCTGGCTCCATAGCCATTCCTACTTGCTTGGTTAATTCATTTACTACTCAGTTACCAGTAAGGTGTAACTTATTTCATTTCAGAAGTTGATTCAAGCTTCCGGGCTTTGTCTGCTGTTGACTATCACCTTAACTAAAACAGAAGATACTCAGCACATAATTAGCTTCTAATTTGCATATCTCATAGCTGGTTTTACACAGGGGAAGGATGGAAATGTATGATTTCAGCAGCTGCTCGGTCAGGTCTTGGGAAAATCAAGCGCAACATTTCCTCCTGGCCTTCAGCTGGTTGTGTTTCAGTCTCAGCTGTGGAGCTTAACGAGGACCTCATGCGCAGATGAAGATGAAGCTGCTGTTGGTTTTTTGCAGATATAAATCTGAAAGCGATTGTTGGCAATGCAATTCTAAAGCAGGAAGAAGGAGGGCACCGGGAGATTCAAGTGGGCGTCTATGCTGTGGGTGTCTATCTTACCCTCTCTCTCTCCGTCTTCTTAGTCTGACGGCGAATCTCCTGCATGATGAGGGTGCCAAAGCCATTGCAGGAGCCATTAAGGGGAACCGTGCCTTAACCTCCTTGCAGTAAGTACCCCGATGAAGAAACTGAGCCACAGGCCCTGGAGGGGTGCCCCACATCATGTGTGTTGTGACTGGCCATCATATCCTAACTCTCGTGATGGCCATACCTAGCACCTGTGAAGGACATTGAATCTGCCCAGTATTACTGTAGCTGGATGACATAATTAGAACCAACCACTACCAAAAACTCACATTGAGCTGAGGAACTCGACCAGCTGTTTCTGCAAGAAGTGAGTGTATTGGCCTTGGCAATTTCACTGGTTAGCTTGTTCCACACCGAGACAAGCCTGTGTGTAAAAATTGACTTCCTGGTCTTATTGTGCACTTCATCTTAGTTTCTTTGTTTTAAAGCTTCCCTGTAATTTCCCCTTTTGACCTCTGGTTCATGTAGCACTGTTGATTCTGTAAGTACTGTAGGTACTGTAATCAGGTTGATTTTGTCAATGGTTTTGCATGTTTTGCAATGCATGTTCTTCTCTGTTCTAGACTAGAAATAGCCATCTCTTTTAGGCATAGGTAATACATGATAATTTGTAGACCCCTGTGGCCTTTGGGGATGAGCGTAAAGGAAAAATGGTGTAATGAGTTGAGTTTAAGCTGAGTATGATTTCCAACATGAATGCAATTTGCTGACCCTCTGTTCATGGATAGGGTTGGGATTATTTGACATTGAGCATTGTCTGCTTTCTACAAAACAGTATCTCCTTTGCCTTCCTGGGTGAATGCAAGCCTGCAGTGATGTCACTGAGAGGCATGAAGCTCCTCCAATGAGTGCTAACTCGCCTGTCCAACTCTGTGAAGCTCGCAGCGTGTCAGTGATGAATGGCCTGATGGGTAGGCGGGGGAGCTCATCTAGCTGTGAGGAAACAATGAGCAATTCCATATAGGATGGAGATACATTAAGAAAAATATTACTATGTGGTGCAATGCAGGGAGTGTCTGGTGTGGGGGGCAGAGCCCCAGATTAAGGGTGACGTGTTGCCGTGGAAACCACACCTGACATGAATAAGTGGAAATAATGGCAGGCGTAGGAATGTAGGAGTGGTTTAAAACTAGCCTGAATACTTCATGGAAGGGAAAGATCCAGCAGGACCTCAGTCTTGCTGTGGCTGCAGTGGTGAGAGGACGAATGCGGAGGGTCTACTGTGAGAGAGCCGAGCTGAAGGACGACAGTGGCGGGTGTGAGCCGCTACCAGTCTGGGCAATGTTAGAAGAGCGTGCTACCGTGTATAAGTGAACAGATTAGCTGCTGTAGTAACCCTGTGAGGGGGTGGAGAAGAACGACAATCCTGGAGGGGATTGTGAGAAGAATAGCCTGCGAGGAAAAAAGTGAAAAGGTCCGTTTGCGAGGAGACTGACAGAAGAAACGGAGCTTTATGAGAAAAGGATCCTAAAGGAGCGTGAAGGGGTGTGTGGGAGCCTGACCATGCCCAATGTGGAGACAACTACCCCCGTGGCATCACATTTGTATCTTAAAAATCTAAAATGAATACTGAATGATATTCTGTTGATACATCTGAGAACTCAGCAGCCCTAGGGAGGGATGAAATCAAAATCATGACACACAAATTCTAAGTGCGTTACTTGGCTCTGGCCTTATGTTTGTTAAAGCCCCCATACATCTGCCTAATATAAACAACAAGCATCAGGTCTGGAAAATACGTGTGGCATGTGGGCTGGTAACGATTTAATCCAGTGTTAATGAATTTAGTGTGGGAGTTAAGTCCTGGCTGCCGTTTAGCAACCACAACAGTAGCTGAAAATTAAATAGAGCTACTGTACATCTTTAACTTCTTTTTATTTCTAGTTGTTTGTCATAATTTTCTTTGCTGGAACAAACGATCACCAAAAGGTCTCTCTTCACAATAGTGTCTTTTTCGTATTCCACTACAGAACTATAGTGCCTCAAAAGACTATAAAAGGAAGAGGTGCTGATCCAGGTGAAGGTGAAAGCAGAAAGGTTGCACACTTTCTGAGCTGAGCCAGAGGTTTGTCAAAGGATGTCTCACAATTTAGCCTGACATTTCCTGTGGCTTCTGCTTCTTTGATAGTGTGGTTTACAGTTACCGTAGAGACAAAACTATGCACAAAACATTGTATTGTTTTTTTGTTAATTCAATTAGCGTTACATACAATTAGGAATTGACAATTATTTTTTTATGATATCTCCACTCAATTTGAAATCGGCAATGACTCAATTCAGCTTGTGACTACAGCTGTCATCCTGACTTGGGGAGAATTAAGAGCAGCGGACATGCCTTACCCTTCTAATGTGCTCACATGTCAGAGTTATTTTTTCTGCAATTGTCTGCGAGCTCCATAGAGTCTTACAGGAGAGTTAGTTCAGATTGGAGGAGCAGTGAGTCTCTCATCGATGTCACTGCAGGCTTGAGGCCGCCATGCACATTTGCAGGAGTGGGTGTTTTCCCCAAGGCCACAAAGGCAGGTTGCCCACCCTGCCCTGGTAACTCTGCAAATTGTGTTTGCCCTTTGGAGAATCCTCATCACTCTTGGCTTGCAGCTGGCAAAGATCCGTTTAATTGAGTCTTTGACTTAAACAGGTCCAGTCAAAGGATACCTGTTTGTAATTCATCAATTGATCTTTTTGCAGATTTTGTTGCAATGTTTCCATTCTTAAAGGTCCCAAATGGTTCCATTTTGCACAATGAGTAAAAAGATCATGAGCAAGTTCTTTCCAAGAGCATGTCCAGTTGATTCTAGTAGCCTCAAACTGATTTAAGTGGACGTGCCTGGACTGTAACACGGTACTGCAGTAATTTATAGATGCCCTGGTGACCAGGAAATAAAATAACAATGAATGGATATAGAGAAAAATACATAAAAGAAATTCTAATTTATGTATGGTGTAAGCTGCACCTAGAATGTCTTGAGCCATTAACTCCAATCCCAGTCACAACTACCCAATTGCTTACAGCACTAGACCCAATCTTAATCTATTACCCTAATCGGAATTGAATCCCACACCCCAGTGATGTTGATTGTGTGGAAGCAGTGACACTTACAGGGGGGTTGTTGGATCTGATGGGCCTCGGTTGTCGTAACCCAGCTGTTTCTGTTGGCCTTGTTTTCCAGCCTCCAGTGGAATTTCATCAAATCCAAAGCTGCCAAGGCCCTGGCTCAAGCACTACAGTCGAACAGCACCCTGCAGTGTCTGGAGTAGGTCTTCCCGCCCTTGTGTTGCGCTGCTGTTGGATTAGGGCTAGCTCGGGGTCCTCCTTGCTTTCCAGCACGGATGAGCGCTGCTTTTGTTCTGGACTGATTCAATTGCGATTTGCTCAGCTGCTTTTAATTAAAATCAATTAAACTTAAACAGCAAACCAGTTATTTCCTTTTACAGCGTGATCACCGGAGAGGAAATCAAACAATATCGTCATCTTGTGTTTCTTAATGAAACTCGGAAGAACATTTACACTGACTTGTGTCGTTTTAAAGTGGCCATATTTTTCTTTATTTATTATGACCATTCATGTGGCCATGTTTATTAACCAGAACAACACCCATCGATATCTGCTGCAGGTCAGCCACTGAGATATTGGCAGTTTGAAATCTTCATCCAGTGGAGGGGGGGGGGATACAGCTTTCTGAATCTGGTCTTCTGTCATTGACGCAGTGCCTCTTCTCTCTATGTGTTCTGTGCGTCTCCACAGCCTGCAGGAAAACGCCATCGGAGACGACGGCATGGTCGCGCTAGCTGGGGCCCTGAAGACCAACACGGCTCTCACCTCCCTCTAGTAAGTGTTCATTCTCGCCCTGGATCAATCTGCCCTGTCCGTCCAGCGATGCCACAATAGCACAGTGCAATCCCAAGTGGCTCAAGCAGTAGCAGCGCCTATTTGGAGCAATTAAGGTCCAGGAGCCCTTCCAGTACAGGCCCCCAGCTATACGGGGATCGGGTTGAATTCTGCCAGCTTGTCACACAACAGCGACTCCTTGTGGCTTGCAATGGCCTGTGAGCCTGCAGTGCAATTAATTAATTAATGTTGCATCTCCTGTTGGCTGTTCAAAGGAAACACCTCATTCATCCAGGGCTAGTAGGAACATCACAGGTGGAAGTCAGCTTAATTTTCAGTTTATTCCTTGCTGAAAAGAGAAGAGAGAAAACACAACATTTCGGCTGTTCCTTTGCAGACTACGCATGCTGACGCACCTACCCCCCCATGAACTACTTAATTTGCAGTTGCTTCCAAATGGTCTCCCTAATACTGACCTTGTTACCCCTTTCAAGATATCAGCTTGCATTTGAAGCAGCAGTGGCCTTCTCAAAGCTAATGAACTGGCGACTGCAGCTTCTTGTGGAAATGGAGGCACTTTCTCATCCATCACAGTTGGCAGAAAAGTGACATCACACAAACAGCAGCCAGGAGGACAAGGTTCTCAGAACCAAATGCTAAGTGCAGGAGGTGCAAAGCCTGATTTTTAAAAACCTTGCTGGGGTTCAAGCAATGAAAAATGAAATAACAATGAATTAGGTATTTTATACTGTATAAGCTAATGTCAACTCTTTAAAGACCTATTACAGTCCATTGGTAGACCATTCTAGGCAAACACCAGACTTATCCCACCTTGTTTCCTCCCAATTCAACTTTGTTTCAATCTGTTCACATGGGATTGCTGAAGTTGGCATGGTCAGGAATAGCGCAATGCGGAAAAGATGACCTAGAATCGCACCAAAGGCTTTCGACTGAATATGTGACTGGTAATCAATGGGAAAGGCTGATGATAAAAAGATTTTACCGCTGAAAGTGAGAATTGATCGATTGTAGAAGCTCTTGCTGATCTGGCTGTCTGTGTTCCAAGTCTGCAGGGAGTGTCAGTTGGCAAAGCTGGTGCCATCGCCCTAGCAGACACCCTGAAAGTCAACCAGACTCTGCGCACGCTGGAGTAAGTACCTATCGTGCCCCCCCCCGCCCCCCGTCTCTCTCGCTCTGCTTTACTCAGAAGGTGGGTGAGGGCTGCAGGTTTTCTCCATCAGCTAAGCCCATCCATCCACAGGTCTCACACCGCAAAGGTCAAACAAGTGACCTATGGAAAAAGCTCAAATGACTGTTCTTAAAGGTCATGCCGGACGTGGGCTTTTGTACTGTGTTGGGTGTGAAACACACGAATGTCTGGAGGCCTGGAGTCGGGAGAAGGGCAGCGGCGCAGTGCGTCACGTCCCCTGTGGTCTGAACTGTGCGAAGGCTGTGCTGGAGACCCGCATTGTGTCTCCTCCAGCACTGGAGCACTGTGCGGCCTCATGCAGAGGCACAGCGCTGTGCTCCCAGGAGGTCTTCACAAGCCATACCAGCCCCCGGTCAGCTTGGACAATGTTTGATGTCAGATATGAAGAAGTTTCAGATCATATTTTCCAGCGCTGTAGCAAAAACATGAATACACGTTTTCATTCTTGGTTTTCTTGATTTTCGCACTTGTGTTTCTCATGTTAAATCGAAAAGCTAAAAGAAGAAACACCAGGCTGAAATCTCCATCCTGGTGGTAACCAGTAACTGCCAGCACTGCTGTGGTTGTGTGTAGCGTGTTGTAGTGTGTTTCTCTTGTCCCCATGGTTACGTGGTATTCCTGGGGACTTCCTGGCCTGCTGCCATCACGCTGCAGTTTGTATGCCATGCTGACAGGGCTTGACGTGTGTATAAGTCACTGAGGCAGCGCAACCCAAAGTGATGCCAAGTATTCTGCTGCCATCTCTGAGGAGCGACAGGCTTGATTGTAATTACAGAGACAGGGTGTTCTTCGATATTTTGTTAATACTGCTTCAAAATTGCCCCTTGCAGTCATGATGTTTTTGGGCATTGTAGTTTCACAAGACATACAGTTTGACATTTAAAGCTCAGAAACTCCCAGAACATGCCCTTGGTCTCCATTTAAACACCTCAGCTCTGTGCAGGGACAGTAGTCTTGTAACCATGATAAGCATGAACTGGCTATAACCAGACTGTTGGTTGCCAGGCTGTATTTAGAAGCTATTAGTGGCTTGTGGTTGTAATGTATTAATTTTTTTTTTCTGAACAGGTCAAATTTCTTTCTCCATTCACCACCTTTGCCAGAATGATCTTCCTCGCCTGACTGTTAATATAGCATCAGGCAGTATAATGGAAAGAGAATTCCATCAATACAATCACAGTGTTCTGCGGGCAGAAGGATTTCCTGCACAGTACATAAGACATTTCTTTTCCATTTCTTAGATGTTAAATTTTACGGAATTAAGTTTTCAGAAGCTGGGGGAAAAAAGAACAATTCCTACATATAAAAAAAAAACTTAAATGTTTGTTTCTTGCTTTCGTTCTTTACCATTTAAAGGCTCTTTCGTCATTAAAAGTTTTAGCTTCCACCCCAAAGGCCAGTAGAAAGGCTACAAACCACAGAAGCCCTAATTTTTTCTTGCTGTAGTCATTAGTAGTTTATTCATCATCCAGCCATTTCTGTGAGGAAACCCACAGAATCCACTTCAGCAGTATGCCTGGATAACTCATTCCAGACACCCGCAAAGCATATATAATGTCCTTCACACTTAAATGTTAATGTGCTTCACAGTTGAGATAATTCAATTTTAGATTGGTGGAGTTAAAAGGGGTTCCTGTGGAGCTTATGATAATTGGGCTTATCGTAATTGATTTGATTCTTGTCCCAGCTGGACTTGTGTTATTCACTCTTCAAGTGTTTTTTTTTTAAAGCTTTTTATTTCTCAGGGGTTTTTTTTTAAAGCTTTTTATTTCTCAGGGGTTTTCAGAGCCACACAACACTATTACGTTTCCGTCAGATAATGAGGTGACGTAGGTACTGTGCGTGAGGGCTTGAACGCAATGAAAACTGAAAGGAGATGAGTGATAAGGTGCTGTCCTAGATCTGCCTGATGCTTCCGTAGACTGACTGTACTACAGTATATATACTGTATATACAGCTTAACTTCTGGACGCTACCTGTCCATCTTGCTCATTCTTTCAGCTGGTTAAATGACATACAGTAATGTCCACTCTTTCCCTATTCTGTCCAGCCTGCGAGGGAACTCGATTGGGATGGAAGGAGCCAAGGCACTGTCCAACGCTCTGAAAATCAATACCAGCCTCCGGATTTTAAAGTAAGCTCCCTCAAGCCCCGACGCCTGTTCTGTCTCAATCTGGCTTCATTCCGTAAGCACATTTCACCACGGACGGCTCTCATTGCCCACTTTTAAATGGAATTACCTGTGGTTATTCTTTTAAAAAAGCATAGCAGCGGGGACAAACACACACATACTAATCCTGCGCTTGTGTCCACAGTCTGCAGGAGAACTCTCTGGGAATGGACGGGGCTATTTTTATAGCCACAGCCCTCACTGGAAACCACAAGCTCACCCACATCAAGTAAGTGTCAGGACTGGATCGGAGGAACAGGGTTGTTGGTACTGTGCCTGAACACATGTGCACAGAGCCAGTGCCAATCATTCAGAGAAAAACCCATAGAAATATGGCAGCAAAAGTAACACCCTGGTTACAAATGATCTGTGCTTTCTCATTTAAGTAATGTCAACAGCACTGCAGTCTCATTGAAAACTGAATTGTTTCCTTTGGTGGTGTGTGTGCTTCTTCTCGACAGAAAGGCACGGCTCAAGCAGAAAATTAAATAGTAATGCCATCCTTTCTTTGTTACAGCCTGCAGGGGAACCGCATAGGTGAATCGGGAGCAAAGGTCATTTCTGATGCCATCAAATCCAAGTCTCCTGACTGTGTGGTGGAGATCTGATCCTGGCTGGTCAACAAGCTCTCTTGTTTGCCCTTGACTGAAGCTTCTGGCCTCTGGTTCTCCCATATTGGGATGAAGATATTAATCCAGTTTTAAAGGCAGCTAAGCTGTGTTGTTCTAGGTGTTCACCCGCCTGAGGTAACGGACCTGTCAGGCCCTCCTTTCAGTGAGTTTCCTGAAATGACCTTTTTAATTAGCTTACAGTGGAGTACCATCACAGCATGAACGCAACTAATACAAATCCTCACGTGCAGTATCACAAACGCAAAAAGACTTCGGGACGTTACAATGAAGTGTGTGAAGATGAGTGTGAAGGGAGATCCATTTTTCACGAGGTACACAGGAACTAAAAGGGTGCCCTCGGGACATTTGCCAACTGCATCCTGAGCAAATCCTACCACCTTTCAGCTTGGGTCTGCACAAAAATGAGCTTGGAAGGTGTTCTGGCTGCACTGTGAGCCATAAAAGGACCCCTCCATAAAGAGATGACTGCGACCCTGAACCTTGAAATCCACACAGATGACGGATCTCAGAATAATGTCCTGTTACTCACTGGACTTGGAACTCAAAGGCTCCTGTTTGTGTGTGGTTGGAGGTGGGAGTGGGCTGGGAATCTAACGTCAAGGTTTGCATTCTTGAAGTGAAAGAAAATGCCTTCCCACATCCAAATTCTTTTCACATATTTCTACTCAAAGAGGAGACGAATTCCATTGAAATAGCAAATCGTAACCAAGTCTTTCAAGGGTCTTGTTGGCTCTCTGGTGTAGCTGTTGACTCCAGTTGAAAGACGTATCTTGAAAAGCTGGTTTCTTTTGGAGGAAACGTGCTGTGTGTCGTGGGTAAAGCAGCTGCAGTTATTTCAGCGATGCTTTGAAGAATTAGGATGAAAAAGAGATCAAACACAATTCACAAGAGATCAAACATGGGTACACAGATAAACAAACTGCTTATAGTAGCAACACAATCTTTACTGTCATTAATTTTTTTTGGGCTGATGCCTTTATCCAAAGTGACTTATATTTACATTCTGTTTTTTACACCTGGTTATGGTACGGGAGCAATTTTGGCTGACGTTTCTTGTTGAAGTATACCTCAGGGGTGTCTCGTCTGGGATTTGAACCCACAGCCTACCAGTTCAGATCTGAAACCTAGCTGCTTTTTCTTCATCTCGCATTGCAAACCTGGTCCTTAATTGTAAAACGTGAAAGCTGAATTCTTCTCAGGTATTAAAGCAGCACTTTCGTGCCTGAGAGAATGGACACTGGCACAAGTTGAGTGACCGCAACTTCAGTCACTGCTGAAGCCAATCCGTTCACAAACTGCTGATTGATGAGATTTGGAAATAAGGCTATTGGCTTTTTGGCCTTTGTCCTTCACAGCTAAAGATCAGCCCTTTAGGCCTAAAGTAAGAAAAATCTGATGTCTTTGTAATATTGCTCTCCACAGTTTATATACACTTGTCTCTTCAACCCCCCTGTCTTTGAGGTATCTTTCTCAAGAAACTCCAGGACTCAGAAAGCAGTTAAAACTTCTCTTATCAGGGAATTTAGTATAAAGATTCTGTCCCAGTCAGGAGTTTAGTACAGAAGATGGGAGGGAGAAGCGTCTGTGCTCAAGCAAGCGTGAAGGTTAGAGTTTAGCATGTGAATTCAGCAGGAGTTCACAGCTCCTACCACTATATGGGTACAGAGTAACACACCGATTCTGCTAGCAGACTCCATCAACAGCAGTCACACCGGGAAAGCAGGTGGTATTTGCAGTTAAGAGGTTATGCCAAAATGCGCACTGCAAAGCCTCTCTTGGTGAATACATGTGGATGAGTGCTCAGCTTTGCCTAGTCTACCACATGGACCTATGAACTGCTCTGAGGAGCAAGTGATAACAACATCCTTTAGAAAAAAAAAAAAGTAGCTGTTTGTTGGTCCTACAAAGTTTGACCTTTGCTGTTATTTACCCTAGTTTACATCATTATACTGTTCCTCTGTTTTTTTTTCATGCTTTTAGCGTGATTTTACCAATGTGTATTGAAGATGCCTTTGGGAGAAGTGATTTTTTTAAAGCAGAGAATGCCCAGTGGCATACCCCAGGATTTTAAGTTAGTTGTACCAAGATGTTTCCTGTTGTTCCACTTCTTTAATTAGTACTGTAAATATAGAGTCTACCAAACTTGATATCCATGTCAAAGGGTATTTGGTCTCTTATGAGCCTCTTGCAATGACACTGGCTATCTGTTTTCAGAAGACAGTAGTAATCCCCAGTGTCTGTGGGCAGGCATTTTGCCATGTAGATGACTCTGATAGTGGCTCGACTGTGCATGAAACCCAGGAGGAGCCTGAAGCCAGCTACAGTAGCAGGTGTGTGGCCAGGCTGTGCTGCCTGCTGCCAGTTACCTATGCTGCTGGACCTCGCTCAGCTCAGTGGGACTTGATGAAGTGAGAAAGGAGGTCATTGTCCAACCTTGGCTTCATAGCAACTGATATAACCCTGAGCCAGAACCAGAGAAGTCAGTAATTAGAAGAGTTAAGCTGGTGGTTGGGAATTCAAGTGCATGGTTGCTCCTATGCATGGACAGGGGAGACTACCACTGAAAGAGACAGCTGCCTGACCCGAAACCAGAAACACACTCAGCAGAACCCCATAGGGCACTGAGCTGCAGAAGGCCAGTGGGACAACAGAAATGTCTCCCCCACACATTATTCAATCTATTTTTCTAAAAACACAGCATGGGACATTCCTAATTGTAAAAAATATATACTGCTTAAAGGACAGACATACGAAGCTAAGCCAGCACTGTTTATTATGGTGGCAGTTATGAATTGCTTAGGAATTCATTTAGCAGTGAGACAGGCTGGCTGTTTCCTTACTCTTTTTTCTGCTAGCCAGTGTGTGACAGGGTTGGTGTTTTAGGGGTCATATTGTGTTTTTTTTCCCCCATTTTTTTATCTATGGTTGTGATTAAATATTTATTTTATTTAAATGTTATGACAGACAAAAGGAGAAAAACTCCACTCATTTCTTTCTAAAATGACATGCTTTTGTGCGGGGAAATGACTTTAATTGCAAAATGAACTTCAACAGTTTGATTTTGCAGCATTTGTGTTCTCTTGGAAAAGGCAATTAGTGTGTTTGTATCAATTTGAGCACAGCTGCTGACAGTGCAGTGCAGTCCAGTTTGCTAGACAGACTAGATACTTGTGTATCTTGGTTCTGTATTCACTTTCAGAATGTCTGTCTTTGTAAATATTCTGTTTTAGATCAAATGTGTGCAATGTGTTTTGAATAAATATTTAATTATTCTGTTATTTACTTTGGTCTGTTACATCCCAAAAGACACCCTTTCATCAAAAACATAAGCAGAGGAAATTGCACTGTAAAAAAATGTCTCTTTATTTTAATGACAAATAAAAAAAGAAAAAAATCCCTTTACACAGAGCCTGACAATTCAGTTCTCCAGTGTCCCCAGGGAGCTGTGGAGAAGCGATTAGGCCCCGATTTTTAACATGCTCTCAGTAGCAGTTCACACCGAAATAAACTTCTCAGACCATGGAAAAAGTTAAATGTGGGTCAACTTTTAATTGGTCCAAGTCACTTTTTAAAATACCGGGGAAGAGAATGGAAACTGCACCAGCTAGTAAGAATAAGTAAAAAGCTGCTCAGTACAAGCAGCCGTAGATACAAAAAGCAGACAAGCTTTGCTTATGGAAATAATATTCAGCTCAAACTCATGTAAAAACTCTTACTCCTCACCAATCGTAGGCAAGCATTGTTGCTCAACAACTCCTGTTGTTGAAATACTAATTCTTTCAAGCTCTGGAACAATGGATTCAATGTTCTATAGTGTTTCTGAGCAAAGAGCCTTGCTTTCCCTTGCTTTTCTTAGTTTTCCATAGCTGTTTGTTCAACTTTTACACCTATAAAGGTGCCTAGAATCATGTTTCTCTATTATGTGACTGATGGAATTCTATGATGATTCTGACCTTTTATTATTCACTGTCCTGCTTTTCTATAACGTACTGTTTAATGTATTAATTATATACACCTCTCACCTTAAAAACGATATTGCATTTTATAGGGAATGGATTGTGGTGGTAGATGTAACTTCAAAAAAGCTTGAATCAATTAGGTTTATTGTGTGATGGCAAAAAGAACAAAGCCCTAACAAATATAGGCACGTACCCGAAAGGAACATATTTGTCATAAGATATGGCCTCCTGACCTTTAGTGCACACACAACCAATATGTCTATTTAGAATGATATACACATTCAATAAAAAAGAGACAACAGCAGAGTGCCAATCACTACACATAACACATAGTGTTGTCTAATGTTTGCTTGTCCACTGGATGGACAGTCATGTGAATGTCTCATGACCCATTTGGTACTTTTCAGCAAAACTGAAATGCCAGATGAAAATTTACATTTTTAAAATCCCCCCCCCAGAATGCAGATTTTGTAAACGTGACCAAGTGAAATGACATCATTAAGTTATCATGATATGCAAGTAAAATAATTTAGAGTATTAATAGTAGTTAATCTAAATGTTATGTTCTCCACGAGTTGCCTGTTCAATTGTAATGTGTATCCATTTCAGGTGAATAGGGATGAAGGAGACCTGTAAAGCTTACAGACTACCTATCTCCGGGATCATGGTTGGTCAACTTTTGTTTGAGAAAGTTCCTGAAGTGGGGGCAAGGTATCGAGGTGCACTCCAAGGCTCAGAAATCGTTGTCGCTCTCTTCCAGCAGCTCCGCCCTGCGGGCCCCACGAGGCGGGTGTGAGGGTTTGGGTGGGGGGGGCGCTAAGCTGTCATTATCGTCATCGAGGTCCTCGTTCTCTTCCTCCTCCTCCTCCTCCTCATCGTCGTCATCCACATCGATCTCGCTGTCTTCAGAGTCATCCTGGCAAGCCATCAAGAAAGCACGGATCAGACCAGCAGCACTGAGGTACAGCACGGACCATCCTTTACAGACTACACAAAGATTTCCACACTACCCAGCCTTATTGTGGTAGGAGGTGCACCGGGAACTTTCAAAAAGCAGCTTGATGTGGATTCAGAGACCAATAACCCACGGTCACATAATCAGAGATGTAACCGTATGCTAAAATGTCCATTACAAAAGTATTTTTAAAAGCAGCATCTTTATAAATTGAAACAGGTTCTGTCTTAATGTCTGTGTCAAACAGGTTTTGCAAGGAGTTTTATGAATCCAAAACCTTTGTTGTAATTACTATTGACCAGATGGTGGCACTGTGCTATCGCAGTTCGCTAAATATACAGTAAGAAACATGAAGTAGCAGGGACACAGGGTAAATTGTGCTTTCACAATAACACACAAAGTTTACACTTCATACTTTGCAATAAGGCCTGGACCAGCAATGCAGGCGTGACAAGGGTATGTGAAGCCTAAAGCTCCTGAGAGATCACAGGTCTGACACTGAAAAAATCATTTCATCACATCTTCCAAAGAAAGTCTCGTCTGTGAACACTGTTATGGAGTACTGCATCTAATGTTAATACAGTGGAGAAAATTCTATTATTTAGGATTTAGATCAAGGGCATTCAACCTTTACTTGCTGAAAAAGCCCTTCTCAGGAAATCCTGCTCAACTAAGCCCCATGATTGAAAATCCCTTGTGGAATCTATCCTATTTCTTCCACTGTATCAGAAATGGTAGCATCCAGTCCTTCAATAGCATTCCTGTGTATGCAGCATTGTTTTACGGTTTGCTGCAGGACTTGATTATTACAGAGTGCAAATGGGGGGGGGGGGTTTAATTGTGGCAAAAGGGTGCATCTTAATTTTTTCATAATAGGAGAAACTATTTCTGCTCTTTGTAAGCAAACCTGTTTCAAGATGTAAAGGTATGCATTGTATTGATAACACAATGAAAACAACGGCACGAATACTGTCAATCTTGGTGAGGCAACAGGAGAAAAGCAGCAATCCAGTGTGGTGTGAAATGTGTCCTTCCCCAGGGATTTTCATTCAGCTTTAGCTTTTGTTCCTATAATAACTTCCAGTCCACTATTTGGTTTAATAGTACTTGCAAGCTTAATTTGCAATAATGTAAAAATAAAACCTACATAATTAAATTTAGAGTATGTGGAGCAAGCATGTATTAATTAGATTGCTTTATACTGCTGTGAAAATAATTTGAAACAAAACTACCACTGCAAGAAGACTAAAATATAGAGAGTACAAATTTAAGCCTACTGATATACCCCAGAGGCTAATTATTCTAAAAAACATGGTCATTAGTCTATAGGACTATTCTCTAGCTTGAAAAAGATTTCCCATTTGCAGAGCACTGGGGAGAAATCTCCAGTGTGTGCTGATACTGGTCTGATTTCCAGATGACTACCTTTTCAAAAAAACACTGCATGAAGGAGACCTTCTCCTTTATGTAGAGCAAGGGGGAGCTCTTTTTGCAGGTAACAGGAAGGGCACAGTCTCACCGTCTCTCCCTAGTAGCACTATCTAACTGCCCCTGTGTTTGATTCCAGCTTGGGTATCTTTGTGTAGTTTGAATGTTCACACCCCCTTGCTCACAGAGCTTTTTCCAGCCGAGCTGGTTTCCTCCAACTTTCCAAAGCTGTGTGGCTTGACTGGCAATGGAATTGTCCCTTTCCCTGGGGAGTTGTTCCCACTACAGGCAATACAGAACTACTGTACATGGGCATGACATGAAATGTACAAAATTAAGGGGCTACTCTCATTCATGCCCTTTCTGTTGTTCTGTGTCAGCAATCTGTTATTCCCCAGTCAGTTCCAGACAGATAGACAATATAATAACACAGGTACAGACTGGTCTATAGACAATACAATAACACAGGTATAGACAGACAGATTGCCATACACAGCAATCTACAACTGGACAAGCTACGCACTCGCCACATACTGATGTCTAAAAACAGACTACTCTAAAGAAGGTTTACATGTTATTTTTCTCTAATGTGCTTTCAAATTATGCATCAGTCTTTCTGAGGAGAAAAGGCAGATGTGAAAGCTCTCTCACTGTAGCCTTTTGTCATCACAGACATGGGAACATCATACAGCCTTGTGCTGCTGGCATGAGCTACATTTTTCCAAGATTCAGAAAAAATCAAGTCTGAAAACATGACTTGCTTGTTAAATTTTAATATTTATAATTTCAAATGTTTTCTTGTTCTAGGGGGAAAAATGCTAACCTTACAATGTAAAAGCTGTTTCATGAAAAAAAAATGGTTACATAAAGTATTTTTTCCTGCATAAGATTTACAAATGCACTTAAGAAGAAAGATCTGAGAACTTTGCAATTTTTGCTCCTTGAATTTTAAATATGTTGAGTCTTCGCCTTCGGTTAGGATCATTACTAATGAAGACTGTACATAGACTGTATAACAAAAACAGTGAAGAGGTACAGTAAATCTTGAAACTGGAGTGAAAGTCACATTAAAGAAGGGGGACACATTTTTAAGATCAGTTAAGTTGGAATTGTGCTAACCAGAATCCCTGAAGCCAGTAGATGCACTATTCCTTGTAGAGGACAGGTAACGTATCTCCACTACAACTGGAGAAGACTTCAGTAATCAGAACAAACTGAAGCCCTTTAGAAGCTCGGACCTGTAGCTGAAAACCAACCTTTCTTTTTTTCCGTGTGGAAGTGTGTGGAATGACACTGACTGCAGCCAGTTTGTGCTTTTAAATCCGAGGTGCAGAAAGAGAGGAAAAAAGGTTGAGTGCAAAAGGAAGGAACAGGAGAGATGAGGATGACAGGAGTTGATCGTAAGAATGGAACAGATCTGGTGCATAACCAGGCTTTTGTTTTCTTTTCATACGTTTGTGAAGAGTGATATCACCTGTTAGAAATATCAGCTTACCCCTTTGAAGCATTGACACATTCTTGCCTTCAGACGAAACAGGTGAATTTCCCAATTAACCTTGTTAATGCTAGAGGCGTGCTTCTGGAGTGCTTCTTTGTACCAGTTTCAATAGGTCCAAGTTATTTTTTTTTACTTGAACGGCAAGAATACATGTATTTTTGTCTGGCTGAGGCATTCAAAAAAGGATTTACATGATAAATATCCACTTGTTTCTAAGACAAATACCTAAACTGATTTCTTTAGCAGGAAAACCTGACTTACAGTATGGAAAGGGAATTTGAGGTCATTATCATAGCTGATAGGCATACAGCATGCATTGCCTCAAACCTCTCTCGAAAAATGCTGATTATCTAAGCCCGTAGAAATCCCTGCTTCTTCAAAGATAACATACTTAATTCAGGGTCCTAAGGTTAAGTACTCTAGTATGGTAGAAAAGCAAAATCTCAAATTCTTTTTAGTCTCTGCAGTTATGCTAAAGGACAGTATTCTAAATGTTTTTACCACTGTGGCTCAGAGGAGATCTGTACAGGACATTTTTTTAAAAATCTGGAATTACAGCTCTTTTCTATTTCATATCTGCTTCATTTGGAACTGAAACACTGGTAATGAACTTGGCCGGCCTCTTCTACCCCTGCACACTAGATGAGGAAAACGATGGCATGTGTATGAGCTCCTCTGACACGCCCATCTAGTTAGGGAGCTTCACAGCGCTTCACAGAGGAGTGTGTAATGGTTGGAGGAACAGAGGACCTCTCGCTGACGTCCCAGCAAGCTCCCACGAGCTGCTGTTGTGGTACCCAGCCTGCCCCAGTGGTGCTCAGCCAAACGCAGGCTGCTGGCTTGGGAACTCCTAGTTACAGCCGGCTGATCACAGCTCAGGACTCAAATTAGTTACACCTGGTGTACAGGGCTGAACATGTTTTCCGAGGGATCAAATTAGATATGGTCACTCTCACCTCGTCTTCGCTGTCTCCTCCTTGCATCGTCCCCAGGATCCGAGCTCCAGCTCTGCCTGTGGGGTTTACAACCAGCACTATTAGTATTAGTAAGAGGTGCTTCTAAAGCCGACAGCACATTTTAACAGCCCTCTCCTCTTTCCTTTTACATTTCTTTGTCAAGGTAACTGCAATGGAGTTTGAAAGTCACGTTTTGCTAGGATGACGACGGTTGTTTTATGTATGTATTTTCTTTTTCCACTGAATGAAATTGTGCCCTTTCTGAAGCATGACTCACTCTCTAATTGCAATGCAGGAGGAGAAAAGTACTAGCTATAGAAAAAATAACCCCCCTTCCAGACACTTAATCCAGCAAAAATAGAAAATAACAGGATTTTAAGAGATTATTAACAATCAGTTTAAGTCATAATACTTTGATATGAATTAGTCCCCCATCAGCAAAAACTGTAGAAAGCACCATGCCACACTAAGAATGATAAAAATGATAAAAATAGGAATGAGAACAGCAATTATGGAGCACAATCCAACATTTAAATAACTGTTTGAAAAACCTTTTTTTACTGATTGTTTAGGTCATACTACTGTACTATGTTAACTTATTGAAATAACAATACTGCTGCAAAAGGAACAAACATTCTGTGTTTGCTTTTTAAATAAAAATCTTTCAGTTCTATCTTAATATGTTTCTTATCTTAAGTTCCTTTGTGCTCAGTGACTCTGTCAATGGGGATGTTTTGGATGTAAAAGTGAAATATAGGGATTTTCAATTAGGAATTGTGAACATTTGCCTTGAGAGAGAGCCTGTTCTTGCAGGATCAGTGGAGTAGAAGAAAATATTCATGCTGACAGTGGAAATGGCAGACTTGGTACCTGGAATGGGTATGTCTCTGGTCAGACGGGGCTTGGGGGGTCTGCGGTCCTCTATGTCGCTGTCTGATCCATCATCCTCTGGAATCTCAATGTCCGAGTCTTCATCTTTGCCTGGGTTGTAACACAGAAAAGAGGTACTTACTGTAAGAACATAAGAAGAATAAGATTACAAAAGAGAAGTGGTCATTTTTTCCAATACCCCATACTTCGTTTTCAGTGCACGAGTATGTACCAGGTATCCATTTTTGTTGTTTGACCTTTGAGATTCAGACATGCAGAGTCTAGTCTAAGCAGTGTCTGAACAGGGTATTAATAGGCGTCCTGAGAAGGTAAACAGGATGAAGTTTTAGTCTTGTACATTACTGGCATTTTTTGATTTGCCAACTGCTGATGTCCCAGTAGGAAATGCTTGGACTGTTTTAACATACAGGTTGTTCTTAAGGGCATTTATTGTTAATCACAGGATGCCAATGGCATTTTACTCTGATGGAATACGTGCACACATGCACTTAGCAGACAAATACCTGTAGAAAAAGCCTCACAAGCCATTTCACTTCAGAATGTTTTGCAGTGGAACATCAGGCAGTGTCTGTTGACAGGTGCTAGAGAATTTCTGTCCATTAGACGGAATAAAGGGAAGACCTAGAGATCTGAACACAATGGCCTCCCAGGTCATAAAGAAAATTAATGTCACAGAATGCTCAACATACAGTTGCTTTAGTCGCCGCAACAGCATTATTTTCCTGTCACTACCGTTAATTGCCATGTCATTTTCACAGTAGCTTTCGCCAATTTCAATGATAGGCTTCACCTAAATCCTGCTTATTAAAGTATGGCATTTTCATTAACGGTCAGAATAGAGGAACGTCACACACTCTCGTTTAGTGTTAACAGGACGAAGGGTTTGCAAAGCCTATCTGATTTCAACAGTTTTCATCCATTATTAAATGCTGTAACAGCTACCTATAACTGCAGTATATGCTGTATGTTTTTTATCTGCACACTGCACATTTTCAATCCACATTATCTTATTGAAAGCAGTGAGTCATTCATTGATAAACAGGTCAGGGATAAGCAGGAAAGTTATGTTGTTTTCCCCTCTGCTAATTCACTGGGGATTTGAAAAAAACGGGATATATTTATCCCAGAGGCTTTTACAAGCATGTTTATTCTCAAACATAGGTAGAAGCAGCTCTTACCACTCAAATATTTGCCATTGCCTTTTCTACACATACTGTATAATGTTCATAACCCTAGCAATTTTTATACTGACAGTACAACTGGTAATATGTAAATGAGACAAAATCAATATCCCTGAAAGCTTAAGGATATCAGGAACTCAGGTTGCATATATCATTTTTTATTATACTGTATATCCTTCTCATCTAGAATGACCAATTACCTCTTTATACCTTGGCTCACAGCAGTGAAACCTGAGCTACACCTGGGTGAATGAGGAAGGGCATTCTCCTCTGACATGCCTACTCATCAAGCCCTTTGACATACTGTACTTTAGGCTCCACAGTGACCTACAGGAGAGATCGCTCTAATTGGATGAGTGGCACATGCCTCAAATACATCTCCACAAACCTGCAGGTGTCCAGGAATCTAGTTTGAGGGCTAACAGAGAGCCCTGGCTGACTAATCCTAACCCTGCCCCCTGTGGTGTAGTTCCTATTGTGTGCCAGTCCTTGGATTTCAGTCATAGCTGACTAGGAAGATGGCAAGAGTCCATTCTGTCGAGTCCGCTGAGTCAGCCTCGGAGCTCAACTAGCATTCAGAGTGATTCAGTCTTTGTAGGGCTACACCTAATCCTTTTTCTGCTTTATGCACTTCTTAGACGCTACAAAGAAATTAGGACTTCCTGTCATTTAAAGGCAGCGTAAGTTTTACTAACATTACCATTTATTTAGTACTTTCTTAGATTGGAATAACTTAAAATTGTTTAAAGCTTTTATTTTCCTTGTGACCTTTTCTCTACAGAACCCGTGTCATGTTTCAGCTTCACAAGCCACAGTCTGACTGAGTACAGGCCCCAGTGAAATAGCTGTTAGTGACAGGAGCTCTTCTGGGAAACAGCAAGGAAGAGAAAATACCATTTTGGTAGCTTCAGGGTCACTATCGAAATGACAGTTTGTGAGAAGGGTGTGAGGGGTGTTTATGTACTATCCTGAGAGTGTCCTACCTCCGCTTTTCATCAGCCTCTTCTCCTCCTCCCTCAGCTTGTTCTGCATCAGCCTCAGTGTATTTTCAGTCTCCTTCAAAAACAGAGGGATGCATCTGAAACTTTTGTATCTGACTGACAGATCACTATGTGCCAATATGGAAAAGTCTTTTGAAATATGTTGGATCCCACTACCCTGACAAAGGACCGAAAATATCTGGAAAGCTTAGATGTCTTCAAATGTTCCTGTTGCCATGAGTCTACAAAGACGCAGAAGACATGGGAGTGGGAGCAAAATAAATCACAATAGTTAATACTGCAGCACATCAGTGCTTGCTACAGAAAAGCATAAGCCCAGTCCTTAGATGGTTCTTCCTTGGTACCTTAGACTGACGTTTCTTCACCAATTTGCTTCATTCATTTCACAAGCATCCTTGTGCCATTCTATCTTCCTCTCAGCACTCCTCCAACCTAGATTAACAGAGCCAACGTGTGCAAAGGTGCCCTTCTGGATTTGTCCTCCCAGGAGCTTTCCATCTCAACCTCACCTCAAACCTCTCCTGCTCCAGCCTATGGTAATCTTCCAGCTGCTGCTCCAGGAAGCTCAGGTTGCGGAACTTCTCCACGTAGACCTCATACTGTTTCTGGAGGTCTTCTTCGATCTTCTCATACTCGTCCATGAAGGCTGGCCTGAGGGGGGTTGGAGGGGAAATTGGATATACACTAGCCTAGAGAGTATTGTTAAAAGATCTGAAAGCTAATGTACGAACTGTGCTCATGATGCGGGAAAAAGATCTCTCTTTACCTGCTTTCTCGTTGCTAGGCTGTGTTAGCTAAAGAAATCTGTTGTGCAACAGACATCTTTCTTTAATAACTAATACAGAAATGGAAACGAATGAATCCATTTCAGATCATGATTATATCATGTCTAACCGGAATATGGGATGATTACAAGAGGCCACCAATGCAACTGGTATCTGTTCCTGTGGTACAGGTCTCTCACAGTATGCTGGTATGAGCTTCAGCCCTGCTCCCAACATGTGCTAGTGCATCTATCAGCGTGAGTGACAGGCTCTCACCGTACACTCTGGAGAGTCTGCAGCCGCTTCTGATTCCTCTCCAGCTCCTGCTTCTTCTTCTCTATCTTGGCCTCCAGGCTGACCTCATCTGAGGCCACATTGTTCAGCATGTCTTTGGTCTTCTGGACTTGGTGCTGACACGGGACCATTAACAAGCAGGACAAGGAGTCAGAAAAGAAACACCCAGGATCAAAAGGCAGGAAAACAGCGGCTTATTAAATCACCCCTCCCGCTGACGATGATCGATTCTCTCTGTGCAGCATGGATATTGATTTTGCACTCTGATTAAATCAAACGTTGGTCTACCTACCAATAACAAATTCAAGAGCCCTGGGGCAACCTTGTTGTGAAAGGCACTATATAAAAATAAATTGAATTGAATTGAAATTCAGGTCTCAGTGCTTGTAAAGGAATTCCATTCTACTCTGTGGACACCCCTGTGATTACTTAATACAAGCTGTTTGTTCTCTCTGGAAATTCAAAACAATTTTTAAGGTTGATCTTTCTTTATTTGCTTCTATGAGGTAAATACAATCACTTTTGCATAAAATCATCTTCAAAGTCTATTCTGCTCAATCCTAATTCAAGCCGCAGTTCCATCTGCCTGACATGTTGCTGCTGTGATCTCTATTTGTTGAGTAACTCCCTGTTCTTTTGCTACTTTGATACTAATTCCTATGTGAAAGACTTCAAGGTTTTGACACATACTAATTCCTGACAGTATTTGAGTCTGCGTCAGCTATACCCATAGCTGTATGATAAAAAAGAACAGCACACAAGCTTCTCTTCTGTTATGCTGTTCTAAAACACTTATATGTTTGCCATTTGTTGAACACTGCTTTGTTCTATCAAGGACACATTTTAAAGTTACAGGCCCCCTAGGTTCTACAAAGACACCAGTACTGAGATTGAAAGCAGAGACATTATGTTGCAAATTAAACTGCCCCCTCTGATTCAGTAAATGGATTGTATTAAGATAAAACCTGTGTGTGTGCCAAAATATAAATGGCCTACCCACCAAGGACAGTTTGAAAGGAACTACAGTGAAGGAGAGGACTATAATAAGATGCAACATTATTTTAAAACAACTACCTTTCAAGTTCACTGATTGATCCCCAGTTTGTGTCAAAAAACTTAATTCTTTTAGGGGTCTAAGATCATCCTGTTTCTTTCTCCAACCCAAGCAGGTTATTGACTATTTCTAATAATGTTCCAAGTTAGACACACAGAAGTCTTCTTAAGGTCTTTTACAACGGATTACTCAAACACATCTCCTTTGTTAAAGGTACAGTATTCTACATTTATTACATGCATATTTTTTGCATTAAATTCTTGCACTGTAATTTAATTAGACAAATTAGCCGCGTCGGTGGTGATTAGATCTAATCTAATTTGATTAGACCACCTACGCGGCTAAGAACTAAACAAAAAAGGAAATTCTAGGCTCTCCAGGAACTGCACTCAACACCCCCGATCTCCAGACGGAATCACTTATCCATTCCTCTCTTCATTAATCTTCTGTGTCTGCAAAATGATTGTAATCCCCACAGCACAAGACACCTTACTCTCAACCGCCAAGAAGCACTAAAACAATTAGTCTGATAGTGAAATGCAGGTTGTGTATGTCTTTGCGTGCTTAAAAATGCAACGCATTAAACTGTATTTTTGGAAATGCTCCTTCATAGAACACTGCTTTGTTTTTGAGAGGTGATAGATCTGTCCTTGCAAAAAGCCTGCAGATCTCTCACTGGGATGCCACTGGGTATCCCAGTCTCCTAGCGTCGTGTCTCTCTGGGGTGCGGAGAGCGTTCACAGCCGGCGGGAGAGAAGGACAGCTCACTGGAAGAGCTCGGCACTCACCAGGACCTCCCGGACTGCGGCTTGCAGGGTCTTTTCCGTCTCGTTTATTTCCAGGGGTCTCGCGATGGCGGCAGTCCGCATTTCCTGCAGGAAGGTAGGAAGAGGCATTACAGACGTTACAGACATGGACTCCAGGTCCAGTCAGGACTCAGCCCTTCAATGGCAATCTCTTCACATGACTTTAAACAGTAAGAAGTTCAAATTAAAATTGAAATTCAATTATTTAAATAACTACAATTATTTAAAACAGTACTAAAATCCCAGAAAGTGTCAAATATGTGTGGTTACTTGTAATATTGACCCATGTACTATATATAGTGCAGGCCATATGTATTTGGAGAGTGACACAATGTTTGTTGTTTTGGCTCTGAACCCCAGCACACTGGATTTGAAATAAAACAATGACTATGATGTTAAAGTGCAGAATGTCAGCTTTATTTCGAGGGTATTTGCGTCTATATAAGGTGAACCATATATACTGTATATACTGTATCTGTCAATAAGCCTCAAGCTAAGGTTAGGGTTAGCTTTCTTCTTGAATTAAACATCCTTTAACATTATTTTAAAAAAAATTTCCATGTCTCTAAAGGGGGATTTAGGGCTAATTTAGTCCTGTATTTGCTTTATTTTATATACTCACAATATCGATACAGTTAGTATTCTATCCTTCAATGACAATTCTTTCAAATAGCATTAAAATCTGAATTTCAAATTAAGCCTAAAATGCAACTGTAAGATGCTCAATTAAATTACTTAAATTACACTACTATAAAACTTTAAAACACTACTGGCCCCAAATAAGGTCATGTATTTATGGTAACTGTAACACTTACCCATGTGCAAAGTTTACTACTTACTGTAATATGAATTAATTAGACATCCTTTAACATGGTTTCTATGTCTTTAAAGAGGGATTTCATGATAATTTACTCTTATCATTATTTTACAGATGTATATTACAGGTACAGTTAGTATTCTACATGTGCTAGATGGGATGATTGACCTCTTCTCATTTGTAACTGTACTCTTAAGTTCAATTACAGGCATACAGATGCCAAAGTATTTTTTATGAAATAATATATTCGCAACTAACTTATCACAGCAATGTCATTTGTATGGCACAGCACAAAAAAGATTTTTGTGCATTGGTATTGGTCCCACTTCTTGCATAAATTAACCCATAGAGCACAAGGTAATGTGGCTTTTAGAATCATTAAGTGGACAAAGGAAGCCTGCTCTGATTTCGGTGCAGGCTTCGATGCAGCCCCTTTTTAAAACTTATTGTTGGCTCAGATTTCCAAGGCTCTGCTGGACACGGAAAAAGTCAACTACTTAATGTCACTGAAGCGGTTGCAACGTCAAACATAAAGGAGCTGCAAATGCTTTCAGAACATATTCCTGGGGTCAGGCGCCAGCCCCTCCCCAGCACCTCCTTCCCACTCACCCTCAGTTCTGTTTCCTTCCCCAGCAGGTCATACAGCGACGCTCCTTTAGATGTGATCTCTGACGCCAGCTGTCTCGCGGCTTTTAAATCTGCAATCTAACAATTATTATTATTATTAATAAAAACAACAAGGCCAGTACAAAAATTCACAATTGAAGAGAGATGATAACCATTGCTCTCCTGTATTATTGCTAGCACTCCTCGTGGCCAGCTTCTTTTATAGGATCTCACACCACGATATTGTTTCTGTACTTGCTCGCTCTAGTACTTACAATAAACAAGTGCCAGTAAAACATCAAGCCGCTTGAGAGACGGCGCAGGCAAATTAGCTAGATGGTCATTAGATTTTCTACATTTCCCCACCGACTGCAATTTTTTCTTTCCCCTATAAACTGGAAAACATGCATCGAATTCTTAAGCCACAGCCGTGCGCACTGCAGCTTCAGCCTTCAGTTCCTGGGGGGCTGTAAAAAACTCAGCTGAAGCGATATATTTTTGAGGGGGTCAAGTTCTCGCAGAGGCCAGGGATTTCTAACGAGATAAATTCTGGCACGAGCGCTCATCTTTGATGAGAAGTAACAAGACAACGACAGAACCCACAGCCGGCTTCCTCCGGCTTTATCCCGTTTCTCTTCTGCTTGGCTGAGGAATGTGGGTGTCTCGCAGAGGCAAGAACAGAAGGGTCGACTGAAATCCTTGCGGTGCTCCGAATCCCTTGGGAACACAAGACGTTAATGCTGACGTGACGCCTCTCTTATTAGATGGGGGAGACTGGAAATCAGAGCTGGAGGACAATTTTCTCCTCATGGCTCCTCCGCCTTCCTGCCAATTCCACACCTGCAGTGGCTAGAAAACCCACCGCTGGGATTTTCTCTAAAAAGAGGAGCCGGTGATGACGGGCAGAAAAATGTTTCTCAATAATATAAAATCTGAAAAACTGTGACAGAAAACCTTTGCAAAAATCCAGCAGGAAGCTCACGTTTTTAAAAAGCTACTAAACGGGCTCCAATCTTCTATTCTGGAATGCATATCTGAACATTTCCATTGTTACGGGCACTGGAGTATTATGTCATAAAAGCATTTGCTGCTGAGTGCACTCTGCTGTCAATCTGTGCATGGTATTTATTGGAATTCGGTCATCTGCCACTTGTAATTTCATTTAGTCTGTTAAAATTGAGAAAAACCCACCACACTAGAATGCCAGGGCTATTACATTAACACAGAACACAGTTATGCTACAAATCCATCATCTTCAGAATGACAAAAAAGTACTGCATAAAAGAAGTTTTCAAGGTATTTTAAACGTCTTTTGGTATTGGGAGTTTCCCCCCAAAAAATCCTGCAAATGGAAATTTAAAAACAAGACTCCTTGAGATTATTCACACTATTTTTTTAACCTGTGTGACACTTGCAAAGCTACTATTGACGTAAAATAATTGTTATTAATAATTTGCTCTTTTATTGTCAAATAGATGTATTATCTCTCGTGGTTTCCGAAGTATTGGTTTATTTGAAAACTTTTAAAATTCATTAAAAACAAAAACACCTTTGAATGGTTAATGAGAGTGTACAGCTATTCTTTTTGCAACAACCTGTTATTTAGACCATTTTCTGCATTCTTCCCGGAGTAAATGTTTGTATGGTCCAAGAAATAAAAGATAAATACTGTATGAGCTGCCATGCTGACATTTTTAACTGAATCTAAAATGAACTAAAAAGAAGCCACACAGCAAAGGTTCTTAGTGCTTAGTGTGGCCTTCTTTCTCACCAGTAATAAACTGAATGTTAACCTACAGCAAAGGGAATGGACCTGTGGAGTTTTATATGAGAAATGAAGCCCCATACACAGTGAAAACTCAATTTTGTTGATCTGGAGTGAAGTCTGAAGCTACTGCTGTCTTTACATTTTTTCCTGCAAAGGGAGCTTCTCGTATACTAACCAAAAACACTGGTTTTAGACAGTTATATTTTGCCTCTTTTACTTACGATTATTATTCTTTCTACGATTACTTTCTTAGTTTACTGAATAAACAGCTACTGTACCTTTTCACCCTTCCCATCTAATTTAGCAATTCAAAAACCCAGAGAAAATAAGAAGACCTTCTACTCTTCATATCAATACAATAGCAAATACAACAACCTTATCTATAATGTCACAGCAGCTCAGCAGCAACAGGTAGCCTGCAGTTTTGACAAACTACTCTCCATTGACAAAACACACATAGTAATTGCTGCAGTTGTCTTCTTACCCTGAGGAGAAGGTTCAGGAAAAAAGGTAGACCAGCAGGAGTTCAGACTGTAGCTAAGCAAAGTTTATCTCTCTTGTCCTTATCTTCCGAGTCTGAAAGCCAATTTCCATTCCTCTGAGAGGGAGGACAGTACTGTTTATCTTCTTGCAACACATTTTTAAATCTACTATTGAGCCCTGTTTCAACAATGTGCCACTGGGAGCTTTTATCTATTCGGGATTTTTAATTGAGATTTTTTTAATAGAATTATTCCAATATCTTTTGTCTTTTTCACTGCAGGCTTAAGACCTGTATCCTGAAAACTAGTCCCACTGGTGGAAACGCTGCACAGTACCAAGAGCATCTGAGGTCACATGCTTTTCCCTCTTATTATAAACTCTTTATTGTGACACAGTACCCCAGTGGCCCTTCAGCTGGACAACAGACAAATGCAGGACAGATCATTTTATCCTGTGCTTGGATTTATAACTGCTCCTGTATACCTACTGAAGGTAGCAGGGTTTTATGTGTGCGCAAAACTACAGTCTTAAAATAATTATCTTTTTAAAGAATCGTATTTGTAAAAAAAATATCTAATATGCTAGTTATTATTCTTTAAAGGCTGAGACAATCGATCAGTCCTTTGATGTGTAATATAATCAGGCCACCACTGATAGTTGGGCCAGTCTATATGTAGTATACCAGGCTTTACCAGCCAACTTCTCTAGTGGCTCCATGCCTTTTGCTGAGATCTACAATCAAATTGTAATGGACGTTTAGCCCTCCTTTCTAAACAAAAGCCAGGAAGTGTATTACCTGGGTTGGCCATGGAGACACTCAGCCACTCGGTCACAATCTTCTGTGACGGTGCACAACCTCAGGAGCCACTGTGCTTCAGCTCACTTTACTTTCCCTTTCCCACACAGCAGCAGCACAGGGCTCATGTCATAGTATTCTGCGTATGATCATGCATATTATTAGAGTTTGAGCAAAACAGTGGTCTCGGTGACACTGCTTCCTCTTCTAAAGGAGCTTCATGTATGCTGCTATGGTTTGTTATTTATTTATAATGGATCTGGGGCTACTTTCCTCTCCCATTGTCCTTCCTTTTATTAAATTCCAGTTATTGTAAGTAACACATGAGATAACCAATAGAAGGCTGTTCACACCTCAAAATAAACTCATCAGTTAGGATCTGCTATTCCCTATTTTTTTTTTCAAAATGAGGATAGGGACATTCCAGGATTTTCATAACAAAAATAACATATGACTGCGAATCCCCTCCCTCACAGAGGGTCAGAGTCACTGCGTGGCACAGCTACACCTCTTCTCCCCTTTAATCAAAGGGCTGTAACAAATTATGAAATAGCCAAGCAGCAATGGAAACAATGATTTTTACTGAAACAGATGTTCTATTACTATAATATTCTGTATGTGCTACTATTCAACACCTTTATCTTTTAATGAAGTCATTCTTAAAAGATATATAATATCTCACAAATTGGAATGCTATTTTTGCTTATACTTTAATAACAATATATCATGAGGGTGGGAGATCTTTCACAAGCTAAATATTGATAGAAAAAACAAAATTATTTTACAAGGATGTTTGCCTTATAATGATAAATTATTTAGGATGTTTTACTGTTAGGACTATGTTCTGAGCAGAGAAATGTGCACCTGTCTCACTGTAAACTGGAGCGGACACATTGAAGCCTATTAAAAGCTTGACAGACTGTCAAGTCCACTAGGCGACAAGACATCTCTTCACTTACGCCAGTCATAAAGTAACATCAGGTACATAAAATAATAGGTCTTCAGTATTATTGTGCACCATTATGGCCTGGCCAGGACTGTGAATTGTTTGTGTCTAAAAAACATCTCTCTCTTGGTCCTATGATTTATTTTTTTTTACTTACTGCACCTTTAAGAAGTTAACAAGACTCTCTCTTTAAAATACCTGAGCTAGAGCATTATGGGTAGAGCTTACTTCCTGGAAGGACGCACAGCTGTTTTAAATCTCTGCAGCGGGAAACTATTAAGAAGAAAGTTCAAGAAATCAGTTGTTGATGAGCTTTTTTTTTTTATGTGTGTGTGGTGTGCAGCATTATTTTCTGTTAATCCAAGTTTTTCTCTTTGTTTGGCTTAGGTAGCAAAGAGATGAAACATTCTTAAAACATTGCTGTTCCCTGAAAAAAAAGCTGTCCTCTACTATTTGATTACTCTAGAAAACTGGAAGAAAATGAACTAAGGACTGAGCTGACTCAACAACAGTTTCAACAACAGGAGTTTGGACTTTGTTTCTACAAATCTTGGTGGCTACATGTTTTGTGAGCTCTTTCTCCCTGTTATACAGTATGTATCACCCTGTGGAAGATGGCACTCTTGAGTTTCTGTTTTGTTGCTGGATTCATTTGTCACTTTTTTCCTGCCCTTCTGTTCTTTTATCCTCTGTCTAGTAGTGTACGTAGCAATAAAGGCTATATGTGCAATTGTTAAGAATTCAGATTCCTAACTTTTGTGTTTTTTTTTAATTGCTAGGCAGGGACCTAACTATTTTTGAGGATAGGCCAAAAGTTTTAAAACTGTTACAAGAGAGATACCTGGCTGGGTATAAGGAATTACTGTTTTGTGGTAAGACAAGAACTAACCTACTCACTTCTGTGCTTAGGGAAACAGATTTCATTAAGAGTGGGTTAAGTTCACATCCCAAAAATTCTTTAAAATCAATCAATCAATCACATCAGAAATCGTGCTCAGAACAAAACCTCTCCCTACTGCTTTTTAGCTATGGCACATGGCCGAGTGTTCACAAGTGTATAATTGAAAAAAAAAATCACCAATGGAAGTCACATACTCGTGCACTTTAATAAAGATCTCATAGCCAAGTGGCGAAACTTTTTTCTAACACTGTTTCAGATCTTCAGGACCTTCATGATTCTTCGTGAGCCTTACAAAAAGATTCTAATTCCCCAAATTGTGCTGTTTGCCAGCTAATGCCGAATGAAATAAGTTTCCTCATGCGCCCCATCCCCCCTCACCTTGGATCCCAGGTCAAACTTGAACTTGCTGCTGTCTTCTTCCGGCTGATCTCCGGACGCCATTCCTTTGGTCTTCATGGCACTGTACAGCACAGAGGTGATCTTCAGCATCTCTTTGACCGCATACCCATCCGCCTGGTACAATCTCTTCGTGTTGAGTTTGACGTGAGCCTTCGAAGCCTGTGATAAAACCAGATTAAGATCAGTGGCTCTTCTTAGTGGTTTCAGACGGTTCAGATTACTGCTAGGGGTATGTGCGTTTTAATCACTTGACATTAAAAAACTTCTTTCCCCTAAATGAAGCTGTATCACAGAACACCTGTACCTCATTTTAGGTATGAAATTCATTCCCAGAAACCGTTTTGTACAGAAAAAAATTGTAAAAAGAAAAAACTATTTCTTATGGGGGAAAATTACAATCCATTCCGGACCCCAGAAATTACACCCCCGCTTTTACTTTCTTCACTAGGTGGGGCTACACACTGGTGGTGGTGGAGGGGAGTTCCCATTACCTGTAAAGCGCTTTGAGTGGAGTGTCCAGAAAAGCGCTATATAAGTGTAAGCAATTATTATTATAAAAAAATTACAAAAGAAATGATAATAACTAAGATTTATATTGTAGTTTGTGTTTTTAGTAATAGAAAACACTGCTTAACTAGATCGACATCATTAATCATATCTACGTACAGTACTGTAATGTTCAGTAAGCACATGAATCTTTAAGGTCTAAACTACAAATATTCTTACACGAAAAGTAAGAGCACACACAATAGCGAGCAACGCACGAAGCAAGATGGTGTGAACGTCTCTCCTGCCACTCCGTAGGCTCAGTGCTTGCTCTCACCCACACTAGTTAGTGGAACGTGATATGAACACTCAATATGAATCAAGTCTTATCATCGTATGACGCCTTCCTCTTCACTCTCTACATAGGGCGGAGGTTTCGAAATGTTTCTTCATATTGCTTCTGTGTAGTTTCGGAGTTGGCTTTCGTTATTTGAAATGTGGGAAAGAATTCACATACTTCGTAGTATTGAATTTTCAAAAACGGAACATTCATTAAAAGAGGTACAGCTGTACTACCCTACCAAAATATCAGTGATACAAAATATTCAGTGTTGCATTCGAAAGCAGTAGGACAGACCACACATCCCATGATTGCTGTCAAGCAGAAGCAGATTAGATCTTTTTCTCAGTATGTTGTTCAACGGGAAGGAAGGCTGACTTACTGTAAGTGACTTCACAGAGACATGACTGATCAGGCTGGCCAGGTGTCACTAATACAAAGCTAGGAGCGGACTTAGCTACTAGTATGGGAGGCTGCCTTTAAGGGCTTACAGCAAGTGACTGGAAAATTACAGAAAAACGAATTTTTGAAGAATGTCTTTTGTTTGCAAACTGCATTAAGCTTTTAGGTCTGCAGCACCAAATTGTTAGGGCTGTTCAATAGAAATGATGGGGATGTGTAAGAGTTATTTTTGTCCATTCGAGCACTAAAGATATTCATTGTGATCTTGAATAGATTCTGAGCACCAGGGACTATTATGCAGAGCAAAAGTAGGCAGTGCTTTAAACAGAAAAAATATACTATTTTATTTGAAACCACTCATCTTTCACATTGGTTTCTTGCTGTATCCTATCCTCTGAGGTCTGTTTCCCATGCTTTGAATTTGGCTTTGCTCCTCAGACATTAGGAGATTATGCTTGTGGTATGTCACTGCAGCTCCTTTTGAAAACAAGTTAAGGTAATTGTATTTGCTTGGCAGGTCTACTGCTATTAATTCCTATACATCACAAGTTGTCAAGCACAGAGCATCCTTTTTAACCTTTGTACATTCTTGCCATCTAAGAAGCCACAGCTGTTTTAGTCTACCTCCCTTGACTGTACACGCTTTTAATCTCAGGTTTTTGCACTGTAATCACATAGTAAGGATTTACGTGCTCATATACAACAGATGTCTCAGTCTTCCTGCAGCAACGTGACAGCTGTCTGTGGCCCTGGACTGTGTATAAGGCATGGTTTCAAGCCTTGTTGCCTTGGCAGTGTTCCACTCTAGCAGGGTCTCTCTCACTCTATTAGGGAGGTGATTACAGTATAAAAACGCATGGCTTTAATTTGATGAAACCTGACAGATTGCAACTATGGCCATGAATGATGTTCCGTCCATTGTGACTGGTCAGCCTGCACTCTCCTAGGTGTTCAGCTCGAGAGTCTAATGCTGTGGACCTGAAGCCAGAGAACACAGCTCCCTGGTCTAGAAGGAAAGATCAGAGACTGAAAACCTCAGTGAGAGATGTCAGACTGTGGACTTGGGTTTCACCATGGAACCTTATCTTTCACATACAGAGACAGTGGGGTGATAATACCAGTCTGTTAGAACAGACAAATGGCATCAACGTTATTTATAACATAATTTGTGAAGATGCGAGAGGCGAGGTTACGGTGGTATGGACATATCATGAGGAGGGACGTTGAGGAAGTAACAAAGAGGGTAATGGAATTTGAGGTGGAAGGTAACAGGGGAAGAGGCAGGCCTAGAAAGAGATGGATGGATTGTGTGAGAAAAGATATGGAGGTATGTGAAGTGAGTGAGGAAGATGTGCTCGACAGAGATAAGTGGAGAAGAGCAACCAAAGCAGCTGACCCCAGGACAGTCTGGGACTAAGGCTGTGAAAAAGAAGAAGAAGAAGATTTGTGTGTACTTTTGTTATGTTTACTAAGAGTAAATTAATTAAAGTATTTATTCTAGCATAAACTGCTGTCCCCTAGTTTACAAAAATAAATAATTCATAAGGATTAAGGAATGTTCCTGGAAACACAGCCTAAAACTAATTTTTGAATCTCCAAACCTTCTCTAAGTAATGACTCATTTGCTTAAGTTGCTGCCATACACTAGAATACTTTTAGAAGCGTTGTCAGATTCACAGCACAGATAATAGCAAGATAATGAGTTAAGCAGAAAAGTAAATTTGATGATGCACAGAAAGCAAAATCTGAAAGGGAAAGCACAAGCAGATGTTTAAGGTTTTAGTTACAGTCAGTGCACTTAAAGGCAACTTGAAGAGAACCAACACAGGTTTAGACTTACCATGAACTGAGCAACAGCTTTGATGAAGAAAACCCGGTCTGTCTCTGTATCCACATCAGTGGGAATATCCATGTGTGGCTCGTATCTACAGGTGTGAAATATGCAGAAAAACACTTAAAGGGCAGGAAAGGAGACTATGGACAGGGATTGAATTAGGCAATCTTATGGCAAATTTCCCATTGGCCTTTACCAATCATGGCCTCCTAATAATCCCCATCTATGAATTGGCTTCATTACTCTGCTCTCCTCCCCACTGATAGCTGGTGTGTGGGGAGCGTACTGGCACACTATGGCTGCCGTCACATCATCCAGATGGGGCTGCACATTGGTGGTGGTGGAGGTGAGTCCCCATTACCTGTAAAATGCTTTGAATGGTGTCCAGAAAAGCGCTATATAAGTGTAAGCAATTATTATTATTATTATTATTTCAGGTGGGTAGCTGCGTCAGCATGCGTATGCTGCAAAGGAACAAGTAATAGGTTTATTCCATGCTGAAAAAAAGAAGAAAGAGAACACAAAGTTTCGGCCGTGGAGCCTTCATCGGGTGTCAAAAAGGCTCCCGAAGAAGACACCCGAAGAAGGCTCCACGGCCGAAACGTTGTGTTCTCTTTCTTCTTTTTTTCAGCATGGAATAAACCTATTACTTGTTCCTTTGCATTATTATTATTATTATTATTATTAAATTCCTGGTGTTTTTAAGGAGCTGAAGCAATTAGAAGCTGAAGTAATCATTGCACATTATTGCACAAGTACAACAGAAAAGTATTCTAGGTTTAATATGGCTCTCGGATTGCTGTTCGTCTGCCATTCTGATTGACAGTAAAAACAGTGCAGAGGCACAAACCTCTTCACCAGCCAGATTAAGATCTCTGCCACCAGGGTGAAATTGGGGGTCCTGAAGTTTTCCATTGAAATGAGACGAGTGTACCCCAAAGCCCGCATCATCTCTGTGAAATCTGTTAAAACAAAGAAATGTTTCTTCATAACAAATCCTCGGACCCGTTAGCTATAAGACAACAAATGCGTCAAATGGGCCAGCGTTTGATGGGGATAGGGGTTTACTTGAAGAAATCAAGAAATCTGGTCACGTAGAATTTCTGCTCAGCACTTACTTCTCAGGTCTCTGAAAGACATGGTGTCCGGTTGTGTTGAGACAGCGGTCTTTTCTCTTCCAAGTACTTATTTCGCAGGCTGATCCGGACTGACTTTCCCGGGAGCCCTTTGAATTGAAAAGAGGGACAAGACTTCAACCTCCCTTCAGACTGTTGGGTGTTACAGAAAATAAGGAGTCCGTAACCGCAAGAAATTGAATCCATTCCCATGTTCTTAGACGTATTTACCCATAGCAAAAATCAAAAGGCTGACATTTTAATCATTTGGATTTGTATTGATCTCGTCTCGCTCGCAGTCTTGCGTAATCTTAACTCGAGTCCCATTTTAGAATAACCCACGTAGGAGACCGATAAAGCAAACCATTAATAATGCCTTAAAGTCAGTTTCGAAGGCAAAATCAAAAGTACATTTGTTCTTAGAAAAATACCAAAGTCGCCTCAGAGGGCCAGACTGTGCCGCATACTGTATATCTTAGTGCCTTAAATGTTCTTAGTTTTCCCTATTTTTATATATTACATGCTACTTTTAAACGGTCTAGTCTGTGCCTAGCTTGTATACTTCAACAGACGGGTTTCTCTTCGGCATCCTTCAGGAAGAAAGACGCTAATTAATTAATAGTAACGTTACCTATACTTACAATTTATCATAACTGGCCTGCGAGCTTCTCTACCGCTTATCCCGTCTCTATGGAATCCAAAACAAACCTGCGCTACGGAAGCTTGGAGAAGACAAACCTCATAACGAGTCCCTAATAGCACACAACCATGCACACAGTATTCATAAGAGCACAATAAGAAGACGGGGAACATTTTAGAGCAGTGTACAGTGCCAATGAAGCCCACGGGAGCCCAGGCTGCGTCCTTCCTCCCACTCCCCCAACAGCTTATACTTGTATAATGAAATCGCACTGTAAGCTCGGTTTTGCTGTGCTAATAACTATACAGTCACTCTCTGTGCTTTTTCTAGTTTTGATCTCAGTGTACTTTCCTACATTTACATTCTAATTTTAACTTGCCTTACCCTTTTATTCTGGCTTGACTGAAGCCTGATGAAGTGGACCCAGTCCTCAGCAGTCCATCCTCCAATTTAGTGCGCCGGTCCGTTTTCCCAAGCGGACAAGCTCTTCACCGCTGCCGCTGTAACTGGGTCAGTTTGAAACAACCGTCGAGCCAACTTGTCTATATAACTTCTGCCTGGGAGAGACTGTGCACAAGAGGGCGTTTCTTTCTTTCGAGTCTGGATTTCTTTGTGTGAAGCCCTTGTCAGGATTAACAGTGGGCAGCCAGCATCACAGCGATGCCGGGATATATAAGCAATTGGACAAGAACAGTCTGAATCCCAGACCACTTGAGTTTATAGTTATTACAGAGCGGATGCCAAGATGGATACAGCCTTAAACAGTTTCGATAGGTCTTATTTCAAATTAATAATTAATTCCGCAAAATGGTAGCTAATACAGACAGTAAATACTGAGTTAGTCACTACTTAATTACTGGGAGACAACGTTACAGTATATTACATCCTAGTATAAATGTTTTCATATCATAACTTTTATTACGCAGTTATGTCTAGCTTTTATTTGTTTAGTTTTCTGTTTAATTTGTGGATACCTATGTCTTTGGATGATTGTTTTTTTTTTGTAATTTTTTTTAGCTCCGTGCCGACCATAGCCGCAGGCGAACTATGGGACTACCTGGGGCCCCGTGGCCACAAGGGGGCCTCATTGTGCACCACAGCCTTTTTAATCGGCACTTTCAAATGTGAGCGAAAAATTCCAGGGGCTCTTTCTGTTGCTGCTGTGCTAGTCTAGGGCTGTTAAAGTTTGTTAGTTATAAAATTACTTTATAATATTATTAGTTATGAATAAAAGAGTAGAAGTTTATTTTGCTGTCAATGTGTAGTAAATGGCTCATCTTCGCTGTAAAATGGCAATATCATTGCGGTTTCGGCCGCTGTTACACCAAATGTCGGGTCATTTTATTTGCCAAACCGCTTTATACCACACGGTGTCGCGGCAAGCCGGAGCCTACTCGGCAAGCAACGAGCGCAAGGCAGGGTACACCCTGGACAGGATGTCAGTCCATCTCGGGGCCAGTGCAAGCCTATCACACATGGGGACAATTTGGAGGCCACGGTAAAGGTCGGGGGGAGAAATTTGCCCCGGACACCGAGATAACTCCCTACTCTTCTCGAGAAATGCCCAGGGATCTTTAATGACCACTGAGAGTCAGGACCTCGGTTTAACGTCTCATCCGAAAGACGGTTTACACCAAATGGTGTTCGTTTAATTTCGTAGTGGTAAATTATAATAATAATAATAATAATAATAATAATAATAATAATAATAATAATAATAATAATAATAATAATAATAATAATTTCTTACACTTATATAGCGCTTTTCTGGACACTCCACTCAAAGCGCTTTACAGGTAATGGGGACTCCCCTCCACCACCACCAATGTGCAGCATCCACCTGGATGTTGTGATGATCAATTTTTATTAATCTTCCGTTACATCTAAGAAGATGTAATGAGATATTCCAAGTGACCTTTCACTTGGGTTGCAAACTGTCCATTTGCCAAATGGTTTAAAATTAAAATCACGTAGTTCCAACTGGGAAACGCACATCATCTTGCAAAAGCAGGTACAGTACCTATCAAAACAGAGGTGCGCCGAATCAAGTCAGTCATGTAAACGAATAATGCATTTGGATTGGAGTCCGTCAGATTCAAGTAACCAGCGGACGGTGGACAATCTACATTTTCTAGCTAGACACCCAGACTGCTTGAGGTGTTTTACTAAAAGTTCACAGATTCACTCTTCATTTGTAAAATGCGTGCCTCTTGTTCTAGTTTACAAGTTCTTAGAAGATGGTTGATAAAAGATTTCTATTTATATAGTTCATGCATTTGTTTTAAATGGTAAAATAAGTTTGTAAGTTTGTCGTGGGCGGTTAATAGTAGTGTTTGCGCAAATTGTGATCTCGGGGGGTGGGGGAGCTTTCCAAGATCTTAGGGCCTCTCAAGAGCTAGGGCAAGCCCTGCTTGAGACGATGCCTCGTTGGAGGCGCTATATAAAACAGATTAACTTGCAAACTCGCTTCCGTCATTTTTGTTTTTCTGCACAAGAACAGAACTCGTACACTGAAAAAAAAAGGAAAAACTTTAAAAGATTTGCAACGCCTTAGGACCAGTGAGATTCAGCTGTAGATCGTGCCTGTGACCTTTCTTAACGTGGGCAACAGAACAGTTCCAACCAATATACACCGCTTCGGTTTGGCGTGGGCAAGGGTATTTTATTTTTGCCTTCTCAGCGGGGGGTCAGCTCTGTGTCAGACTGTCTACGTCAAACAATCTTGATATCACCTCTGCAGTTCTGTGGTGAAGTGCAGAAGGGCCCTTTCCCGGATCTGTCTCTGTTAATTAGATAATTAGAAGCAGGAGCCGAGCTCCACGGTTCAGGAGCGCGGGGGGGCTCCGATTTAACCAAAACAATTTTCGCTACCCTGCCCGAGAGACAAATACTGATTTCGCAGTGAGTTTACCTGTTATTTCGCTACTAAAATTAAACTCGACGTTTCTGGCAATTCTTCTGACGTGTTTCTCCCTAACGACACGGCCAAGCAAAATAAAATTACTATCCCGGGACGCAAATGGACTAAAAGAGATGTCAGGATACTATATATATATATATTTTAAATCCTGCTAGTACTCATGCTAGTAATCCCTGCTACTGGCAGTTTGCTGTACATTATGATAACAAAGATACTTGGCATGTTTGCTACCAGTAACGGAACCTACCCCTTCATTCTGTGGAGAACTGTCACAAATTCAGCAGCAGAAAATGTGAATTACGTGGCATGGCCAGACAGTTTTGTATTCTTTACCAAAGCACGACATACTGCAATAGCATTTCATTGCACACATTTATCAAGTTATTTCCGAAGTTTCGCTTGTTATTCTTGTTTTCCCTCAAAATTAACGGGCAACCTGGGGTTATCTCTGCTCTGGAAAACCCGAATGGCACGCATGCAGTCAGTCCTAAGAAAAACGCATTTAACCGCAATGCAGGTATTGACTAGTTTATCTTAGACAACCCTGCTTCCAATAAAGTTGATCAAACTGCGATAGGGCGAATCTTAATGAGGTTTATGGTTATGTAATGCGCCCGGAAATAATAATAATTATTATTAATAATGATGAGGATGATCCAACACATTCGCGTTGCTCGGCGTTCAGCTCTCCGGTCCCGCCGGCTCTAGCCCGCCCTCTGGTGGAGACGACCGGCCGCCGCGGCGGCAGGCAGGTGCGCGCCCTCCTCCAGCTGAGCAGTTGCAGAAGTTCGCAGGAACCGCAAGGACCGGCGATCAGCAGCTAGAGCCGCCGGTAACCCCCCTGCAGCCGGAACAAACGGGCTGGGAGCCCTCTGTCTGCGGGCCGTTCGTTGGTGAGTATTTTTCTTTCTGGGTCCAAAAAGACTTCGTGTCCTTGTTGCTCTAATGCAGGGAATCACTGTATCTAAGGACTAGTCATTCACGTTGATAACAGGGGATGTGTCCGAATCACGAGAGTCTGTGTCCGAATCACGGCGATGAGCCGCCAGCTACAGGTTCGGCCCAATTTCGCGAGCTCGAACGCTTCTCTGTTGCTGGTTCGGTTTAGCTTTCTGCTTTAAGAGCGCTGGGGCGCGTATCAAATAGTTCTCAAATGTAAGATGTTTTTTTTTTAGGAGCAACATCGGGCATTAAAACTCAAATCGTTTCTTACATAGTTCGTTTTCTATATATGGGAAGACTGTGTGAATACTACAACCCTGCGCTACCTATCAATAAACAAAGACTGAATTCTACAGTGCAAAAACGAGCCAGACAATACAAAGTATTCCCGTTCTCCAACTTCTGGATTTTTTCTATTGTATTTCTCTTTCGGTAAGGATGTCGGTACCGAACCTATGTTACCGAAAGAGTGTTGATAATACCGGCTACGAATTTCGGTTTCAGAAAGAGTTTCGGTACCGAACCCGTGTTTCCGAAAGAGTGTCTATAACACTGGTACCGACTTTGAGCATCAGAAAGTGTGTCGGTACGGAATCTGTGTTTCAGAAACTGTCGGAAATGTTTATTCCGCGTCGCGTAGAGAAACGTAGCATTCGTTCTCCCCAACCTTAAATGAGTTAATTGAATAGGTTATTGACTTAATTAGTACTAATTACGACGTTCTAAGGGTTTTTTAATTGACCCATTTGGGATGTTGTGACAAGGGTACGCAATCTCGTTAATCCCACACCCGTGCGCTCTTGCTCCAGCCGAACTCTTAACTCAATTAAATCCTGAATTAAATTGATTGGAACCTTTGGAAGTTTTTTTTTTTCTATTCCAGGTCGGAAATCGTACGAAACGGACGAAATGCAATAGTTAGAACCAGCTAGGAACCGAAAACCAAACGTTGGATCGGTTATATTATTGGGTCAATTCAAGTTTCAATTTGTAACCGAGAGCTCATCTGGAATAAAATCCACAGGTAGGGGATGCGGGTATCTGTGCCGGTTAAACAGTGACGGAGAAGGGCTCAGGTGCAGTAAGGCTTCATTTTTTGGGGATGTCACCCGTACACCAGCTGAAAATCCGGTGCATTCTTCCTTTCAAAACGCTCAGTGAACACATTCACTCCCGGGAATATAATACTTAGTATGGGTCACGGAAAACGTCCTCCTTTCAGTAACTGCGGTGAGACAAAACCCCAAAAAGAAAACATGTTAATGGTTTCATCAAAGGTTTGGGCTTGCTAAGAGTATTTTTGGAGAAGTAGTGGGTTTTGATGTGATGCTATAACAGTGTTGCTGGCAAGGGTTTGATGTCTATGTGGAGTTTGCATGTTCCCCTCATATACGTATAGGTTTTCCCGGAATGCGCTGGTTTCCTCTCGCAGCCCAAAGACGTGCTGCCCAGGAGAGTCAGGATGTGTCTCTGGAACTGCACACCACACGTGTGTCCTGTTCTGGGTGTCGTCTTGCAAACTGGGTCTGCTGGGTTTGTCTGTGACTCGAAGGCTAATGCAGTTCAGGAAATCAGTGAATGGATGGTAGCTTGAGACGTTTTGTAATTAAAAGAAAATCACCGCTTTATTTGAGCTTTTGTCTTGATTGCGCTCTGTATGGACCGAGAGCCACCCCGGGTGTTTTTATTTTTAACCTTAGCTATACAGCACATTGCTGTAGCTGTCAGATAGGTGGGATTTCTTGAAATCGCGTGTCTTTACCAAGACAACGGTAGGATCTGTTGGGGTTTTGTTTTCCAGATAAGGTTCAGTTGGTTAATTAAGCAATTATAGACTCAGTTACACACAATTAACATAGCTTTTGGCAGCTGCTTGAGGACGGCTCTAAAATGTGCAGAGCCGGGGCTGCTGTAGTGAAAAGAACAAAAAGGCTTCGTTTTCTGTCCTCCGTTTCACTGACACAAAGCAGCAGCAGAGCAGCGCCGGGATTTGCCAGAAGGGTTTTTTCAGCCGCAAGTATCACACGCTGCTCGTGTCTGAAGCGTCCCTGAAGCCTGGAAATTAGACGGGGGTTTTATGCCGCACTACCAGAAATTTCAGTTCATAAAGCGACTTCGTGTAAAAATTAAACGTTGAAATAACTTTCCATTCAATATACTACTGTATATGTGGTGGCGAGCGCTGAAGCTCCAGCTAACACTTCAGTTTTGAACGAAAGTCGTCTACTGTACAATGCCCAGCAGACTTTATGCACCCTATTTTCTTCCGTTTCCGTAATTATTTACAGTATTTTCTGTGATAATCTTCATGCTGTTGCGTGTCTTTGGACTTCCTCTCAGAACTCTCTCCTGCGGTTGGGATTAGCGTGGATGTTTTTTTTTCCGCGCACGCAGCTGTCCTTCAGCTGTCAAATAAGGGCGGCGCCACACGCGTGGGCTTTCGCCTGTGTGAAACATGAAGGCGTGCTGGCCTAACGAGGTGTGACAGGTCCGTGGGCGACAGTGACACCCCAGCAGTGACCGGGTGGACTTCGGGCCCGACGCAAACGAGCATTTGTCATCTACCGCTGAGAGTCGAAGCTTCAGCTCCAGGCGCCCATCCCCAGGTTTCCTGCAAATTGGCGTGTCAACTCTGCGTGTCGCTTTGAAGAAGAAAAACTCATTACGGAGCAGCTTGTTGCGGGACCGCATGTCAGTACGTAGTCATCATTTCAAGACACACACGGTGGTTTGTGGCCCCAGTCCGCATCGATGCGTTCCATGGACACATAGGAGACAACGCAAAGAACGTGCAAAAGAACAGAATGGAGAACTCGTGAAAAAATTAAGATGGGGGTGTAATTTCTCCGGTGAAGCTTACTTTCCCTATCCCTGCTGTACAGCAGCAGCCGCGGCTGTTGAATTCTTTTCATTCAGCTGCAAAGCAGAAAATTAGGTGGTACGAACACTGTTAAACTCCTAGAGGATATTTAGCTTTAACTGGGATTGTAATCATAATAATTGCTTACACTTATGTAGCGCTTTTCTGGACACTCCATTCAGAGCGCTTTACAGGTAATGGGGACTCCCCTCCACCAGCACCAGTGTGCAGCCCCATCTGGATGATGTGACAGCAGCCATAGTGCGCCAGTACACTCCCCACACACCAGCTCTCAGTGGGGAGGAGAGCAGAGTGATGAAGCCAGATCAGAGATGGGGATTATTAGGAGGCCATGGTTGGCAAAGGCCAGTGGGAAATTTGGACGCTGGGGTAACACCCCTACTCTTTTCGAGAAACGCCCTGGGATTTTAATTGACCACAGAGAATCAGGACCTTGGTTTTGCGTCTCATCTGAAGGACTGTTCCTATTTACAGTACAGTGTCTCCATCACTATACTGTGGCATTACAGTAGGACCCACATAGACTACAGGGTGAGTGCCCCCCGCTGGCCCCACTAACACCTCTTTTAGCATGGACCTTCCCAAGAGGTCTCCCATTCAGGTACTGACCAGGCTCACACTGGCTGAGCTTCAGGGGGTTGCAGGGTGATATGGCTGCTGGCCGTCAGGGCAGTGTGTTTAACATCCCTGCTGCTTTGACAGTGGGGGTGTTCTGACTTTTGGATTCTATCCACTGTCTCTGGGGCACCTACGCAGGTCCAGTGCGCCGAAAGACAGAGCTCCAGTGTTTATGTGGGGAGGGTGTGAACTCTCTTAGAAGGTCTGTACTGAACAGCACTATCGCAATCTCATTTAGCACTATTACACACAGAGTCACCACAAGTACTAGGGACCCCAGTTTAATCCACTAAGAATTAATACGCTGGCATTCTCCCTGGCTTGGGTTGTTATAGTGTCATAATATCAGCAGAAAAATGAGAGGGATTCTTGTTGGGTAATATTGAATGACTGTCCCGCGTTCCACACGCGTCTCTGTCTCGTCTTGCATGCCCGCGCGCGCGCGGTGTTCAACCAGCGCTCACGCTGCAAGTGATGTGCCTACCACTGTTCACTCCTGTTACTTCTTCAGTTCCCCTCTTTCCTCACTTCCCGGCTCACTATTGCAGATTCTCCTCGAGCTCCCTAGTGCGCGTTATTTGCTACTGCTTTCTATTCGGTGTCGGGCCTTCTAGCTCGCCCCTTGTTTACGATTTAGCCTTGCGTTTCGGATTGTTGCTCTCCAGTAGCCTCTACCGTTAGCTGACCTTCTTGCCTGTTTCCTGGATTACGTTTTGCCGAGCAATTTGATTGGTATTCTCTCTCTCCTGAGTCCTGTACAGGATCCATTCTCCCTTACCTATCCCTTGTTACAACAAGCAGTGCACTATAATGTGCGATATGGGGTTGGGGTCATTTTCCTTAATGGGAAATTAAATTCAAGATTCCTTGAGTGTAAATAGCCCTGTTGGGCTAACAGGAAGTTGACGAGAGCAGGCATCTGTCCCCGATACCATTGCATTAACCAGGGCAAGAAGACTTGAACGCTGTTGAGAGCCATTCCAAAAACTTTGTAAGTTTGTTACCACAAGCCATCTTCCCAATTCCTCTTATATACTAACAGGAAATCGGTCGTCAGCAATCGCCCGCCCCTGTAGTTTGGGCTCATCCCGAAGATCTTGTCCTTCTGGACAGCGGCAGTTTTCTGAAATGGTTTTGCAAGCTCTGCTTTGGAAGGGAGTAGACATCAGAGGAGACAACCGTGCCTCATGAGACGTCTGTGTAAAGGAAAAGCTGCAGATCCATTAATGATCCTTCTTTCCTGGAAGGAACGTCTTTCTTGGCAAAGATTTTCTACCGAGGTGGAGACAAAAGGTCACAAATTGAAAAAAATGAGAGGTTTTACAATCAAAGTGCACTTTTCTTTTGATTTTTGCTGGTACCGAAATGGGATAATAACTGATCATGTAACCACAGCTTTTAACAAGCAGCAGAAATCGAAGTGAATTAAGAATTAAAGAAAAACCAAGGCTT